GTCGATTCATGTTCCATTCTGGCCCGATCACACCTTAAATGGATACTAGTAACTCGAGAGCCTGTGATTACTTGAGAAAGAAGCGAGAAATATTTATGAACCGATGGCCCCGACCAGATCCTCATCAATGGAAGCTGCTGGCCAGCTGAATGGACTATCGCTGGGCCATCTAGGGGGAGTTCCTCTCACTCTATCGACACTGCATCTCCAAAAGGCCACGGAACCAGCGCTGATGGATGTTGCACTTTAAGAAATATGACTTTAAAATCAAACATCTTAATGATAATTAGAAAATTGACAGAAACCTATAAGTTATAGAAAGATTTCTAAAGACACCTCTCTGTATTTTAAACTATCAAAACATATTAAAAATCATGGTTTAATTTCATTTTTAATGGTCAATATTAAACTTTATTTATTTTACAAAAGAGTTTTCTTTACAATCTCTTTAGATTTTTCCAATTTAAGTTTGATTTTTTCAAGTACATAGTTGCGTAGCAGGAAGCACGCTTCAAGTAACTTATGAAAATGTATAAAAAAGCGGGCAAAGATATAAAGCCAAGAAGTTGGAAATCTTGGGAGGGGTGTTCGGTGACCGGAGCAACAACAGGTGTAATAATTGAAATCTGTTTTTCCACAAAACCCTAATCACGGTGAGTGAGCGCGCGAGCCAAGATAGATACGTAGATATATTCTTCGAGAGATACTTTTTGGCCTGCGGTTACGGTTGGCGGCTGTCTAAGCATTAACTCAACCAGCAGCTGTAAAATTACAGCAAATGTTTAACCAACCCCTCTTTCTCGTAAGAAATTATTAAGGTGGGGCTCTAACTAAGTTCGAGTATCTTCGTTGAAGTCTGGAAAGCATAACGTATACGCCGCTTGGTACGCTGATGTCCTCCAGGAGTTGTTGAGAGACCTTTCCCACGATCCCGTGACTCCTACTGACCTGCCTTAATTAAGCAGCCAGCCAAGCGTTTCCACATGTCGCACCCAGTTGCATTTGCAGCTCGTCTCCTTTTTGAATTCTTTTTTTGGTGGATGACTTACGCATTACAAATGAAGCAAATTGAAATTTACATATCAATCCCCGAAACCTGCGCCTCATGCTGATAATTATCTTTGCACACCATGTCCCCTCTCTCTTTCACCATTTCTCCACCTGTCTCTCTCTCTCTCTCTCTCTCGGCCTCTGTTTCCCAGTGCGGCCGGTAATTGAATTGGAGTGCAGCCGCGAAAAGGTCACAGACATTGCACATGGCAAGCGCAGTCAGCGAAAAATGCAACACCGGCCTGCAAAATAATGAAGTAAATGTAATTGGAAACATGAAAATAATTTAATTCAAAATATGAATAAATACTTAAGAAATAAGTGTACTTAATGGAAAAGCTTAATAAATGACTTAACAGTAAGATTTGAAAATATTATTTCATTTTACAAGGCAAACCTTTTATAATTTAGAAAGTCAGCCCATCAACTTTATTAAGGCCCATTAACAACCTTAAAATCTGACAGCACTTTGGGATTACGTAGGCTTAGTTACATTTTAAAGCTTATTCAGCTTTAATTTCCTAGAACTAACATTTACTTATATCATCATATATAGAATTTAAAGTAGTACATAAAATAATGAACTAAAATATGCAAAAGATATATCCATTCTGTCCAGTGTAATTAAAGCGAGTGCTCAACGCGTGAGATCATCCATGAATAAGGCAGAAGCCGTAGCCATCGCCATCGCCGTCGCCATCACCACTGCCATAACCCATAACCATGGTTGTTGGTACTACGGCTGCAGCCACCTGGGCGCACAAAATAATGCAAATTATCAGCTAGAAATTGCACGAGTGGTCAGGTGCATAATGAAGCAGCAGCAACTGCAGCAGCAGCAGCAACAGTAGAAGAATCAGCCTGGCACCTGGGGAAGATGAGCCAGAAGCCGCTGCTCGTCCATAATTGAGTTGCAAATGCTCGGTGGGGTCTTAGCTCTTTTCGGCCATTGGTTCCCAGGGCAGTGGAAAACGTTTTAAACACTCCGTTTCATAGGTAATCATCATAATTATCTGGCAAACAATAAATATAATATCTAGGCAAATTACAACAATTAGCCAGCTCCCGGCACACAGTTGGATAACACCCAAAAAAAAGTTGGTCCCAAAAACCTAAAATAAAAATGTTGGAAAAAAAAACGGCAAAACAAAACCATGCCAGGGGAAAGCAAATGATTGCTGGCTGGCTGTATTAATGTGTCCCTCCTCTTGGCCCATTGTACATTGTATTTGTTGGTAGCACAATGGCTGGGTGGCCGCACAATAAACATGATTTTCACACGCGTTTCATTTTTTCGGGGAGAGCACCCTACCCGCTCACAAATTAGGCAGAAAAACACTCGGCCCAGCCGAAAAAAATTATATATATCTAAAGAGCCAGCAATGATTTAAGCCACAGCGGGTAGCTAGGGGTGGGGAAAAACATTTCAAAAGTTTAAAATTATTTCGTAATTCCGACTCGATTAGAAAGTACTGTGAAGAACGAATTGGATAGTCAGCTACCCAGTCGAAAATGAAATCAAAACTTTTACATATCAGTATTTTTCTACATTAAGAAGCTTTAGATACATAAATATTTATTTAATATTTTATAAGATTGATAATAACATTTCTGATTTATTTTAATATAATTAAATGATTTTCAAAATGTCTTTTCCTCTTAAAATATTGCTAAATGTGTTTTTACCACTTAAGTTTCTAGAATCTTTAAACCCAAAATATTTAAGGGAACGTTAATCGATTCTTTTTTAATCAACTTCATACATAATGCTTAATATAAGTATAAAACCGTATAATATTGATAACTTTAGGTTCATAACTTATAAACTACATAACTTTTCAGTCCCTTGAAAATATATCGCCCCATTTTATAAACCAAATCGGGTCGGTTTAACTACATTTAGACATTGTTTTTGTAACTCGCATGGCATTATTATAACCATCTGATGGCAACTACTAAGCCCAATGCCTTCAAAAGCGGAAACTCATTGGCAACGCTTCGTTGCGTAAATTTCTGACGCGACTTTTCGGCCAACAGGTTGGCAAAAACAAAAAAAAAGGAAAAAAAAACAGAACAACAAAAAAACGTCAAATAAAACAAGAAGAAAGAAAACAAAAATCTGACGCCAAACCAAACTAAAACCGCCAGCAAAAATGGCCGACAATAACAAAAGCCAAAACAAAAACTAAGCCAAAAACACAAAATAAAAAAAAAAAACGGAAAAAATTGTTTTAATATTTCAGTTACGCTTCGGCAAGCTCCAAAATCGAGATATAGCACCGACTTTGACTTCTTGAAAAAGTACCATATACATATGTAGTAACTACAGATAGTATGTGGCGGGGGATGATAGTCAGTGGAAAAGGGTAAATCACTGAGGAGACCCACATACTCGACGATGGGGATCTCGTGCCAACTTAAACCAAAACCCAAACCACAACCGTAGAAGAGTCTTCCAGGCCGAACCGACCAACCTGGGGAAACGAACACCTGAGCATTTCTTTATGGATCTTGAGCAGAAAACCTATCGCGGCGTAACGCCATTAAAATTAGTGCCCGAGCTCAGCTGAACCGAACTTTGGAGTCTTGGAGATACTATAGAACTATAGTCCGGTAAGATTCAGATAAAGCTACAGAAATAGACTACACTAATGAAAATTTTTATATTTTCATTTACAGTTTTTATTATCATATAAGTTTTAGAAAATATTTTAATAAATCCTAAGTTTTAATTCTAAAAATCCAATTATTTGTAGTGTACTAATACAGATATATAGTATGGTGAAGGGGTAACAGAGCCATCAAAATGGGGTTCCAGTCACGAACGCATATCGGTTATAGCCAGTCGGTTCTTAGCCCGGTTACGCTTCGTTGTCAGATACTAAGATGGCGTTGAATATTTCGGATGATCAGGTAGGAGGAGGAGGAGGCCTATCCAAACATATGTAAAGCTCAGCAGAGAGCTATAGCCAACATCCGATGTGGGAAAGGGCAGACGTTGACTCCCAGGTAATTAGAGTCGACAACAAAGACCATAATTAGCCTGTAACTAGGAATTATGAAAATATCATAAAAAAAAATCAGAAAAAATTGTGCAAAGAATGTAGTCTAGGGCCACCCAAGCCACAAAGATCTGGCCTCAGCCACCTGACAACAGTAGTCAATCTTTAATGACTTTTATTCTTATTTTACATTTGAGTTTTTCTCTTACATTAGAAGATTTCCCATGATTGTGCCACCATTCAGCAGCCGTCGCACATCTTCTCTTTGGGTCAGGCCTAATCTCCCTCCTGATAATCTTGGCCCATCCAAGTCGATTTCTTGTCTGCCCATTCAGATCTCTAAGTGCGATGTAATAAAAACTGAGGCACTTGTGTGTATTACTCTCCTCGGGTCTTATTTTTTTTTATTGTTTTCAAGTGCTTGGGAAAGAATTCCAATAGCCTTTGGACATGGGACAATATTATCGACTTTGAGGATAAAAAAACGTACATAGCTACCTTCTATCCTAGCCAACGTTTTAGCCATATTTTATGATCATTTTCCAATCACATCCTTACTCATAGGTATGGTTAATAAGTTAGCTGTAGCAAAAGAAGGTTTATCATCAAAAGTACATTTCAATTTATTAAAATAAATGAAAGAAAACAAAATGAAAAACTAAAGTAAACTCTTCCTGTTCAAGGTACTTTTTAAACTTCTTAATAATAAAGTTAATCAATTAGATAGCAAATCACTTTTTGTAATAATTAATTCAACACATATAGAAATAAATTGCTATAGCAATTTATGAGCTGATAAGAAGGTACTTCAGACTATAGGGAAATCACCGAGGGCACTGATAATAGGAAAAGTGAGCAAAACCCCATTTCTCCCCGCAGAGAATAAATCTTATTATAGCGTTCTTATCACATTTAAGAGACTTGTAATTGTCTTAAGTGAAAATAGGGAAATCAGTATACTTCGGACCTTGCAGCTGAGTACATCGCGAAAATATGCTGAAAACTATTTTGCTGATCGCTAGTATTGCACTTTTCCAAAGTTGCTTGGCCGAAACGCCGGAAACGTATCTTCTGAAGACTCACAGGTCAGCTTAACAAAAGCAAACAAAACAGTTTCTGTGAATTACATTTTAGTGTTTGAAAAACTAAAAAGTTTTAAAATAAAGTAAAATAAATAAGAATATGTAACTACTCTTAATATTTATCTTAAATCTTACATTAAAGCCTTCCCTCGGACTTAAATTTTATGCCAACTTTGGGCAATGGGCACCTAGGCTATACTGTCTTTGGAGATTCCATATTTATGAATGGAGTCTACAACGGAGCTGGCGGAAACAGTAAACGAGCTCGGATACCCAATTGGCTAAATGTCAGCACAGAAGTTTGTGATCGCTTTGGTTGTGCATCTAGTCATGATGTTGATGTAAATGGAACCAGCTACGAAATGGATCTACAAGATGGCTACTTCCGAGTCCTCACAACCTATAGAACCCTGGGGATTTCAGTAGAGCAGAGAACCTATCCTCACAAGTTCTACAATCGTGCCTTGGTTTATGAAGTCGTAGCTAAGAGACTTCCCAGCAGAACTTCAAGAGCCAACTGTAAGTAATCAATGAAAATATATTTTTATATTAAATATTTATTCTTATTAAAAGAATCTTATTTAAGTTTTTATAAAATAGTATCTAAGTTTTATTTAAATTTTATTTTATAGCTCCAAAGTTCCTGAAACTTACCCACTATCCCGGCAACTCTAGCGATGCCTTTGACTTTGTCGTTGTGAAAAATGGCAGCTCCTCTACTGGAGATTATCGCACACTTCGGGGTCGAACAAAGGTGGTTGAGTTTGAAAAGTTCCAACCAGATCCCCAGGAGATCTTTGTCCTATTTAGTGAATCTTTGGAGGAGCCCCTACAACTGCAGTGGCCAACCTGGCAAGATCAGTTCAGTCATAGAATTATCATAGCCATAGATAGAGAAGAGACTGTTGCACGAAAGGAACTCGAAGATGTGCTAAGTTTAAGCTCTAGTAATCTTCTCCAGAAACACACCGAATCGTGGAACAGCTTCTGGGACAATGAATTCTCTATTGAAATAACAGGTGATGCTCTGGAGCTCTCGCAGATTGTTAACGCTGGTATCTTCTATTTGGTTAGCTCTCTACCGTCAATGAAAACAAACCAGAAAAACGAACCCTTCTACGGGTTGAGTCCAACTGGTTTGGGCCGTGGAAATCTGGAGGCGGATTATCAGGGACACAACTTCTGGGATACGGAGATCTGGATGTTACCGATAGTCAGTCTTTTTGGCCTGGAATATGGAAAAGAGGTGCTGGACTATCGTAAAAGAAAATTGGATGCAGCAAAATATAATGCGAATGTGACTGGCTACAAGGGAGCTAGGTTTCCCTGGGAGAGTGCCTACACTGGGACAGAGGTCACCAATCCCTGTTGCCCCGAAGTGTCGCAGCAGGAGATTCATATATCACCAGATATAACCTTTGCCCTACAAAGGTTTTACGCCCAATCACACGATGATGAGTGGGCATGTGATACAGCTTGGCCCATAGCCGCTGAAGTTGCTGAATTTCTGGTTAGCCGTGCCACCTGCGATGACTCCCAAAATGCCTGCCATTTACTAAACGTAATGGGACCTGATGAGGATCATCCAAACGTGAATGATAATGTCTACACGAATGCCGTATCCAAAATTGCTCTTAATTTTGCAGAATGGTTGGGCAAGAATTGTAGTAATACCAGCACCGAACTCATTGCGAAATGGCGCGAGGTTAGCGATCGGTTGGTGATTCTACGAGATGAGGAGTTGGACTATCATCCCGAGTACCAGGGTTATATCCCAAACACCATAGTCAAGCAGGCGGATACAATTCTTCTCGGATATCCGTTAAGATTCGATACCAGGTGACGATTCAAATTCATGAGTTATATATTAAACAATCCAACTTGTTTCTCCTTATAGCACAACACACTCCAATGACCTTAAGTTTTACGAAAACGTAACCCGAGAATCGGGTCCTGCCATGACCTGGTCCATGTTCGCTGCGAATTATATGAGACTCTTTCAGATTAAGAAGGCCAATGAGTATTTCGAGCGCGGTTACAAAAGCTATGTTCGACCCGAGTTTAAGGTGTGGAGTGAGACTCCAGTTGGCTACGAGGGATCAGCGAACTTTCTTACCGGCATTGGTGGCTTCCTTCAAGCCTTGATCTTCGGCTATGGCGGTCTAGATTTTGGCAGAACTGACAATGACGAATTCTTGCTCTTTTTTGATATAACTATGACCCCACCAAATGTGGATGAAATCACTGTCAAATCTTTTCCATATGGGATGGCTGAGTGTACCTTCACCTTCAGAAATCGATCTTCCTTGATTGTGTTTGAAGACAGGAAGGCAGAGAAAGGTTTCCAGATGGTTCAAGGCCAGAAAAGAACTTTGCTTGGCAAAGCCTTTAACTGTAAGTATACTTTTTCATATTTTATAATTATTTTTCTTTAGCTAACTTTTTTTCATTTAGTAACTCATCGAAATGAAGATCCTCCAATTAAAATCAGCTTATTGAGATAAATCCAAAATGTATTTGAATAAATATGAAGAGAATTAGATAATTGGACCGGTTGCATACGTGGGAATTCTAAACTTAAGTATTTAGTATCCGAATTAGGAAGTATCTATTGCATTTGGTTATGGTTATATTAGTAATTGAATCGCTTGAATGTCCTCCTTCCTTTTCTACTTAAATTTGGCTATCGAGGAGCCGCTGACACCTGGTGCGTTTTTGTTGTTGCCACTAAGCACCACATAGGCGGTTTTGGTCTCCTTTTGCTTTTGCTGCAACATGGTTAGAGTTCCCAAAGGTGTATCAGTCGAGCTCATAGTCTTCATCAACTGCAAGAAATGAAATTTAGTAACTAATTGTATTCAAAAATGTCTTATTAAATAGTGATCTCACCCCATCTTGCTCCATTTTCTTCAGACGCTTCTCAATCTTATTTTTGCCCGGTCCCTTGCCGTGGAACTTATGTGACAAATACCGGAAAGCCTCTTTGAGGTTTAATATGCGGCCATTATCATCGATATAATCCAATTTGACATTGGGCTTGAAAGTCTCTTTGTCCTTGAAGTCCGTAATTGGCCCAAAGTGGAACCGATCGCGCCGGCCAACCTTGTCGTCCTCACTGAAAACACCAAGATAGTCAATTAATATGAGTATACGTCTTTAGGTTATATATACTATTACCCAGCAGCTTTATCCTCAATGGAATAGTTCTTGGCCTGCAGATGGGCCATTTTCGTATTGCTAGGGCGATTCTTTTCCTCCTTTTCTAGATATCCCTTTGAGAGAGCCAGCCGCAAAGCATTCGCTACACCTGCTCCCACATCGGGTTCCTCGTCTAAAATGGCACGGTCCTCCAGATCTTCTCCAAGATTATCCAAATCAGCGGGCTGCATAACTTCATCGGGATTTACTGAGTTCCAGGTTCCGTGACTCAAGGCAGGCTCATCGTTATGGGTGTCCATATGCTCCTCAGGTTGATCGGTCTTATCAAAGTCCATCATATCATTGGAGTCCTCGTTACGGTTGCCAGCCATTCCGTAGGTGGGAATGTCACCCAGAGTGCGGCAAAACTCTGCTGTGGCATTCAACACAATGTTGCCATCCACGCCGGTAAGAACCACACCTGAACTGTTGTCCTCAACGGGCTCGGGTTTGATCTCCCGCTGAATACTTTCGAAATCAGCGGGCAAGGGCTTCTTAATGATATTTTCTTTTTGCTTTAGCTTGCGAGCCTTAGCTAGAACGCGTTCCAAATCGTCGTCCTCTGCTTCCACCTTAATTTCAGTTTTAATATTTGCCATATCATCATCTTCGTTATCACGATAACGTCCTCCGCGACTACCAAAATTAGAAGAACCAGACGTTCCCGCCTCCACCAAAGGCTCAAGATCCTCGGCCTTTAGTTTTTGGCGAAGTTTCTTCACCTTTTTCTTTGGTTTCTTGAATCTGCAAATAAGACAGAATTTTAAAATGAAACAATTCATTAAGAGAGTATGAACATACTTGGCTAGCTCCTCTGTACTGTAAATATCCGATGCTAACTGCAGATTGGTATCCTCCAATGTTTCCAAACGCTTGCCGGCTAATTTGGTTTTAATCTCAAGGAGCTTTCGTCTATGCTCACGCTCCTCATCCATATTCTCACCAATCACGAAGTTCTTTCGCTTTTTTGGCTGACCCTCGATCTCATCATCATACTTCTCCAGCACCGAACGCTCGATGGGATTACCCAATTCATCGTATTGCTCTTCGTACACATCGTAGCCATAACTGAGCGGATTTTGCTTCTTGTTCGCCACATTTTTCTTGTAGCGCTCTTCGTCGACCATGTTGACATTGACTAGAGTATCGCCATCCTCTTCGTTTAGTACATCTTGATCTTTGAGTGTTAGGATAACTGTGCGCCCTTCTCCGAAATCATCCATATCGTGATCCACTCGCAATCCTTTTAAGTTGCTGTCACTATAAGCCCGTTGACGAGCCTTGGTTTTCTCTTTTTCTAGCATATCCGATACACCAAAAGCTTCATCCAGTTCTTCCAACTCTTTTGCCTAATGGATTCAGAATGTCGATTACAATGCAATTATATAAAATAGAGCAGAAGTAATTACCTTACGCTTGGCTTCCTCACGTTCGTTTACCACCCGCTTATTCTTGTCCACCCAACTGGATACATTGTCCGTTTCCTCGTCAGACTCTCCCAGTGTCTTAATGCGAGCCAGACGCTCCTCCAAAAAGCGCTTCTCCTTTCGTTGCTTGAGCTTGTCGCGCAGTTTTTCTGCCTGTTTTTTTTCCTTCAGGTTGTCGGCCGGCTTATGCAGAAACTCGCCCCACTCATCCTTGTACGAGGAAAGATCAGCTTCACCAGAGGGTTTTTTACTCTCGGCTTGTCTAGCGCTTCCTGCAGGCGGCGCTACCTTGCTTGGACCACTGTCCATTTCGAGTGGTTTTAGGCCCAGCTTTGCACGAAGCTTATTTGTCTCCGTAATGGACAGGACATCGCCGGCTCCGTTTTCCGGTATGGGCGAAAAGGATCGTGAGGCCTCGCGTTCTTTGGCAGCTGGTTTGCGCGATGACGGCGGGGGTGACTGGGATCGGGAGCGTTCCCGATTGCGTTCCCGTTCGCGTTCCCTGCCAGAACGCTTGCGGACATCACGTTCTCGCTCGATCTCGCGCTCTCTCCGGGATTCATATTCAGCATGCCTGGAGATTTGTGGCGGTGGAGGAGCTGAAAGCTCCCGTTCGCGTTCTCGATCCTTTTCACGTTCTTTTAGGCGCTCCTTTTCGCGCTCCTTGATGCGCTCCTTCTCTCGTTCCCGTTCGCGTTCCTCCCGCTCCCTGAGGCGCTCTTTTTCCCGCTCCCTTTCACGCTCCTTCTCCCTTTCGCGTTCCCGCTCACGTTCCCGTTCCCGTTCACGTTCCCGCTCACGTTCCCTTTCTCGTTCCCGCTCACGTTCCCGTTCACGTTCCCGCTCGCGCTCCCGATCACGTTCTCGATCCCGTTCCCGCTCCTTTTCCCTCAGTATTTCACGATCACGTCCACACTCTCGCTCACGAGTAGAGGTTTCCCTGGCATCCCTCACCTTGGATTGGTCCTGTACCGGAACCTCCACACAATCGGAACCTGCAAATAGGGAACTCCGGTTAGAACTGTCTGATTACCAGAAGGACATTCGCTTCAACCAAATCTGCTCGCCCACTCACAATCTGCTCCAGCAGTGGACCACCTGAAAAAAAGGGGGAAACGTAGAGAAACGCAACAACGAGTTTAGTACGTTAAGAAATAGAAAAGTGCAGGACCAAGGCAATTGCCGGACTATTGGCGGTCGGTTAATCAGATAATCGCTTTTCCGCCGGATCCGCCGACCCCGGCAATCACCCTTGAGCCTGGCCTGCACTTAAGTGAATACCGGGCAAACACTTACTATCAGAGTCCGACTCCTCCAGAGAGATGACCTCACTAGGCCGTTCGCGTTCTTTGTGTTTGTGATGCTTATGGCGATGCTCCTTGTGCTTTTTGTGCTTGTGGTGTCTGTGACGCGACGAGGAATCGTCTGTCAGATCTAGGGTCGCATCCTCATCTTCCGTTGTTCGACGATGGCGCTCTGTAGAACGCGACCGATGACGGTTCTTTTTGTCTTTCTTGTGCTTCTTTCCTGACGACGATGAACCCATTTTTTCTTTTATAAAAAATTAGAGAAAATTTTACAAAAAAAGCAATAAACGACGCCGGTGTGACCACAAACAGAAAAGTACTACTAGAAAATACTAAAGTAGATTACAAAATACCGCTCTCGAAATCTGCAATTCACAACCATGAACGTCAAAAGGGTTCAAACAACAGTTTTGTTATGTTAATATTAAATGAAAGTTTAACGTAATTATTTGTATATATTTTATTTTATAGTTCAGTGATAAGTGATAAGTTTCAGTGATAAGTTTCAAATAAAGTGAAAAAATATAAGAAAAAGGGAGTCAAATATTATTCCGCCATTAATCTTCTTCTTGCTATTTAACCATTCAGAACGCACTTAAAAACAAACAAGCACGCGGAGATCTCAGCATAAACAATGGAAATAACACAAGTAAGTTAAATAAAGAATTATTTAATTAAACCTATACTAACTTGTAATTCGCAGAAAGCAAAGAAATCGAAGACCTCCAAGAAGTCAAAGTCTCCGAAGGATTCGGCAGTTTCGCTTAAATTGAATGCCCTGCATCGCAAGCAAGGGGAAGTGGCCCGCGTGCTCAGTCTCAAACAGGAAATATTGTTAAAATCGGGAGTGTCCTACCTTGAATATCAGGAGATCCGAGCCGAAATTGAAAGACTCAATGGCTTAATGGAGACATTCTTACGTCGAATTGAAAAATTGAAACAAGACAAATAATTTATAAACTTATAGTTATAGTTTTAGAAAACCTATGAAATCAGTCTGAAGTGTAAACGTATATTTATTAGGTTAATTTTTGGTCATGCCAATCTTTTAATATTCAATAATAATGATAACAAATTAATATTTAACTCAAAGTCAGGAATTCATTGTTAGACAGCTATAAAGATAAAAAATTAGTGTATTAATCTCCGGTTTCACTTGTTTCTCCATACTTATATTAAAAAAAAAAGAATAACAATTCGAAATACAATGAAAAACTTAATTCAAACTACATTTTTAGTAACGCTTATATCAAGTTCTTAATTATTAATCAAAGTGATAAAATGGTTAACTAAAAAAGATGCACGATGTACGCAATAAAGTACTGTCTCCCTCAGAGTTATCAAATTTTGTGGAACTGCTTGATAGTTGTATAAAAAATTATTAGTTTGCTAAACTATTAACAAACATTGGATTCCTATTTGGTCTCAGACTTCGCAAAGGCCCTCCACATGCGGTCGAATTCTGCCTGTAACATACTCGATATCTTCTCGTCCGCTGTGATGACGCAGTTCTCCCAGTTACCTCCGAAGCCTTGACGCGTCCAGTTGACGGAGCCAGTGATCGCGATACTGTGGCATGGACGCATCCATTTGCGCTTCTTGGCCTGTCGGATCTCTTCTACGCGCTCTGCTCCATCAATTACGCAGTACTTGTTGTGCATTATATGCGTGGTGGTGGGTACGCGCACCGGTATTCCAAGTTCACTCAGGACAATGATCTGTGATCCGCAGGAGTAGACCATTTCTCCGTCACTTATGATCCGGATGTTTACGCCACGATGTAAAGCCCGCTTTAAAGCTTCCGATATAGTCATCGAAGTAAAGGTGTAAATGGCCAAGTCTATAGAATACACCGCACGGTCAAACTGCTCTACTATCTTTCCCGTATTCTTCGTTGTGCAATATTTGTTCTGGCAGTGAAACTCTAACGTTTTTGGATAGCATTCACGCAGGTGGTGCGATGCACAAATTTCGCCCAGTTCATTGAAGATGAGCACTTCGTGCACGCGGCTAGCTTTCTCCCGCTTATCCCGAAAGTACTCAACCGTCTTCCAAATCACCTCGGATACCAAGCCCATGCCAACAAAAATACTGATAGTTGATACAATAGGATGGTTTCGAATATGTTCCATAATGAATCGAAAATTCAGCATTTCGTTTCAAAAGTTCCTAGTCCTAGCGCTGCGCTTTAAACTATATAAGAGTGACCATAAAAAGCTGAATAATATCTTCAAAAACATTATCCCTATATTATAATGCGGTCACACTTGTTTTATTGTCGTTGCCATATCGCGGCCATGCGCTTGTTCATTCGAATTAAACAATCAATTTCTAGATAGTTTAAGCATTATAGCTCTCAAATGGATGATCCATCCACCACGCTCTTACCCGGAGAATCTGAAGATCTGCGGGAGGCCCGTGATACAGAATTGAAGAAGGTGCTTAAACTGAAATTGGTGCTGGATGAGCTGCGTCGCATGGATTTGGGGCCAGATCAGAGCCCGGATATCAAAAGAGTCCTCAAATTGATTTCCTTTGGGAGCTATGCGCGACTAGGAGATATCGAAGGCGGTAGCCAGAATCAAGTGCTAGGTAAAAAGTTTCTTAACCTTTCTTAAATACCATGATTACTGGTAATCTATCCCAAAGGCCTGCAGAGTGCCAACACTTTTCCGCCCTTAAGCTATACGGATCGCAAGACGGTGCGCTCAAAACTATTCGCCCAATTACGTTCCACTTTGCAGCCCATTGCCGAATTAAGCGACCGAATGCACGATGAGTTCCCAGTTGCCTTTGGCCAGGAGCCGGACTTGAGTGACGACCAAAAGGAGATCCTACGCTTGGAAGAAGAGCATCGCAGTGGACTGGAGAAACTGGTGTCGCTTTTGAGGCGCAAGTGCACCCTTCTCAAAGAAACGGCCGAACTGAAATTGGGCTCCCAGTTGGCCAACGAACTGAAATTGCAACAGGCGCAGGCGCAGCTCGTTCAGACAAAAGCGGAACTCCTGCGTTGTTTCATTGTTCATGAGGCCGCTTCCCGCACAGAAAACAGCGTCAAGGCACACAAGGAGGTAGAGGCGCACCTAGACAAGCTGCTCGCCGCCAAGAAGTAGATTAAGAAAATTAAAACTATGAAATTTTGATTTAAATATATTAGAATTGTTAGTCAAACAGGGTTGTTTCTCTAGGTTCTGTGTGCAGGATGGCAACGCCTTCGTTACATGGTATTATTTCAGTAAGGTCACTCTGGTGGAAAATAATTTACAGAAAAGAATTGGTAAAGTAAACAAAATAAGCTTTGAAAGTCAGCGGGCTCGATCAACAATGACAGAAACTAATCCTTGTGAGATGACTACCCTGAGGGATGAGCCCCTCGCGGAAGAAGAATCCGTAGCGCAATCTCCACAAGAGGCTGTCCAGAGCAATAGTTCCTCAAATGCCGGCAACCTTTTGGAACCGGAAGATGAGCACGAAGTAAATTCCGTTGATCGAGACGACTCCGCCAGTTTATTTAGCACGACTACAACCACCACAAGGAGCAAATCACCAAACACACGGAAATTAAACCGCCTATGCCGCAGGGTCAAAGCTCCAAAAATGGTTCAACCGCTATACAAGTACAGGTGTGATTCCCGTGGAGTATCAACATCTGCATAGATTTAACCCTCTGGCGCATTGCAGTTCCCATGTCAGGGAAGACCACAACCATCAGATCTTTGGGGTTCAGTTCAATCCGTTTCTGGACAGAAGTCAGCCTCAGGTCTTCGCCACCGTTGGCAAGGATCGGGTGTCCATATACGAGTGCGAGAGGAACAACGGCGGTGATGCCTGCGAAGGCATCCGACTGCTACAAGTATACGCAGATCCAGATGTAGGTGTTCAGTAATTTTTACATTTTAAATTGCGATGCCATGATTTGGAAATCCAAAAGATTTTATTTTAGAAAAATTGAATAACGAACCTTTTTTAGACCGATGAAAGTTTCTACACTTGCGCTTGGTCCTACGACTCTGTGTCTGGAGATCCTGTATTGGCCGCCGCTGGATACCGCGGCGTCATTCGCATTTTTAATCCCGTAAAGCACCAATGCAGCAAAAACTACATTGGACACGGGCATGCGGTCAATGAGCTCAAGTTTCATCCGGTTAGGCCTCAGTTACTTCTGTCCGGCAGTAAGGACCATTCGCTTCGGCTTTGGAACATCCAGTCAGACGTGTGTGTAGCTGTGTTTGGTGGTGTCGAAGGACATCGTGATGAGGTTTTGTCCGTTGACTTTGATTTGCGCGGAGATCGCATAATGTCCAGTGGAATGGATCACTCTCTAAAGCTGTGGCGCCTGGACAAACCGGATATAAAAGAAGCCATCGAGCTGAGCTCTGGGTTTAGCCCCAACAAAAACACGTCTCCATTTCCCACCATCAAAGAGCACTTTCCTGACTTCTCTACAAGAGATATACACAGAAACTATGTGGATTGCGTTCAGTGGTTCGGAGACTTTGTCTTCTCTAAGTCCTGCGAAAATTCAATTGTTTGCTGGAAGCCAGGTAAACTTTCAGCTCCTTGGCATGAGATCAAGCCCCAGGAATCGGCTACCACTGTTCTGCATCACTTCGACTATAAGATGTGCGAAATTTGGTTTGTGCGCTTCGCATTTAACGCCTGGCAAAAGATTTTGGCTTTAGGAAACCAACAGGGTACCACATTCGTCTGGGAATTGGACTGCAACGATCCGAATTTGACCAAATGCAGCCAGCTTGTTCACCCCAAGAGCACCTCCACCATCCGGCAGACTTCATTCTCTAAAGATGGTTCCATTTTGGTTTGCGTTTGTGATGACAGCACTGTGTGGAGATGGGATCGAGTCAATTAGAATACTTATCAGCTATCATAACATAGTACGGTTACCTTTGAGAGGAATTAGAAATTAGAAATCTTAAAATATGACGCAGATCTTGAGTTTTGAGAATTCACTTTAAAATATGTATTTTATATTATATATAATTTTACCTCCTTGTGGTATACATAAAACAATAGCTATAATGAATTATTTATTTATTTTAACATTTGACAATATGTTAAAGCCATTTCTCTTTAATTTATTAAAGCAAAAAGAAATATCTTTAAAGTCTGTAAATGGTTTTTGAAACGAATTTAATATTTCTTTTTTACATATTGGATTGTAAAAGAATTTCTTAAATTAAACAATTTCTTATTTGTAAACTACGGCCAAAACCAACGATTTTAAATTTTAAAATTAAGAAACCGACATTTTATGTTATTGTCTAAACGGTCACATTAATCAGCTGCTTAGTTTGTTTTCATAGCAAGAAGTTGTACCATAGTCTTTATAATCCTTGTTGACGATTCATAATCGTAAAATGTTGACCGATCGAGTGCTTACCACCAAGGAAGCTCTGGTGGTGGCCCTAGGCGACAACTGGGAGCGCTACAGGTCCAACATGAAGAACTGGTTCCGCAGCCGTTGGTCCAAAGAAGAATTCGATGCCGAGTCACGAAAAATCCTTTCGCCGGACAAATTACACCTTCATAACCAGTTCCTGCTTGCCCTGCTTAACAAGATCGATGCCTTCGCACCCATTGATAATCCGCCAGCTGTCCAAACCAGCAGCAGCGGGAACCGAAGCGGCAAGCGGCGCAAGAGGAGCTCCCGAACCTTCGCAGAGCGCCTGAATTTCGAACTTTCCGAGGTCCTTGACTTTATGAGCGAAGACAACATGCAGGTAATCCGGCCCCCGCCCTCGATCGGTGGTTTGTCCGAACAGCAGCCAATGCAGCAGCAGCTTCAGTCACAGCGCTACTGCGCCCAGGAGCTCTTTCTTCCCGACGCGGGTTTTATAATGGGTCGCTTTTTAATCGGAGCCTGGGAAATCGGTCTTGTCTCCGTGGACGACAACGTCGCCGAGTATGTAGCCATGGCTGTGCAGGTCCTGCTTAAGGATCTGCTATCTGCTATTATAAAGAAAAGAAAGCATTACAAGACCAGCGGCGAGGGAAACTTCTACTACGACGTGGGTGCTCCGCTGCGGGATCCTTCACTGCGAAACACTGTCACCCGTCAGAAAGTGGACGACACGCCCCTTGAACTGGACAAGGAGCTGAATACGGCCAACTTCATGCGTCGACAAAATGACGACGTGACCTTCCTATCTGCCTGTGAGGAAGTGTAAGCATTTCGAATTTTTACATTTGTTATTTGTTATAGTTCTGCGATAATAATCCTTAACTGTCTTACTATTTTTTTACAGCATTCCCAGCGAACGCACAGTGATCACCCTCAAGGACTGCCAGTTGGCATTTCGCGATCGCAATCTAATCGGCTCCCATGCCGTTTACTCCATCAACATGGAACGACTTAACATGATGATGCATTAGTTTATTAGATTTACTTATATATTTAAAATCAGCCCTATGTAGAGTTCTATACATTATACTCTAGTTTAAATCAGCAAAGTTCCCGTGGCGGTGGTTTGAAGGGCAAAGCACCTGGTAAAAAGTGATCCGCCTTAAAGGCTTCAATCTCCTGTTCGTTGAGATCTTCGATGCGACTGTAAATGGAGGATTGAACTTCGTTGGACACCTGAGCTTGTTGTTGTTGTTGGAACAATTGTTCTTGTTGCTGCTGTTGTTGTTGTTGCTGTTGCATTATTTGTTGTTGCTGCTGCTGCTGCTGCAACATATCCTGTGGATTTGGAAATCCAGTTGCTGCTGCCTGGGCAAAAAAACCAGTGGGAGGTTGCTGCTGTTGCTGTTGCGCCGCTTGGGCAAAGATTCCTCCCATATTAGAATTGGCTGCTTGGCCGAATATCCCTGCCGGTTGCGGTTGCTGCTGCTGGAAGCCACCGAAAGGGTTGGGATTGACTGGCTGAGCTTGCACCTGAACTTGTGCCTGTGCGAAAATGTTGCCCCCTTGAAAAGCTTGAACTGCAGGCTGTTGCTGTTGAGGTTGACCAAAGACACTTGTTGCTCCGGCCGCCATCGTTGCTCCGCCAAACATGCTATTGCCTTGATTGTTATTTGCCATTGCACCACCGAAAATACTGTTGGTGGTGCTGACTTGGCTTGTGGCATTACCGAATATGTTTCCCGCACTGAGTGTGGGCTTGCCAAAGATGGATACAGAAGGATTGGCGGCCGGAGCAGCAAAAAGGATTATTGGGTTGCTGCGGTGCTGCGGACACATTCCCACCCTCTGGCGCCTCGTGGATTTTGATCATCATGTCCACAATCTGCGGAGCCATTTGTAACATGGTCTTCATTTTATTGGTTGCCTCCAACACCTCTCGATTGAACTGTTGCGCGAATTGATCAAACTGGTTCTGTCGCTTGGCCTCATAGCACAGGAAACGGACCTCCTCGAAAGATTGATCCTCGATAAAGTTAGGGAAATTAGCCTTATCCTTAAAGGGTCCATAGGCAGAGAAAGGCCACATCTTGCCATTGAGGCTGGATTCCATGTCAGCTTTAAGATACTGTCTAAAGAATATGTTAGTAATATACAAATACAAATTTCTTAAAAAGGTTTAACCACTATGTCCTTACTTGACATCAAAGTGCTCATTGTGGCATTTCGCGCCATAGCGGCAGGAACCTTGTTGGAAGAACCGACAAACAACCATATTTAAATAGACCTATATAAGTATATCTTTTACAAATTATTCTTTACAGAGCTTCAAAAACAACAAGCGAAAAGTAATATTTTGAAATACCAGAAGTTGGTATAAAGTATTTTGAAAAATATTTTTAAAAAATACTGTGTATATGGACAACGAATTTCATAAATATTCAAAATTAAGTGAAATTAAACCATACTTTTCAGAAATTTATAAAGTTAAAGTTTTTAGAGTTAGATTATGTGTTTTATTTATATAGGGGATTTTAAAATTGTTTTTGCTGGGATAGGCAAAGCAACTAGGTTTGGTATTTCATAAGAATATTGTCGAGAATCCGTTGGTATATTTTGTCCGGCAAATTGCGGTCCCACTGATTGTGAAATCCACTTTGATAACGAATTTTAACACCAGAATTTCTAGGATTCCATCACAATGCAGAAAGTATTGGGACGAATCCAGGCGCAGGTCCTCCGCTCCCGGGCCACAAATGCAGTGGCCACAGTCGTGAGGCATGAGGCCACATCCTCCAGAACAGCCGCGAAACCGGCTGCCACATCTAAAGGTAAGTGGATCTTCAATATTACAACATTATCCCAAATGAATCCAAAATACCCACAGAATTCCGTGAGAGACAGGTGCGATTCAACATCAAGAACGAACAGACCGAGGGTAGACCCCTTTACCTGGATGCCCAGGCCACCACGCCAATGGATCCACGTGTGCTGGACGCCATGCTTCCCTACCTGACAAACTACTACGGGAACCCCCACTCCCGGACCCACGCCTACGGCTGGGAAACGGAGCAGGCAGTGGAAAAGGCGCGCGAGCAGGTTGCTACTTTGATCGGCGCCGATCCCAAAGAGATCATCTTCACATCCGGCGCAACCGAGTCGAATAATATATCCGTAAAGGGGGTTGCCAGGTTCTACGGCACGAAAAAGAGGCACGTGATCACAACCCAAACGGAGCACAAGTGCGTCCTGGACTCGTGCCGTGCATTAGAAAACGAAGGTTTCAAAGTCACCTACTTGCCTGTATTGGCCAATGGACTTATTGACCTCCAGCAGCTGGAAGAGACCATCACACCCGAGACTTCATTGGTGTCCATCATGACGGTGAACAACGAGATCGGTGTCAAGCAGCCCATAGATAAGATAGGCAAACTGTGCCGCTCCCGTCGTGTATTCTTTCATACGGACGCCGCTCAGGCAGTGGGCAAAATCCCGCTGGACGTGAATGCCATGAACATTGATCTAATGTCCATATCGGGACACAAGATCTACGGGCCGAAGGGTGTCGGTGCTCTCTACGTGCGTCGCAGGCCCAGAGTTCGTCTGGAACCCATCCAAAGCGGCGGCGGCCAAGAGCGTGGGTTGAGAAGCGGCACGGTTCCAGCCCCGCTGGCCGTGGGATTGGGAGCTGCTGCCGAGCTTGCTCTTCATGAGATGGATTACGACAAAAAGTGGGTTGACTTCCTCTCCAATCGCCTGCTGGACAGGATTTCGAGTGCCTTGCCGCATGTTATCAGGAATGGCGATGCAAAAGCCACCTATAATGGCTGCCTGAACCTATCCTTTGCATACGTTGAGGGTGAGTCCCTGCTGATGGCCCTCAAGGATGTTGCCCTGAGCAGCGGATCTGCCTGTACTTCCGCCTCGCTGGAGCCATCGTACGTTCTGCGAGCGATCGGCACCGACGAGGATTTGGCTCACAGCTCGATACGCTTCGGTATTGGCCGCTTCACCACTATCGAGGAGGTGGACTACACCGCCGACAAGTGCATCAAGCATGTGGAACGACTGCGGGAGATGTCCCCACTGTGGGAGATGGTTCAGGAAGGCATCGACCTAAAGACCATCCAGTGGTCGCAGCACTAATATACTAATATTTAAGCCGTTACTGTTACCCCACACTTCGAAAGCAAAGGGAAAAATAAATTAGTTGAAAGAGTATCTAGGTTTATTTGTACACGAAACCACTTAAAACTAAGCTTAGTCCGAATGAATGAGCTTGTGTAAGAGGTGAGGCAAGGCAGACCCCAAAAAGCGAAAACGGCTCCAAAGTGCGACGGCCGAAGATATGCAAATGATGCAATAATTTGCATTCGTCGCTGGTCAAGGTTCAGTTGGCCTTCTTTTGTTGTGCTCCGCTTGCTCCTCCACCCAGGATCTTGCGACGCTGAGCAAACATGTGCAGATACAGCTGTGGGAAGATGGGGATGTAGCCCAGCATGACAATCCACAGGAATCCGAAGTAGGAGAAGGTAGCGTTCCACTTGTTGGGCATTACAACGCTCCAAACACTGTTCTCGCGGGCGTAGCTTTGGGCCCACCAGAAGCACAGCAGCTCCCCGGTCACGCCAATGGGATAGAGAACAATGAAGGTGGTGTATCTCAGGAACACCACGAAATGGGGTACCACCTTGACGATGTTAAGGGCGTAGTACCCATAACGGATGATCTCGGTGATGGCCCAGGCCAGCAGGGCGATAGGAAGACCAGGGGATACTTTTCCAGTGGGAGTGGCCATCACAACACCAACGACCACCATCATGCGGCTAAACACCTGGAATCCGGTGACCACTGGATTAGACTTGACTAGACCAAAGGACGCATTAAGGATTTCCACGAACGCTGCGTTTTGGAATATGATCACGGCCAGCCGCGTGTAGTCCCACAACGTGACCTTTGCCCGGTATTCGGGAGTTTCCAACAGGTAATAGTTGACCAGCAACCACAGGATGTAGCTCCATCCGACCACCTGACCGGCGTTGTAAGCAAACAGGTAGAGCTTGGTGACCAACGATGGTTCCTTGGAGGCTCCGGATTTACTAGACTTAACTGCCTTTGCTGACATTTTGGAGCTGCTGAACTTTCACCTCTACGATCGCCGCTGGTTAACTAATCAGTCGTTAAACTTATCGCTGTGTCGCGCGATTATTCCGAAGTCGCTTTCACCTGATTGGGTCAGTATGACCGCAGTGCGAACATCTAAATTATCCCAAAATTGATAATTAAATTGAATAAAACCGACATTTTATGCCCTCTCTTTTTGAATATATATAAATTGGTAAATAAATGTAATCCATAAAACGTAAACATTGATGTATAGACATAATATTAAAAAATTTTATATTTTGTTTTTTCAATACTATTTAATAAAGATAAATATTAGGAAGTCAATGATGCTTTACATTTGACCTGTTTTATGCGATCTGGTGGAGGATAAGAAAACAAGATTTGGTCACACAATAGGGCTCATCGAACAGCTTTTCGTTGGTGGGGATGTGGTTCCCCGTTTCGGAGCCTGTCCGGAGAGCAACCCACCTTTACCCTTTAAGTTTAAGCTTATTATTAAAAACGTTAATATATGTTTTTAATGTCTCAAGGTTATCTACTATTAAGAGCACTACAGTAAAGTTAAACAAAAATTTGAGACAATAATATCTTTTTATCACATTCACTGATAAACTTACTTTTTCATTACGGTTTTAGGTACATAAACATAAACATACAATTTATTAACTGTATTACAAGGAGCGGTTTATCACGGCCATACCCATTGCTCACACTGCACCTACTTTGAGTTTTCAGTACAATTTTCCATAATCCTGCCCATTGTTGACGCCAGCTGATGTTTTTCAGCGAGCGACGGCCGGTTTATGCGATGAGCCAGCATGCCGGCTAGTTTTCCTGATCGCCTGGTGGAAACCGAACCGAAAACCGAACGTGTCTGAAAAAGTCCGCCACCACCACGGGCCGGTGCACCCCACCTGCCAAATCGCGTGTGGTGGGGCGATGCGATTACGTTCCCCAGCCGTGAAGCGAATGGCTTGTCGCCGTTGTCGAATTTCGTTGTGAATCGCAATCGGAATTGGAACTTTTGTTCCGAAAGCATTGCCATCGCCGGCACGTGCTGTCTGCTGCTATTTTCTGTATGTGGGCGGAGGCCCGCAACCACGCCTACCGTGCAAATTAATTTGCTGCCACTGCCTGCCGTTGCTATTGCTGTTGCTGCCCATTTAACGCAAATTACTAACTACTCCCCTAAAAAGCCGACGCCTTATCAACTTGCTCGCCTTATCAGCAATCGCTGGCCCGGACTCGTTGGACGGGCGGAGCGGCAATTCCGACAGAGCAGCGCCCACAAAGGCCGATTGGACAAAATTGGAAAAACGAGAACCCCGCCAAAAGTGAATTCCCTCTTTTTCACCAGGCGCCCAGAACGAGCAGCGCAACGAAATGGCTGGGAATTCGAGCAGGGCGACTTTTGTTCGAGTGTGAGCGAGACAACAGTAGTGTCGCAATGGCAGGGGTTTTCAATGTGACTGGTCGCCGGTGTGTGCGTTTGTATGTGTGGGCAAAGAAATTGCCCAAGCTGACAAATTGCGGCAGTTTAAGGCCAAAACTAGTGATTATTGAAACTCTTTAAGCTGAGCAAACAACTGTGCTATCTCTCTCTTTCGTTCTGGAGTACTAATTTCATTTTTAGTTCTGGAACAAGGGCAATCAAATCAAAGTGACTGGTTCAATGGTCATCTAACAGAGGGCGCCACATACATATGTACTTAAATACAGAAATACAAAAAAGAAACCCCAGGGCAAAAGGCAAAGAAAACCCAATGCTACACGCCCACAAATGCGAGCCCTGCGCCCCTCTTGCCATCTCGCTCTCGTTTCTACTGTGCAACAGCAAAGCGGAGAAAAAGAAAAACACCGAAAACATTGTTTGTTTGAAGCACAAACCGCAATTTCTAATGCAAACACTCGCCCCTGCAATAGCTCGAACATTTTGCTCAATTTTGAGCAGTCATTTTGTTTGCTCACATCACAGGCCAACAGAAAACGGAAAATTGCCCCCAAACGATGCCGGTTGTTCTACGACTATAAACTATGTACATGTCTATGGCATACGGTTGGTATGGTGTGGTATGACATAGTATGGTATGGTATTCGCGATAAGATGGCGGGCGCGGGACTAGAAAAACTGCATGATGGCGGCAGATGACGACATGGACAGCGGGCCATGTAGAGCGCCGTCGGCGGAAGTTGCGAGCGCCCACTCCGGCCGGACATTTTGTTTTGTGCCCGTCATTTTGCTTATTGCACAAATTTCTACTGGGCCAGCAGCAAAATCTGCAACAGCATACGTTTGGCAGCGTTAAGCGCCAAAACTATCGCCTAACACCGCCGATTAACTAACTAACAGCCAAGGCAAAGAAGCGGACTAAAAGCGGCCATTATTGTGGGCGTTCAACGTTTTCCCACATGAATCATAACAGGCAAGCAGCAGCAGCTAGACACAAAAGAGCGTCTCCCCATCTAAAAAAAAGTATTTATGTATGTATCAGCAAAAAACAAAAAACAAGAGCCAACTATTCGCCTCGCGTGTGAGTGGCCCCAAGGAAAAAGAAGAAGCATCTGACGGGAAACCAGTTTGCCTGCGTGTGTATGTTGGCGCTGCTCCAAGAGTCCGCCGGCAATTCTGCCTGCGATGGTCACTTGACCAGTGTGTGGTCAGCTTTTGATGTTTGCCTTGGCTTTTTTTACAGCTAGCAACCCTACTGCTCCAATCGGGAGCTGCTTAACAGGCGCAAATTAAGTGCGCGACAAATTAAATTGACGTGCCATAGTTTTATAAGTTTAGTTTATTTATTTAGTTTTTTTGATTAAAATTGTACTATAAATATAGATTTACTATTATAGTAACTTTAAAAAGATACAACTAATTATATTTCGTTATATATATGTAGTATATTAAACTAAAAGTGTGAGAAATATGTTAGAAGTGTTTTAATAAGATTTACACCCAAAAATAAATGGATTTTAAGTTTCAATTTTAAAATTCCAATTGAATAATATTTTCTTAAAAATCAAACATAAATAACTCTTGTGACCTCCATCTTGCCTTGAACTTGGACAGCTCGCGGCTGTGAGCCATGAGAACAGCCTTGAACTGAATACGCTCCAAGCAAAGGTCCAGTTACAATGACCATGAAAATGGTGTCGACGCTCTAAATTACTTCATTCCTGGCATTTTTGGACGAGTGCCAAGTTCAGTTGACGTTATGGAGAAGCCCCTTTCCCTGGAGAGCCACTCAATTGCCCATCCAGAGCAAACCCATTCCCCTTTGGAGAGCCACTGGCCAGTCGACTTGCAGACCACGCCCTGACCAAGCACAAATGGGAACTTGGGGAAAATCGAGTGGATGTGATTTGCGCCGCTGCCGGCAATGACGCCAATGCGGGTCGTCGTTCACTTGTTGCTTGATCGTGCGCGCCTGTTACCGAAACTGGATTTTGGGGCCTGACTGACCGCACTATCGAGTGCCGGGACGGACAAGCGAGGCGTTGACACTTGCCAATGTACCAATCAACCATCGAACCGCTGGGAGCTGAACCGCACCATTGCACCACCGACCGCGTCAGCCACACCCATTTGGGTGGGTTGACTGTGGTTAGTTACCGCTATGTGGTGGCAATTAGCGAATAACCTTAACCTTAGCTTCCAAAAAAGCTCAAATCAAAACCTGTGCTATGAGGCGCCCAAAACGGTTTAGTTGGTGGCCGGGCCACCCGAAAAACAAACCGTTGAGGAAAATCCGGCGAGAGTTCATTTAACCCGCCACGCATCGAGTGAATATTTCCGCCTCCCCAACCCGATACCAAAATACAACCAACCGAACGAACGGTCTTAAAACACGGAGAACTTGTTTCGCCGCATCTCAATGCCACTTGGAGATTATATGAGCTGCTTATGTCATCGACAGTCGAGCAAACGATACCCCCAACCAACCAACCAGCAAACCAACAACAGCAAGCAGTTTGCCAAAATTCGCTTTGACCTACTGATTGCCGAAAAAGTTTGCGAAATTTCGCAAATTTCGCAAAATCCTTGAGTTTCAAGGTGCGTCCTTCACTTGGCAATGGGAACGGCCCCGAAATTACGGTCAAGGCGAGAGCTCAACCAGCCGAAGGTTAATATTAGCGGGCGAGGCTAACGAGAACGAGAATGAGAATGCCAGAGCGAGATCGCGAATGTCTGTATCAGCGGAGGTCCCGTTCTCACAAAGCGCTGTACACTTGGGGCCTGTTGATTTAGGTATAGAGATAAATCGTTTGTTTATATTTTTATTATTTTAAGAACTTAACAAAAGAGGGTTAATTGTGGTATTTTGTGGTACAAAGAAAAAAGTAATGAACAATTCATAAGTTTTCCAAAACATACGCCGAAAATAGTTTTAATACTTATTTATCATTTTCCCTTGCTGCAACTATAGATTAAAGGATAAATTAAAAATTTGCAGAATAAGAGAAGGGTGCTCAGAGTACCACCTACCCTTGCTCGATTGCCAATACATGACACACACTCCTTCACAATAGACACGAAATTCCGCCTCGCAACAAAGGCGGAGCGAATCAAGTGTGCCCGTTGTTGTTGCTCCTTGTTTTTGTTGCCTGTGTTTACCCGTGGGTTTTTGAGTTGCCATGTGGTTTCTGGCGGCAATGTTGTTGTGCTGTCGGCTGTCGGCTGTGTTCTTGTCGTTATGTGTACGATATTTTCTGGCCGCCTAATGAAAATGTTGCTGTTTTTGTTTTTTGTTGTTGATATATCGTAATAAAACACCGCTTTCGCTTACGCCGCCGCGCCACTGTTTTGTTGTACAAACAAACACTCGAACGACAACGACAACGGCAAGCCAAGCCGCAAGAACGGAAAACAGCAGAAATCGCGCGAGGCGAAGCGACGCGTCGCGACGCGTTTTTTGCCGTCGCTGTCAGTCGTGAAGGTGGGTCATTGTGAAATGACAGCGCCGAACCAACCAGGTGCGCAGAATATACCAGCAGGATGTTGTCTTTCCGGTCGCAAGAGCAAGACGGCGATATGAGCTACACTGTTAAGGGGTGGATTTGCGCAGACGTGCCGTCCTTGTCTAACGCCCATCTTTGGGTGCTGGGCGCCGGTGCGCATTTTTGCGTCTGAAAGAAACAGGTCGAAGCCGGCCAAAACCCGCGGAAACGGAGATTAATGTGAATGTCGCTGCTCGAGGCGAATGCCGAAATCAGCTGGCTGATCAGTTCTGGGCTCCGGTACCTTGATGTCGGAAAATGTCGTGCAAGTGTTCGCTCGCACCCGCATTTGTCGCTGCAAGCGCCAGAAAGAGACGTTACTTTTCGAATTTGCCCTGTGTCGTACAGTAAAATGTGAATTCGAATCGTGCAATCGCATGTAAAATGGAGGAAATTGGCGCATTTTACTTTTAAATATGCGCTCATTTTCTAGTTGGTGCATATCTGTTAATCAGGTACAAAGAGTAAAATATCCTTTTTTTTTAGATACAGAAATAGACAAGTTTGGCGGTTAAGGTTGGAAATGAAGTTGTATACTATTTGCGGATCTCTGCCGATTCATAAATAATTTAGAAATTACATTATATGTTTGTATTAGTCAATAGAAATTACATTTCATAAACTCAACTTTATAATACTTGCTATCATATAATTTGTCATAAGGCTTGATTAATGTTATATATACATATGTATATATAAGACGTTTTCTTATTCGGTTTTAAATGTAAAAATGTAGTTTTACTTTTATCCGCTGACATACACATTCGTAATTTGAGCACTTCAAGAATGTCTTAAGTTGCGGATAAGACGTTGGGATTATCCTTCTGAGGTATGCCCACACAGCCCAAGGTCAAGTTGGCACCTTTTAATCCGCCTTAATTAGATTCTTTGTTGGGCTATAAAAGCATTTTGACGACACTTCCCATAGGCCATAGGTGAAACAAGTCAAGGGCCAGCATGTTAAGCTCCAAAGCTAACTAAATATTGGAGCGGATCAAGCAAAATGCACCTCAACGGCCCAAGTGGGCCACAGGCCTATGTGAACGATAGCTCTAGTGATGGAGGAGTCTTCCCCATGGGGCATGGATATCCGGTGGAGTACCAACACATGGTGCACTCTCATTGGCGGGGATTCCGAGAGGCTCCCATCTATTATCACGCCGGATTTTACATAGCTTATTTCGTCCTGATGCTATCAAGTATTTTCGGAAATGGATTGGTCATCTGGATTTTTTCTACGTGAGTCAAAGGTCATCAAAATTATAAGGAAATCACATTTAGCACACTTTCTTATTTTAGATCGAAATCTCTGCGAACTCCCTCTAACCTCTTGATTCTTAACCTGGCTGTTTTTGATCTGTTCATGTGCACCAATATGCCCCATTACCTTCTCAACGCAGCTGTTGGCTATATAGTTGGTGGAGACCTGGGCTGCGATATATACGCTTTGAACGGAGGCATCTCCGGAATGGGAGCTTCCATAACGAATGCCTTCATTGCATTTGATCGGTACAAGACAATATCAAACCCTATTGACGGACGATTGAGTTATGGACAAATTGTATTGCTTATAATATTAACCTGGTTGTGGGCCACGCCATTTTCGGTGCTGCCATTGTTTCAGATCTGGGGACGTTATCAACCGGGTGAGTTGCTAACTACTAATGTTTTTACAGGTCATAGCATACTTTAAGGTACATAAACAACTTTTGTTATTAGGAACATCTAAGTCTATACTAGCCCAAAAGTTTTTATAAGATATTCAAACAAAATTACATTTTCTACATTTTTTTATAAGATATTCTAACAAAATTACATTTTCTAGAGGGCTATCTGACCACCTGCTCGTTTGACTACCTTACCAACACCGATGATAACAAGCTGTTTGTGCGTACGATCTTCGTGTGGTCCTACGTGATTCCAATGAGCATGATCCTGGTATCTTACTATAAACTCTTTACCCATGTACGAGTTCATGAGAAAATGTTGGCGGAACAGGCAAAAAAAATGAATGTCAAATCCTTGTCCGCTAATGCTAATGCGGATAGCATGAGTGTAGAGCTACGGATTGCCAAGGCAGCCCTAATCATTTACATGCTGTTTATCCTGGCCTGGACACCTTACTCTGTGGTGGCGCTAATCGGATGCTTTGGAGAACAACAGCTTATAACCCCCTTCGTCTCGATGCTACCGTGTTTGGCCTGCAAGTCGGTGTCGTGTCTGGATCCCTGGGTATATGCCACTAGCCATCCCAAGTATCGTCTAGAGTTGGAGCGCCGTCTCCCGTGGTTGGGCATCCGCGAGAAACAGGCCACATCTGGGACTTCTGGCGGTCAGGAGAGTGTTGCTAGTGTTAGCGGAGATACATTGGCTCTCAGTGTGCAAAACTAAAAGGACAGCTATCGACTTAAAGATGTGAAATCAAGCTTAAAATTGGATTTAGTTGATTAGTTGTAAGGCGCAATGAACTGAAAGAGTTCCAAAAATACAAACCAAAAAAAAGTTGGCATTGAAAAATAACAAACAGTTTCCTTTGAAATTATCTAGTTTTTGAAAGTAATGATAGTAATTTTCTGGGAAAGCCAGGGTTTAGGGAGGCTTTTGTCCTTTACTCCGAGGTCGGAATGTTCCCTCCTATCAAAAAAATGAACGACAAATCGAGAGAATACGCTCGTTTGTTTGCCCCGTAGAGCGCACACTCGGCAAACGGGTACAGAAACAGAAGTATAAACGATAAAAGCAGCGACGGCAACGGCGATTTCAATAGGCGGTAGTGGCAGTCCAGTCGGCCAGTCCAACCACCAGCGAGGTTGAAGAAGTTGTGCTTCTTTGTTGCTTGCGCGCATCCAACCAATCCGAAAACGAAAAGCGGCGTTTCAATTCAGCGAATGTTCCACACGGTATCAGGCGAACAGAACCGTTAGGAACGGTTTACAACATTTAAAGGCAGCGGTTGAAAGCGTGATTGGCTAGCCAAGTGGGTGTGGTGGGGCCCATCGAATCCGGATTCCGGAGCGAGGAGCATGGCAACAATGTTGCAGTTGTTACCGCCGCCGCTCCACGACGAATATGTATATGTACATAGATACCACCATATAGGCAACTTTGGTGCGAGCGAGTGGCGCTAAGTGGGGCTTCTTCTTGCTCTTTAAGAAACAACAAACATTTTTACTAGGTCTCCAGGAGATTTAGCAGCATGCCGCTTGGCTAGCGAGCGATTAGATTTCCAATGGAAACTCAATAGAAACGCTGTTAGAAGCGGTGCGCACAGGTGCGAGCGAGACGAGCATAGAGAGTGCGGTGCGGGATTAGAGAGATGGACAGATGTGCATTCAGCATCTGCCGCCGGTCGTACTCCACCTACCGTCACCCGTCACCCGCAACCAATCCCGTCCGATTCTCCGGATAATCCAATTTGCGCGTTGAATTCAAGTGCTTGTCGCCTCGAAGTGATTCGATCCAACTCGCTTGCTCTTTCTGCGTCCGAACTTTTCTGTTGTGTCGTTTTCGACATTCCTCTTATTGTGTGACCGCCCAGACTTGTTGCATGTAATAATAATAATAACGAACGAAACGGTATCGTAGCTGTTTAGTGGATGATTAAACTGAATTTAATCGTTTGCGAACAGGCGCTCAGCGCCGTCGAGGCGGTCATTATTGCCGCTGCGTTTCTCGCACTGAAATCCATACGAGTTTAAATTGCTCACTGAATGGGCGGCACTGTACGGTTGTCTCGCTCCCACACTCGTTTGGCGAACACCTTGAAGTCCAGTTGCGAATTTACTGGACAGAATCGTTCTGGGCAGATTAAAAATTCAAAAATTCACTTTTATTCATAAGTCACAAGGAACAAATAATTAATAATAATAATAATAATAATAAAAGTGCAACATTAATATTGATAAATTAGAGTCTTTAACTCTAAAAAAAAATAAAAGAAATACATAAGTTTATATATATATATTTTAAAAATGCACTTAGTTCATTTACAATAGCATACATTTACGGGTTATCGAAACCTTTTACTTTACGAAAGTAAGTTCCTGATATTTCCTTAAAACGGTCACCCGATTTATGGATTTAATTATCACTGCACATGACAATTTCTTTTCCGACTAAATTTTACAACTGTCCCATTTCCCACAGAGCACCATCTTAACCCTATGCCATCTCACTTGCTCTCATAGCACACGAGCGACAACTGACAGTAGACCATCTCCGTCGCTCCACATTAATCGTCTTTCTATGATTTTGGCAATCCTAATAATGCCAATTCATGGGGTGGGCGCCTGTTAACTAGCAGCAGGCTTACAGCATTAACATGACGGAAATCGATAGCAGATGACATTTTGCAATTTTGGGACTGCACCCACTTATTATCCTATCCTGGGGCTCTGTTAACATTTGAACGTTAAAAATTCGATTTTATAGAATTCCAGCAACGCCCCGAAGAGCGAGAAAAGAGCAGATACTCGTAATTACAGAGGCAAGCGCTACCAAACAAAAGGCCTCTTGGAATTGCGCTAACACAGCTAACAGCCCAACAGCCCAGCTGCTACGCATTCTGCGCGCCTCTTAGTTATTATGTCAGATCTGCAATGTGCGACTATAAAATACGTATGCGGCCGACGAGAATTTATTGACTCGACGCCCCCGGCTGGGGGTGTGAGTTATAAAATTGATGGCATAAACTGTCTTGAATTTATAAACACACACACAGCGCTCACACTTGGGACTCCGTTTTGCATTTGCATTTCCTGGGCGCCTAGCCGGTTTTTCGAATGTATGGTAACATTTTGTAGTCATTTTATGCGCCAGAGAGTGTGCGATGAACTCGTGGTGGGTGGATTTGCACTCGGTTCACCTACTCTCGGCTTCTGTAAGCCTGGTAAAAATTTTCGGTTGTATGTTGGTAACATTTTGTAGTCCCAAAATGTTCGAGCTCGGCAGCGGAAGCGGCAGCTCTGGCAACGCTTCTCGCGCCATCCCGCTCTTGCTCCCACAGCTTTTGTATATGCTTGGAATTTTTGGGCGGCATTCCCGACCGCATATTTCGAATGTCGTGAAGATGCAGGGTTGCCAGGCCACCGGACGGGATCGAGGCGCGACAGGTGGCCAGCCAACGCTGCCGACGACTGGTAGTCAACCCTGGTCGAGCGTTCCACGGGCCAATGGCATTCCTAGCATAACGAAGCCGTCTGCTTTTTGCGCTGCTTGCCTGTTCGGGCAGCTGAGTGAAATTTCATGCAGCGCGATTCTCACAAATTTCGAATTCCCCACATATTTTCGTGGCGTGCCGTTGGCATTTGTGTGTTACTTTTGCCTTGGTTCTCACTGGTCTCGCGATTATAGCGTTATGGCTGGTAGATAGGGTGGTTGACTTTCCATTTGCACGATTTTTTTTATCCAACGTACTATGGCCTTGAGGGGGCGGGTTAGTGGAGATGTACATATTATATGTATATATGTAAACTTTTTGAGCTCGACATTATATACATTGGGATGTAATTAATTAATTTCTTAACACGGTGTATAAAGTTATTATGTTAATAAGTTAATAAGTATGTATGTACGTACGTTTCCGAGGAAGTTTAATCATCTGAGCTCATTTATACCCAAATTTTTTGATAAACCCAAAAAAGCATAGATAAGAACTTAGCTGGTCCACTAGATTTCGGGTTTAGCTTCTAGTTTCTAAAGTTTGCTGGAATCGCCAGTACTCTCATAAGTAATATGGAATTAAAAATACTGCAGCTTGCGGGTGTGATATTTTTACTTTTCTGGACGGAGGCGATGAGTGAACCCTATGAGATTCTTAAAACTCTCAAAATTTGGATGACCATCAGCGCAAAAGATAATTTTTTAGAGGTCTCTTGGAGTAATGCCCCGGCTGACGTTGGCGATGAAGTCCTTATTACGAAGGGAGATGCCTTTATCTTTAAAAAAAACCTCCTTCCGGATAAGAAGAAAGGAGGGGTATGGTTGGCTAATAGAGGAGTCACAAAGGTTGTTGCTGCGATTAAATTGAGACAGGGAGTTTTTAACCATTGGCACACCACTAGACTTCCGTTTAATTACACCTTATCTAGAAATGTGACAGTTCAAACATCGTGCTATGGCTTTTGGGCCAGTTACATCGATGCTCAGGGAACAATCCTGGCCAAAACCTGCTTGAAAGTGTTTCCTCGCTGGATGAACGAACTGAAGTCAAAGATCGGAGAAATGCGACTGCGAGATCTTTTTATTCCCGGAACCCACGACTCCGGCGCATATCATCCTGTAGATTTACCATGGTACAATCAGTTTTTGGTGAAGAAAGTACTATCTGACCCAAGATGACGACATCAGGGGTCAGCTTTTGCATGGTGTACGATACCTGGACATACGGGTGGGTTACTACTCACATCTTTCTCCGGATAAGTTTTATATTAATCATGATAAATACAAACTGCGTCCTCTGGAAGAGGTTATCAATCAGGTAATAGACTTTGTTAACGAAACCAACGAGGTTGTGATCTTTGGAATCAAAGAGTTTCCAGTAGGTAAATATTTTTGAACGGAATACGATTATTGATATTTTAGTAACTTTTGGTTGATATCTTTCAGGGTTTTCTGAAGACAATGACCCTCACCGCCAGCTAATCAGTTATTTACGAATGAAATTCCAAGATCTTTTAGTTGATCCTTCGTTAACATGGAACGCAACCATGCAGGACATTTGGAACAGAAAGCAAAATGTTATCCTGGCATATGACCACAAGGATATGGTCAAAGAGTTCCCAGAGGTCTTGTTTGAAGCCGTGAAACAAAAGTGGGGCGACAAGCAGTCATGGCTAGATCTTGAGACATTTTTGCGCGATAATAAAAGAATTTGAAGACACGTGAGTTAATCTACAACTTTTTGATTGGCTTATGATTAATTTAACCGATTTTTACTGCCGCAGAGAGTGTTTTCTGTGTCCGGTGTCCGCAATGGCAGAGTTAACCCCTAAAGTAAACGGGATGTGTTTGATCAATTTAATTATTCCCATGGGCTGTGACCTACGTGATATGGCAGACGAAGTTAATCGGCGAATATCTCAACTATACCGAAATGAATGGGGCACATATGCCAACATTGTGTCAGCGGATTTCATAAGGGGTACCACACTAGTCGAAACTGGCATAGAATATAATACACACCCAAGGAAAAGAACCAGTTCAATGGAGGAATTAGAAATAAGTATAAGAAAAAATGAAGAGGATATTTTGAAATTAAGAAAGGAAGCAGATTTATTATTGTTAGAGATAGAAAGAAATCTTAGGGAACTTAAAATCTCTATTGAGTCTAAGAAGATAAAGCCGGAAAACTAATTTAATGTTTATTTTTGCACACCGGAATGAATTACTTTATAGATATCCCTTATAAATTACCCATTGTGCATTATCAATTTATTATGCTAATCAGTTTTTTTTATGTTTTCCCATATTATGTAATTTCTAGAGTCTATAAGATATACTAATTTGTGATTATATGGAAACAGAAACTTTGCACAAATATTAAATTTCATTTAGAATTAGGGCTAATTCAAGTGCAAAGGGTTCAAGAGTAAACAGATACGTTGTCGAGGAAGTCTAATAATCTTAGCTAATTGATACCGAAATTTTTTGATAACCCCAATAAAAGCATAGATAAGAATCTAGCTGGTTCACTAAATTTGGGGTTTAGGTTTCAGTTTCTAAATTTCGCTCGAAAGAGCAGTACTCTCATAAGTGATATGGAATTGAAAATTTTGCAGACTGCGAGATCTTTTTATTCCAGGAACCCACGAATCCGGAGCATATTAACCTGTAGATTTACCGTGGAACAATCGGTATTGGATTGAAAAGTATCTGACCCAAGATGACGACATCAAGGGACAGCTTATGCATGGTGTACGATACCTGGACATACGCGTGGGTTACTACTCACAACTTTCTCCGGATAAGTTTTACATTAATCATGATCATTTCAAACTGAGTCCTCTGGAAGAGGTAATTGACTTTGTCAACGAAACCAACGAAATTGTGATCTTTGGACTCACTGAGTTTCCAGTAGGTAAACATTTTTGAACGGAAAAAGATTTTTTGATATTTTAGTAATATCTATACGGAGATGAATTGGGCAGACATACCAACATCGTGTCACCGGATTTCATAACACACTTGTCGAAACTGCCATAGAGTATAATACATACCCAAGGAAAAGAATCAGTTTAATGGAGCAATTCCAGTCAACTCCTAATATATTCGTACATACATAAGTTGCAAGCTTGTTTTTTAATTTCATGAAATATGTAACGGAAAGTAAAATGTAATATCTCAAATGAAAGATATACATTTTAAAATATATGTAACATTTATTAGAAATTTTGAATATTTTGAAATAAAGAAAGAAACCCGATTTATTATTGTTAGATTTAAAAGGAAATCTTAGTGAACTTACAATTTCTATAAATTCTAAGAAAATAAAATCCGAAAACTAATTTCCTGGTTATTTTTGCACACTGGAAAAAATTACTTTATAGATATCCCTTATAAATTAACCATTATTCAGCCCTGCTTTCCAGCAAGAAAGAGCAAGCCAATCCCGACAGGCCAACTAGTTGGCTTCATCGGAGTGGAAGAGAATTGGTGGAGAGGGCACCTCATTATTCCCTCCACCAAATACGCACTGCATCCTTAAAATCAAGGTGACATTGCTGGCATCGCCTAAGAAACTCATTCCAGTTCCGTAAAATGTAGTCACCTTGGCGAGAGTTCCACATCCGCTGGAGGTGGAAGTGGGTGGCAGTGGTGCCGCTGGAGTTAGACGCACTATTGTCCTCTGTAAATCCTCATTGTAACAAGCGCCCAGAATCATCGCCTTACGCATAAGTCGACCTGACTCCAGACTTCGAAAATGCAGCGACAACAGCAGCAGAAGCAGCGGCAGCAGCACAACAGCAATATGCCAATGCAAAAAAGTTGCCATAAAGAGACGACAACGTCGTCGTCCCCATCTCCGCATTGGCATCCACCACATCGCCATCGCCCAAAAATAAATGCAACGCCTTCGAATGGGCGATCTCCCAGATACTCGCACTCTTTTCCCTTCCTCATCCCGCTTAGATCTGGGGATCGGAACTCGTCGGATGCAGTGTCCGTTGCTGCTGTGCTGTGGTTGCTGCTGCTCCCAGCAAGTTCAATGGCCCAACTCAAGGCGATGCGAAAAAGGAAATAAAAAAAAAAAGTAAAGAAAAGAAAACACACAGCGAAAAATTGAACAAGCAAATCATTCTGATTGCTTCCCGCAAACTGGTTTCAGGGTTACGACTGCGAGGAATACTTCGGTTGTGTTGTTTTAGAAATCAGCTTAGCCATACAAAAAAGATTTAAAAAAACTTAATTGAAATTTTTCCAATAGATATGCAAGTGCCACCTATTGTAAGAACCCTTAGAATTTTTAGACATGCTATTGGAAAGAACATTTCTAACATTTAGTTTCTTTGACACAACTTAAAACTAGTCCCAAATTGATCTTATAATTTCTAACAACTAACAAAAAATACTACAAAAAACACAAAAATCTTGTATTTTTTTTTATTATTATTGTTTTCGTATATTTCTATATAAATATTTTACCTCTTTCCAGCTTAAGTAGTGTTTTGTAAATACAATTCTGTCTTCTATTGCAGAGACATAAATATAAATGTACATAAATTTTGGATCTGGAATGCACAAGCATTCTATAATTATAGCTTTGAGTATAAGAGCTAATTTCTTGATTCTTGGAACGTCGCCTTAGAGGTTCCACTGTCCAACGAGGCTAGTTGTGCGGTTTTAAATAAATTATGTAGCATTCCGAAATACTACCTCAAGATATAAATTCATTGGATTAGGCGGGGTAGGTTTTCTAGTGTCGTCCAACCTGTGTAAGCTGCATTAAAATAATATTTGGTGCCATTGGTTATAATATAAACTAGAGTATAATATCGAATTATGGTACAACCATTAGCCCTAGCATTCTAACAAAGCAGGGCAATGTTTCCGCTTTCGTTGCCAGCGAGGAAAGCTCGGTTCAAGGGCAACACAGCCAGGGAGGTCAGCACACCGCGGAATGTCTCTGAGCGAAGTTTGGTAATCGTGTTAAACGCGTGGGAATGGGCCACATCCGCATAGACGCCCACACGGTTACCCGTGGTTGCGTAGACCAAAGAAGAGCCAACGCTCTGCAGGAAATGAGCGGGCTCTGGGGGAGGTCTGTAAAATAAATAATAATTTAAGTAGCTATTAATCATTAATTTAAGCTTAAATTTAACTCACTTGAGTTGGTAGTGCATAATGCCATCTAAAGCGTGCCAAACAGCCAGGCTATGATCCAAAGCGGAGCTCACCAGGAACTGATCACTTGGGGCTGCCAGCTGCAGCAGATCACATTCCATTGGCCGCCAGGAATTGATCACCATTCCAGTGCGCGTGTCCAGCTGGACAATGCAGCCCGATGAGAGTCCGGCTGCTAGCCAATTTCCAGATGGGGCCACAGTCAGGCAACGGACAGTTGCATTGGGTAGTGCCGCGTTGGTTACTCGCCACTCATTCACGTACTCAAAACTCCTGGCATCGACCATCTTAACAGTAGATTCGGCTGTTCCGGCTATAACCAGCGGGGAATGGGACGGCAAGCATTTGACCACCGTCACAGCACTATGACGAGGAGCATCTAGTATGCCAAGAGGTCTTCCAATGAACGGATCCCAAATATGAATTCCTGAGTCACAGGACACTACATAACGCAACGATTCTAGAAAACCAAGAGAGTTGATGGACTTTTTGTGAGCCGTGTAAGTGAACTGGCAGGCGGTCGTCTTCCGTCCATCTCCTTCGCTGCGCAGCGACCACAGCTTCACGGTCTTGTCTTTGGAGGCGGAAATGAAGCTGTTCTCATTATCCAGGGCATAAATAGCCCTAACGGAGTTTGTGTGACCCACAAAGGACTGCAGCCGAATTTGCTTAAGATTCAGAGTCTGATTGTCCTTCTCACTGCGCGTCGTCTCATTGCGCCAGTAGGCCAACCAGTTTCCTTTTAGGTGCCGAGTTTTGGGCATCTGGTCTAGTTTGTAAGCCACCATGTCGAGCAGTTCGACGTTGTTCCTGGTCACTTGCAGGCGATTTCCCACGATCTGAGTACCAAAGCTGTTGGCGGCCAGTTCGCAGCTGGCATCCACAGTGTCGAAATCTTGTCCAGAACTCACACTGGTTGCCAGTTCAGGTTTGCTATGTCCTTTACCACTGGGTTGCTCGTGTTCGTGACACAAGGTCAGGACAAACTCTAGATTGCTTAGAGTTTTCTTCATGTTGGCCTCGCCCAGAAAACGCAGAAAGGTTAGATAGGCAGTGTGCGCTAGCTCTGGTCCAAACACGTCCCTCAACTCTTCCAGGGCACGTTCCTGATGCGATGCTCCACCAACTAGCGATAGATTTGCCAGATCGCAGGCAAAATCGTTAGGCAATCCAAAAGCCTTGTTAAAGATCAAGAAAAAAGGACTGAGTAACGGCTGGCATAGATGCTCCCGAGTCATATCCGATCCCAGGCGAACACTTAGAGCATAAATCGCATCCAAAAACTTCCGAGCCAATAAAGAGCGTCCCAGGTAACCACTGGGCATCAAAAGGTTCGTTGAGCTTAACAAACGCAGAATGGGCAGAAGGATGGCCTCCAGTAGTATATGCTGGAGATGCTCCATAATACTGGCATCAGTTAGACAAGGAACCATGTACTTAAGCAGCTGCAGGGAACTGATTATAGCTCCTTCAAGGCTGCCAGTGATTCGTTTGGAGCACAGACCTATAAGTTCACTTATGTGGGGAAAATACTGCAGTAGAAGGAAGTTTTCCCCATAGAGAGCTAAAATGGTGAAAGATATATATTAGATGACCGTTCAAATGAATTATGATTTCTATAAGCTCACCTGCTATGGACATGAGACACTCCAGAACTCGAGCTGCACTTCGATCGCCCACGACCCTTGCATTTGCAATACTGAAATAGTTGAGGTTGGCTGCATCGGGGCTAGAGCTAAACCCACCGTCATCGACCTCCGGCAGCAGGTTCTCCTGACCCACATAGCATAGCGAGAGTAATTTCAGAAGGTTTCTCGTGATAAACCGAGAGGTGAGCACCGGACCCAATCTATGCGACAGCCACACCAAGCTCTCGGCGCTCATTTCACTAATTCGGTTGTTTTGGACGGCTTTTGCCTCCGACAGGCGAGAAATAACGGATGCCTGCAGGGAGTCGGAGGGCTCTATTTCCGTCTCCACTGCTGGAGGAGGTAGCTGCTCCACCGCTTGGCTGATTAGTTCGAAGCTGTCAACACTCTTTCGGGAGCCAATATCGCAGTCGATGGCGCTTAGCTGGAAACTTCGACGAATGCCGCTGGCTGTTGGACACACAGGAATCTCAATGGTGGGCGAGCGAGGTCCTAGATTGGGCGGAACGAAAGCGGGCGGCGTTTGACCCTCTCTCAAGGATAACTTATCTGGCGATATTCTGGCCCCATACATAAGTTCATTGATCACCAGTTTATCCGGTGATCCATCCGATTCTCGAGCTTCCTCTGCACTGGCAGCACTGGTGCTGGGACGCATGTCAAAGGAGTCAATGGACTTGCTGTCCTGAGTAGAGGCCCTGTCTTGATCATCCTCGAATGTGAACAGTTCCTCGATGTCTGGCTTTGTGTCTGGTTCACCTGTCTCTTGAACCACTTTTTCCAAGGCAAAGTTGAGATTCTTACTCGTCCTTCTGCTTCCGCCACTATGGTAGTGATAGCCATTTCCCTGATCCGGTTCCTTGTAGCCACCCACTGCTTCTATCAGAGGGGCTATAAAATGATGCAGAAAACAACGGAGTCCAAAGCGCACAATCAGACGGAGCAGGAAACTGTGATGGTAAAGTTTCACGGACTTTCGAGATTTGAATGAACTGCTGGCAGAAAAACGCAGATGGCCACCACTGCTAGTGGAGCCATTGGAACCACCGTCCTCCGGCGAGGTGACACCCTCCACATCGTAAAGCTTGAGCAGTGGTTGGAGGAGATGCTGTTGTGTTTGTAATATTCCCAAGGCCTGAGCTATGGGATCAAACAAGTTCCAGGCAGTTAAGATCGATGTGCGTTCATCTCTCAAGAGATCAATGATGTGGGGTAGCAACAACTCAACCGGAGTGAATTGCTCGTAGGCAAAAGCCATTGGTTCGAGTAGCCTTTTTACATGGGCACAGCAGGACATGACCTTACACTCTGCGATTTTTCTTTCAAAGAGCACTCTCTGACGATCCATCTCCGTGTACCTGACACACTCCCTTCCTCCTTTGCAATTGAAATGGGTGTGCAACTCCAATAGCACTGCATTAGCCTCAAAAGCATTTAGGGATCTGACAAGAGCATAGACAGCCATGTAATGGCTAGGAAATGGTAGCAACATGTTTGCGAACATGGGCTCTATCAGCTGAGCAGGATTTGGTGGCTGTGGCAGGCCTTGATCTTCTGTTCTGTCATCCTCCAATTGCAAAAGAAGTCGAGCAACTTTCCGCACTGGTTTAGGCAGTTCCTGACGATGCATTTGAGCCACCGTCCGGCAGGCTGAGAGTCGAGCCTCAAAGGTAGAACTTAAGCCATTTCCCATTAGCAGCGGGCGCAAACGTTGCATCGCAAAGAGCTCCACAATTAGGCATCCCAGGACCTGCAGATCACGCTCTCTCCTGGAACTCACTAGCTGCTGAAGACAATATCTCTTTTCTCTCAGGAGATTCTTTGATTTTGTGGGAATTTCTTCACCACTGGCAAAAAGCTGATTAGTAAAGGAATGTTCCGCTGAGTTCTGTTCAAAAAGAAGATCACTGCTGATCATTTTCTCCTCGGGATTAGCCGACGGCCGCTGCTGTGGGAAAGTACGTGCGTAAAATGCCTCTAGAGACTCCAGATTTTGTAGCAACAGTGCAGGATTATAGTTCTCCGGGAGTTCAATTAAGTTGGTAATCGCATAGAAATTAGAAGCCGATGCGGATGCGGAACTACTGTGTACAGAGCCGCTTGATCCATCATCTCCCAGACGCAAAGAGAGACGCGAAGATCCAGTTTCACTCTCAGCTTGTAGGTTCTCCGTACTCTTGGCCAGACGCTTCGAGGGACTGGCATATAGTTGACTTAGCCTGGGAGCAGTTTTACTGAACCAGGACGTAGCGTATCGACGCGGCGGATGAGCGCTTCCAAAGAGTTGCACAATGCCGCGCTGACTGAGATTCCTGTGCTGATCGACAAGCGTAAGGCAGACATTCTTTGATTTAACCGCCGCCTTCCCACTCAGCTTGTACCTACAATTGAATAGGAAAATTAGAAAAGAATATAATATATTGGGTTTAAGAGGGTGTGATTTAATATTATTGAATAGATAGCGATCCAGAAATCAAAATGATTCAGTAAAAAACTCACCCGAAGTTCAAATCAATCCAATGATGCAGCCGTTCGCTTACGTACTGCGACTCCAGCGCCTCTCGATGCTTGCAAATGAAGTCCTCGGGACAAGAAGCCCAAGTGGGTAACTCCAGATCTGGCAGGTCTTCGTGGATGCTTTTAAAGATCATAGGATCCGAGTAGAACTCGGGTATACACTCATCAGGGGTCCATTCCTGGAGACGCTGAATGGATACAGGATATTCCGCTGGCACCCATATGGGACGCACGTGGGCACACAAAATAGCCTGCGGGGTTCTCCTAGCCATGTACACAAAGTAGGTGATCTCAGAAAGAAAGTCGGAGACGTGATGGGGCGCCTGATCACCGACAGGTTGGAAATTGTCGTCACCGCATCCATGCTGACTCGCATGGGAGTACATGAGATCGAGATGGACATCCCCCTTGTTGAGTCGATACTTGCTCTTTGTTAAATCCCGCCAAGTAGCTCCTCCGCGACCATTGAAGTCGGTGACCCAGGGCATGATGTGGTGATGCGCGGCATTGGTTAGACTCCTTCCACACGCATTATTCAGGATGGTCAGATAATCGAAGTTGGATAACTGACCATTGCACCACATCTCAGAATACTCCCGCAGATTAAAGTGCGCCGGATCGTAGGCAAATCGCAGGTCAAACATGGTGCTGCTTAAGGGCAGGGGCTTTTGCGATTCCCTCGTTTCTCCCAAATCATCGCTTGCTAGAGGTGTTAGTGGCGACAAGTCTTCCCCCGCTGGATCTTCTTCTAGCAGATTACAATGTAACCTCGGGAGCACTTGCAGCCACAGATTCTCACGCAGCACAATATGTTGCAGGCGGAGATCGCCCAAGAAAAGACCCTGTTCTTGAAGATGCTTGGCCAGCTGTAGGATCTGGTAAATCACAAATAATGTCTTGTTGTAATTCTTTCCCAATAGTGCCGGACTGAAGGTGATACAGTCGTACAGGCTGCATTCTAATGCTGGAGGATACAGGAAGACGCTAAAGTGCGTAGAGGTCTCAATGGCGACCAGGGCGGGCAAGACGTTGGCATGACAGTTGCCTGGGTAATTTGAGATAGCAGCGTTTGAGTCACCATTACCCTCACGATCTAGTTGAGAATGCAGCACGGGGCATTGATAAACCCTCTGGATAAGTTCTTTTAGTACAGCGTCATGCGGTTGGAGCTGTGCCTGGCCACTGGGTAGCTTTGCCGAAGGCGCTGAAGAAGTTGACCTGCATAGCTTGACATGTGCGCCATCGTACTTCTTGTATGCCTCCTCCCACAACTGCTTAAAGTTGGTGTTGGCCACAAAGGACACTGCCTGCGAGTAGGACAGGGGCAAGTCTGTTGAGGTTGCTTTTTCGGAAACCCTCGGGAGTGGGTACACCCTCGCCTGAGGTTGCTTTCGATAAGTCTGCACTAGAATCCGGGTCCACGGGTGTTCCAACTGTCCAGTGGGATAAGCCCTGCGATCTAGCAGTGGCCAACTGGGAAAGTGAGTCAGTCGCTTATTCCGCTCCAGCGATTGCAGCCACGCCTTGTCGCAGATCAGTTGAAATCTCCCCTCTCCGCCAACCTCGCACACATGCTGCGGATCCACTCCAATCTCTGGCCAAATCAGATCGCTGTCGCCCATTTTCCTGCAGGAGTGCTCCAACTGAAAACTTGGCAATCCTGCGATTCCGATCCGCTGCTGCCTGCCACCGCAATTAGATTACATTTTTCGACTGGGCGAGGTTCGATCTGCTTCCGCCATAGGTTTTTTGGGCTTAAGCTCTTCGATTTACTGGGTTTTTCGAGGATTTTCTGTTATCTTATCAAAGTACGCTGCAAGTTTTTTTCGCGAAGCTGAGACATCAGCTGCTTAGCAATGTGACCAGGGTGAGGCTTGCTCCGAAAAAATACCACAAAATACCGAATAGTAGTTTTTGTACACTACCACTCAAACAGTTGTTTAGAACATTTACCGCGAAAATTCAAATTTTACTCTAAAATGTACTAAACATGGGATTTCTAATTATTTATAATTATTTTATAGGTGCACAGTGTAATATTTCAAATTTATTGGGGAACATAAAAAAAAAAAGGTTAATTTGCTAAATTCTTAAGATTTGTCATACAGATGTTTTATAAATTTGAAATATATCTTTAATAATAAAGAAAATAACTTTGTATTTTTGGTAATAAATAATCATAAACACATTTGTTAAAGTTCACACAAGGCGACATTTGTGTTTGCCAGCAAATAATTTAATTCCCAAGCGATGTCAACAACTTCCTTCATGGCAGCTGTCATATGCCAATTTGGCATACGACGCATGTGAGAAACACTTGGCCGATAATGATCGCAAATGTAATCAAAGGGCGTGGTGATCAGACTTTGGGAACTTTGGGAATTGCAAATATAAATATATTAAAATATGTACAAGAATTTATGTCCGTAAAATATGTCCTTGAATTTGAACGGGTTTGCAGATTAATATCTTAATTATAATAAATTTTTCAAAAAAATTCGAGAAGAAATGAAAAGTAAATTACTTATTAACTCCTGTGTCTGCTGACACCATGGAAATTCCCACGCTCCTCTATCCAAGTATTCTGTTTTCTTATCCAAAATCCTAATCTTATCAACGAGGTGGCCGGTTTTGTAATTTGCCGCCTTCTGCAGGTCATTTCCCCCCATATCTGTCTTTGTTTTTCCTGTTTGCGATCGGCACATAAAAGAACTACCACACAGCATCCCAGTTTAAGTTTAAAATGTTAGAGTTTCATGGTCTTCCAGATTTCTCACATCTACGAATGTTTGGGGGCTAGAATTTATTAGATTAATCTGTCGAATCGCGAATGGAATACAGTAGCAATATCATTTATGCACATACTTATAAGAAGTGCAATTATGGTAGCCAACTGGTTTCGGTGCCCCCGAAAAAGATTCGGCGAACCCCTTCCAAATCCGATGCTCGGACATACTTCCGTTTCGCACAAATTAGCAATCTTTAATATTGAGTATAAATAACAGAATCACGTGTTAAAGGCTTGTCTCCGGTTCCAGGTTCACCTGTCCAGATGTTGTTAGGGAAATTCACCCGAAGCCAATATTTGCAAAGTGCCACAATTAAATGTTTTGCATGCTAAAAGTTCTTACCACTTTTCACACTTCAAATGAGTTGTGCAAACAATTAAAAATGTTTGCTTATTTATTACATGTGCTGTATAGTATATGGAGTTATATTGTATATCGCGGCAGAACGCCAGCCCCCGGCTTTGGGGGAATAATAATGGAATTTTTAAAAATACCCTATATACGAGGGCAATCGAATTTGGCACTTTCCCTTAGCTCATAAAGCGGCGCACACGACTGCCTGTGATCAGAGCCAGCAATTAAGTTATTAAAACACCTTGTGGATGACGAACCTCAGTTGGTCGTACTCCCATATTCCATAAATCAGTATCAATGGGACGCAGTATATAGGCTTTTTTTTTTGTTTTTTTTGAAACCGCAAATCACATGCGCTGAGCTTTATGCCTCAGATTTGACAGTTCTGGTTTGTCCATAGTCGGAGGCGAAGATTCCCGCCTGTCGTCCCCTATGACCAATCTTATCTTTTCCTTGAAGCCTTGGTACAAAAGTCGCATTATAAAGTCTCTGACGGCTATAAAGATTAGGACCGATATTATGGTTAGTACCATTGTAAAAGACATATTTAAGATAGCCAACTTTGGGCGACCCGTTCCGCAGTTTATTTAGTTTTACGACCGCCACGAATATGGCAATATTTCCCGGCAAATAGAATAATAGCCAGAAGAAAAAAACCCAGAACTCATATAAATAACCCCATGACCCAATGCTGGCCAACCTTCGATCACTTAACCCCACACCATATCTCTTCGCACCGATCGCTCACTCAATCCAATCCACTCCAATTTGGCGAAGTAATTCGAGTCTCGTGACGACTTGCGGTCTCGGTTTTTATTTTTTTTTAGCTCGAGTATTTTCTTGTCATCATCGATGACCCTGAAAATGTCAATTGCGAAGCAATTTCCTTGCCTCGATTCGTTTTTTTGTTTAGTTTAGTTTTATTTTATTTGTGGTAGCTATTTTAATTGCTTAAGTGCTTATTTACTGCATTTTACTCGAACTATTCTCGCCTTAACCGGTGTCGATCACCTGTTGAGATTTCGCTTGAATGATTTATGGTTGTTACAAACTCGTTAGAGGCATGTGTCTAAAAACGCTTTAGTTGTTTTTCTTTTGTCAGGAAAAATCAAAAACAATTATCCTTTTAAGCTAGGAAATGTTTTGAACTAAATCTTAAACTGACTACTCATCTGTGGAATGTTTAGTACAGATTAGGCAGGGTAATTAACTCGAGATAGATGATATCTTATCTTGACGCATATATTTATATTTTTAGATTATATCATCATTATCTTTGATCCCTGTTATAAAGATAGAAATTTTCAAGAGAAATTGCAAACGCAAATGATCTTTAATAAAGGCAGCCAGAACTATTTTTAAATAATTAATATTGTCATATATGATTGATACATTCCCCAAGATTCGTGGTTCCTAACTTATGTCCTTCTAGAGCCAATCCATATATGAATTTTTCACTTGACTTATTATAGCTTTTAAATTGGTCGAGACATGCCGTGCGCCCAGGGAATTAAAGGTCTTTGGAGTAAAGTTGTTAGGAGACTTCAGTTCTACTTAGAGTCGAAGTATCAGATACCCTTAAAATTATGATAATGGATATCTATACAGTTAATACAAGAAATTATATTGGCAAATATAAAAGTGCTATTAAGAAAATCTGAGACTGCCTAAGATCTACCATTGAATTATTATTACCTTAACTTTCTTTTTATATACCCCCTGCCAGAGTATTATGTTATTTTGGCGCCCGCCACATACCATTAATGGACTTCAAATATAAAAGACTTTCAGGCCGCATCAATTAATTTGCCTTATAGTATATATATAACGCAAAATATTTGGTATGCGAGTTAAATATTGAGTTCTATATGTGTCTGTCTGCCGCGACGTCTGTCCAAATTACCAGTTTGAACTGGTAGGGTTTTGGGTGATGGACACTGAAGCCAGTTTTAGCTAGATTCTAGACTCTGAGTCGGTTGGAAATATATTTACATTTCCGATGATATATTCTGAATATTTGATGGTTATTTGGACAAACATTTCAATTGCAGAGTCGCGTCTCATTTTGCGCAGCATGGTTCGCTGACTTGGTAAAGTCAAATCGAAATGACAGGGCAGAAAAACGAGTTTGAAGATCAGTACGAATCATTATAGTTCGGACCCTATCAAATTGCATGGATCGTATGTGCGTGCGGTTAATTGATGGGGTGCACATCAATTGAAGTTTGTCACTTTTCATTAACCGAGAGAGATCTGGAATATTTCCAGACCGTGTCAACTTGGAATTCTTAGTGGGTAAATGCCGGTTATCTAGCCATTGTCACCTGGCTGATCTTAAGTCTGGACAAAGTGTGCCATCGATAAGAATGGCAATGTTTAACTGATAAACATGGCATACTTCTCTTGGATTTGTTGATTGAAGAGCAACACTCGTCAGTGGATTAGATTTCCGGCGATAATGGTCGGCTGATTGCATCAGAGATATTGCATGTGCGGGAAATCTTAAGCCAAATCAACGTGGAAATGGTTAAATGGAAATGGAAATCCCCCTAAAGTACAATCCATTGAGACGCCTATTAAGTATCACCCACTTAGGGTAACAGAACCAGACCTTATTATATTCCACCAGTCATATTTTCAAGTGATCTGACAATGCCCTGTTAATAAAAGCAGTCACCCCTTAAATTATATATATAGAATGAAATTATAAAAACAATGTATATTTAAACCGAAGCTTAGCTGCATTGAACCGCATCTGTAACTGGTTAATTCAGACGCTCCAAGTTATGCAGATATGTGTATATATATATAAGTATATATATGAAAATCGAGCGAAATTCTACTGAAATCGAAACTTAGTCTCAATTGGCATTCGAAAATGACCTGAAATGAATAGGGATCGCACAATATAAGTGTCAGGGGCGGTTTGAGGTGGTTCACCCGACTAAAACGATAAGCAATCCCTATTCTGGCCACCTCTCACAGCCTCCCACCAGCCCCTACTTTCCATTGTTAATTGCATTGCATAAAGTCGAAACCCGCCTCTAACCGGTAAACACTGCTGACTAACTAAACGTGCAACGAAAAAACTACAACTAAACTAATTCTATTGGAGCCACAACAAGTTGTCGCTCTCCATTGTATACCCTACGCTTCAGAGTGTAGGGTATGCTTCCTTGTAATACATCTTTAAGATTGGAATATATAGTATAAGCATTCAGAAGGCATCAAAGTCCCATTTTATATATACTGCATGGTCGGTAAACAAAGATATATATTGTTGTTCCTCACTTTAATCTGCCATATTTATGTGATGTTAAATATATATATTCTTAGTTCTTATATCCAGACAGAATACCTTGTCGCGTGTATAAAAAAATGTAAATGTTCTTGAAATTTGTATTTTTTAAAAATGTGCTTATACTAAGAATAGTTTTATTACGCCAAGTTTCATTGGCTGCTATTGTTTTGCTAAAATTCAAATCAATGTCGTATCTTGTTCCATTTTTAAAAATATATTTGCAATATTATTATAGTATTATTTATCATTGATCTATAGATAAGGTATTGTAAGACTTAACTGATAAGCTTTTAATCATAATTCTTACTTACTTTAATTACAAAACATAGTTTTCAATATCAATGTTTCTACTCTTGAAAAAGCCAAAGATCAAGATCAATGATTGAAAAGTTCTTAGAAAAATTCAACTAAGTTCATTGGGAAAATCCGCCATAAAAGCATATTTTACTGGGTGCAGTTAACCATTATTTGTGAATGGCTTTTCTGTCTGGGCCATTGTTAGGCAAAGTTTCGTGCATTCCGGTTTCGCTAGTTCTAAACTAGAGCAGGGTGCATAGTTTATCACATAGTTTAAGTTTAGTGGGTTTTTTCTTTCTTTTTTTTTATTTTTTTGATTTAGCCGTTTATAGAGAGACATAAAGTGAGCGCGTGCAAGTGAGACTTCTACTATAGACGGGGCCGGCCATACAGGAAAACCGTTAAGTATTCAGCGCAGAATCGATTGTTTGCTGATACCAACTGAAATCGAAATCGGGCTTGAACCGAAATGGCCAAATAAACCAAAGTTCCTTGGCGGCACAGCCGAAAGTTTTTTGTTGTTGGTGCATTTGTTAAAATGCTTTACGCATGCGGAGGCCCGATGGTCGATTGGATCGCATTGGATTGGATCGGCAAAGATAGCGAGAGTTTTTATGACATGCCACAAACATTCATTCATGCATGCAGAGAGAGAAAAACTTGCAGTTTTCTAGATATTTTTAAGAAAAGTTCTTAAAGTTTCAAAATTTTGCAGGATCTTAAAGGTTTCATTTGAATGATTGGTTTCTATGATTTATACTATATCATCATTAAAATTGCATTTTATAAATCTTTAACTTCATTTAACTAATATATTTCTCAAATAATTATGTTTTGTATCAAAAATAAATAAGAACAATAAACTTTTAAAATCCATCACTAAATCGAATCGATTGCATCGGAACTAAAGAACTAACATTTCCATAATTATATTTTTCGCAGTGTTCAATTGTGGCATTATGTACAACAAGTATAACGAGTCAACTCCTTGTCAATACAGCGATACACGATCACTAAACGGCAGCTAATAAAAAAATATATATATATATATACAGACATATACATATATGACAAAAAACTCCCGCTGCGGCAGAGAAGCTAACTGAGCAGCAGCGGCGGAGCGGCGCTTATCTGCTCTCATATAAACTAAAGTCGGCGGGAATAATTTCTCATTTGTAATTTGGCAGGCGGCGTGCGCGGATCGGCTTGGAGAATTGGAATCCACAAAATTAGCGATCGGGAATCGGTAAACGGTAGATCATTTGTCTAACAGTTGTTTCTCGAAAGAGATAGCAAATAGAACCGTTTAAAGTGTAATTGCGCGTGCGCCAAAGCATAGAAATAAATCGAGGGGAATATCGAGGAAAACCGGGAAGTTAAAGTGCGCGTATTGTACGTATTAAGGATCCGCAGTTGTCCTTAAACCCGTAACCGTGGCGAAGGAAGTGGACAGTTTGTTGATGCAGCGAAACAACAGTCCCGAGATGACTCAACAACCACAATGGGGCATAAGCCTGTCAAAGTGTAAGTGTTAGCCAATGATCGGGGGAGTTGATCCTACCCAGTGTTATCTCATCTGTATATGTATCATCCTCCATATCAGGAAGTGCGGATATTTGTGCGGATCGTTGAACTGCGATCGCGGGGGGCATTCTTTAGTGGCTTAAACTTAAAGTTAACCGACATTGACCGACAACAATATTAAAATCCTAAATGTATATAACGTGTGTATGCTGTATAATGCATAAAAATAAAAACAATGACAAAACGCTTTTGCCACTTCCGAATATTTTTTGAGTTTTGTGCGCTTCGTGTCTCGCATTTCATGTTTGTTTGGGTTTCTGTTTGTGTGTGTTTGGTGGCTTCTCTTAATATTCCCGGCATGCGTCCACATAATTGGTAAATATTTTGCATACGTTTTCCATTTGAAACAGTTTGCTAGTTGGTTACAGAACAGGGTATCAACTCCTCGATAACGACCATTAACAGTTATTATGGTCTTGTTGAACCGTTTATGGGCCTGTCCATCTACCATTTCCTCGCCCCATCTCGCTCTGTTCTCTTTTGGGCAAGGTCAATGCAATAAAGAATTCCGTCCACTGGTCTTTTTTTGGTCGTCGGATTGGGCAACCGTTTCTTTTGTAAGAGCTTTACGAAAATACAATTTTAGATACATATATATGGAGTCCCAAAATCACGTAAGCAGAAAGCCAATTTTACAGACAAATCTGTTTTCATTTTACTAGACAGCTTTTGAAATTACCCAACTGTCTAGTTCTGATGTAGTGCTAACTTATCATAGAAAACTTTTAATCTAAGTATGGCAAAAAAACAGTTGCTGTAAATTTCACCCACCAGAGGGCTTAAATTAGCCCAAAATGTTAGTTTGGTTAGCTTAATGAACTGAAAAGTTTACAAGTTGGCCATAAATCAACCGTTTGGCAGTCAGCATTACGCATTAGTTTTGAGTTATGGCAATTACCCGTTGGGGTAATCGACTTGTTCTATTGCTCAAAGTCTCATAATCATATGGAATAAAAAGGGTCTTGCATAGGAGTACTATCTGGTATATGTACTTATTTTTATGCAGCAATCGCTCTGTAGGAATGACCCTCTGCCACCCCGGCCCACTGACATCATTTTCGCAAGAGCGCGGAAATGCAAGCAAAAGAAATGGTGTTTATTATTCGTTCGGTGCTATCACTTGGCATTACCGATTGCCGGACAAAGAGTCACAGTCCCAGAAATGTCAACAGTCCACAGAGCGACAGACAGAAGAAATTGTTTTCATTTTCCTCCTCATTAACGCAACAGATATAAACGACAGACGTCTACTTTCCTTGATCACATTAAAGAATATTTTAAAGGAATTTTTAAATTATGATAATGCCAATATTAATATTGAGCTTCTGTCGAAGCTTCGATTTCTCAAAAGCATTTAGAACATGCATACCTCTCTTTATATCCAATATGTGCCTATTGTTATCTAATGAGAAAACCAACTAAAATTCTCCAACAAAAGGAAAATGAATAAAGATACAATTCTCACAATTTAAACTAGTTCATTGTCTTACCTAGCTAATTAGAAAGTTTCTCTGGGCTACAATTAAAACACTTAGTTGAGTCATAGATAATTTAATCGTCGGTGTTTTGAATTCCATAAAACATTCAATAAATTGTATAATTATCATTATTATCAAAGGAATGCTTTAAATAATGGTTATATTTCTTAGAAATTAATATGATTAATAACTGTTACCAAAGCCGATTAAATCCCATTGGAAAGTGAGTTTCCCTTTCCCTGCCAAGAGGTTACCACTTAGCTTTCATTTTCCACTCGTTCTGCACGATAAGGTTGAGTTTATAGCTAAGAAAACTCTGATTAAGTCTTGATTGGCTTATCGTAGGTGATGGTCCTTAGATCGAGAGCGGTCATATATTAACGCCACTAAGCGTGATTGTTAGGGTTAAAATATGGCCATACTTGTCGGCTAGCGATATGATTAGCAGCCATTTACATATATAGTCTTATCAACTTATCACATGGTAATCATACTAGTTGAATTGTTTTTTTTTTCATTTTTATTTGACACTCGTGGAGCGAACGCGAATAAATTTTCATGTCGATATGGTCGTTAAGTAACCTGTCAAATATTGACACATTGTTAATTTTGGCAGCTCCGGGCCACTGATTTAATGCAATTTGCCAGAAGCAAAAGATTTATTAATGTTAATTTATAGGGGAAATAAAACTTGTCAGTTAGTGACGTCGATGGGCTCTTTGCGAAACAGACTTTTATGAACTAAGGGAGTTTCGCATCCCATTAAAAAGGCAAACATAGTTGTTTGGTTTTTATGGGCGTGGGCAGGAGATACTATACTATATGTTTTTGACGTAGGTGAAGTCGTTTTTGAAATGTCAATAAAAAACAACAGTCGGTGGCTGTGGTGGGTGATCTAATAATATTGTCATGAATTGAATTCTGATTGTGTTTACCCAAGAACCCGAGCTGTTTGTTCATTTGGAATGCAGAGTGATCCGTATTATTAGCCAAGTGCTTAGCGTTTTTTGGATGAAATGGGTCAATGTTAACCCAGCGTGATCGATTCAACCTTCGGATTCCATAGAATAACCATCCCTAAGGCCTATAAATTTATAGCGAACACAACTTAATTGGCAGTGCCTCCCGCCATTGGTTTATGATCGTGGTTTTTGGTTACCTATTTGACATACTTCAGATTGCACTCCAAACATTTATCGCAGATCTACCGCACTTGGCCTTATCGCAGCGTAATTCCGCTTAACAATTTGATTGTGATATGGCGATCATATAAAAAGTACGCTCCACTTCGGTGCCTGGTGATTGATGGAGGGTCATGCTGGTACGAGTGCATAGCGCCGTTAATATAGCCTCTAATCTTTAGCACTAAACTTAAGCACGAGCCATAAACCTCACGAGACAGGAAGTTGGCCCAAAGGCGAGACTATAATATAGAATTCTTCAAATGCCATTGAGAAGCTACATAAACAATCAGCGAGTTTATAAATGAAGTCCATGAATGAGAGCAAATAAATTTCCATTGAGTTAAAAGTTTAAAAGAATTGAAAGACGTTTGCGGAGCACTGCAATATATCAGGAAAATGATTTATAGAATATTTAATCCAACTATTTAATTAATGTATGTGAAAATATTGTTATTTATTGACTTTGAAAATAACTCTTGACCAAGATTGTTGGCCTGTTTATTTAATTTCTTAGCTTATAAATTTTAAATAGGTTATTTACCTTCTGGTTTGTTAAATTTTACTATGGCTCATGATTCACAGAGGTCATGAGTCATCTAAACTCATTTAAATAAGAAATTTTCCCACAATTTGTTTTTAAAACGAAAGCCGAAGCTAAGAAATGGGACTGCCCTAATATATTCTATGATTTTTGAATGAAATAACGCAGTAGACTATGCATAATTTCTTTATCATTAAAATTAAAAACTGGTTTCGACCTAAATGGGCAGCCATCACCTCTGAAAATACTGATATAGGCGTCATCAGGCTTGTTTTATACATCTGTTCAAGATCAAAATGGACTATATATATTGTTAAATTTATAGATGTTAAACTAAGCGTGTCTACTAACTGAATGGTTTTTCAATGCGGGAAGATTTTAAATGTTTGCCTATTATTAGTGATAACAAACTTAATTTTTTGGAATAAATTGATTAGATGTGGGGAAATTTTATCAAACATCTTTAATTTGCTTAATAGAAATATAATTTTAGAAAAATAAAGTACAAAAACAAGTTTAATTAAATGAAATGTTTCATTTATTCAATAAGGAAGCATGTTTTTTAATAATGTTATATTGAAATCGGTTGTGACCGCTCCGCTAATTGATATAGTGCCACAGCAATCAAGTGCAATTTGAAGTTTATCAGCGCAAATTGATTTGTACCCAATTGAGCCACCCGTCAAACTATTTATTCGCACGCTAACCAAATTAAATAAGTAAATTGCTTAAACAGTATGAGACGCAAATCCATTTCGCTCGTAAAAAGCTTGACGCAGCGGCTGATAAATGTTGTCCAGCAGGTTAATTAATGCCATCCCGAAAAAGACACCCACTGACGTCAATACCTCTCTTCTAATCTTCCCCAACCGCAGTTTTCGTGATCCCGCAGCGTGTGATCCTGGCCATCATGGGCTTCCTGGCCATCCTGAATGCCTACACGATGCGCGTCTGTCTTTCTCAGGCCATCACGGTTCTGGTAACCAAAAAGAATTCCACGGACGACGACTCTCAAGCGATTTGCGAGGCCGATGACTTGGACGAGGGCACCAGTGTAAGTGAATCAGTAATCCTGATCAGTAATGGACAGAATTTATCTCTTTATTAATCTCTATTAGGATGGCGGTAATTTCGAGTGGTCAGAGGAGTTGCAAGGCTTGATCCTGTCCTCCTTCTACATTGGTTATATTGTTACCCACATTCCCGGAGGTCTGCTAGCCGAGAAGTTTGGTGGCAAATGGACTCTGGGTCTTGGTATCCTGTCCACCGCCGTGTTCACCATGCTGACTCCCCTGGCCATCAACCTGGGTGGCTCTGACTGGCTGATCGTAACTCGAGTTTTGATGGGTCTGGGCGAGGGAACTACTTTCCCTGCTTTGAGTGTCCTACTGGCTGCTTGGGTACCGGCTAACGAACGTGGAAAGCTTGGAGCTCTGGTGCTGGGTGGCGGTCAAGTGGGTACCATCATGGGTAACCTGTTGTCGGGAGTATTTATTGATGCCTACGGCTGGGAGTTCGTGTTCTACTTCTTTGGCGGCCTGGGTGTAGTCTGGTTTGCCATCTTTGTAAGTCTAGATTTGCACCTTCTGTATAAGTACAAGTTTTTAATGCTCTTAACACTCTTTTTTAGGTCTTCCTCTGCTACAGCGATCCCACTTCCCATCCCTTCATCAAGCCCAGCGAACGGGAGTATTTGGTCAAGGAAATTGGCACCATTAGCCGCAACGAGGACCTGCCACCCACTCCGTGGAAGGCCATTCTGACCAACCTGCCTATGTTTGCCCTGGTGGCCGCTCAGATTGGTCACGATTGGGGCTTCTACATCATGGTTACGGATCTGCCCAAGTACATGGCCGATGTCCTGCAATTCTCGATCAAGGCCAACGGCCTGTACTCCTCGCTGCCATACATCATGATGTGGATCGTCTCCGTGGGCAGTGGCTTCGTGGCCGATTGGATGATCCGCAGTGGCTTTATGAGCACTACTAACACTCGTAAGGTGATGACGGGTCTGGCTGCTTTCGGTCCGGCCATCTTCATGGTGGGTGCCTCCTACGCTGGCTGCGATCGTGTTCTCGTCGTGATACTCTTCACCATTTGCATGGGCCTGATGGGCGCCTACTATGCGGGCATGAAGCTGAGTCCCCTGGATATGAGTCCCAACTACGCCGGCACCTTGATGGCCATTACCAATGGAATTGGAGCTATTACTGGAGTGATTACCCCGTACCTGGTGGGCGTAATGACACCAAATGTGAGTATCAGTCTGTAAAATATATATTAGAACAAGCTGTTCTAGTTTGAGTTTCTATTTTTCTGAGTTAATTTATCAAAAACTTTTAGTCATAAATAAGTTAATCATGTAGTCACTGAATCATAATAGAAGTGGTCTTGAAATATTAGTACATTTTTTTTAATGCCTAGATTTTACAAGTGTTGCTCCAGATCTGAAACTAATATAAATGCTTTTTATCTATAGGCCTCGCTGCTGGAGTGGCGTCTTGTGTTCTGGGTGGCATTCGGAGTGCTCTGCGTCACTGCCGTAGTCTACTGCATCTGGGCATCCGGAGAGGTCCAGCCTTTCAATAACGCGCCCATTCAGCCACGTACTGTAGACTTTGAGGCGCAAGAGCGCAAACCGGAAGTCGGAAAGGCAAAGGGCCTGGAGCAGAGCTCCTAAGGTGGAAAGCCAACGAAAGTGCCATATTATACATTGTAATCTAGTTAAAATGCTGTCTACGTGGATGTTTTGTGATCCGTTAACGAGTCGATCCCAAAGGCATTATCGTACTGTATACGCCGTGGCTGTTGTTCAGATTGCTAGTTTTATAGTATTCCCGATCTGGCCGATCCCCGGTCAAGGCGCCAACTAACTAATTTAAGCGAATTTACTTACACTCCCGAACGTGCGCAATGTACTTCTATGTGTATTCCTGTTTTAGCTAGGATGACCCATTACCCTAATCCTATAAACTTAATCCAAAAAAAAAAAAACACCAAAACCATTGCCGTTCACCGCGCACGCAACGTACTCTCTTAATTATTATTTAGTATTTAAATGAAAGGCGATTTCACGTTTAAGATTTAGTGTACACAGATTTAGTGTCCTCCTATTGCCGTATTGTAAATCAAATGATGAAAAATTTTCTACATTTTAGATTGTTGATCAATGTGTAAAGTGAAATGTGTTTTTAACTGTTCTGCTAAGACATTACTGTTTTTATGACGTTAGTCAAATAAAGTGTATAAAGATAATTAAAGTAATACTTATTTCACTTATATAACTTTTGGGGGAGAATGATTATGAATATTTAAATACTAAAAGGAAAGTAGCATGCTTTTAGGCTCTTGTCGTAAGTATACCATTTCGGAAAGACCAATTCTAGTAGGCTTGTATGATTTCCTTAATTTTTGAATAAATCAATAAATTAAAGACCAAAATGCTGCCCGCTGTTCAGCAGAAGCTAAGCGATATCTTTCTATGTGAGCACGATTCAGGAAATTTCAACGTCATCCATTACAACCAGATTCTTACTCAGATCTTGAGGTCAGACAGCGATTGGTACTTTGCTGTTTTACCTTTTTGGCCATCATCAATACATACACCATGCGACTGTGTCTGGATTTTTCCCTGAACCGGATCGTCCTAGAATGTGATGGTGGAAGGGAGGGTCAGAGCTTGCAAGATCCTCAAGTTCTCAAACCAAAATCCTTACCAAATTGGCGTTTGGAACTGGCTATGAAACTGAATAGGACGACATATAATTCAAGGAGAAGGCTAAAAGCAGGCAAAGATTTGCCCTATACAGATCAAATTAAAGCGGTTCGCAAAAGGAGTCCTCCTGTCCAGGAGGATTCACATAAACGGATCAGCTGCTCCGAGCTGTGGTCTCGTCAAACCCAATCCCTAGTAATAATGGCTTTCTATGCCGGCTACGTGCTTACCCACATTCCGGGCGGACGTCTAGCGGAGAGATATGGTGGAAAATGGGTTCTCGGAGTGGCCATCCTAACGTCAGGGATGCTAACACTTTTAACGCCCACGGCAGTGCGTCGGGGCGGTCCGTATGTCCTGGTTGGTGTTCGTCTCTTGGTTGGCCTTTGTGAGGGTCCTTGCTTTCCAGCCGTAAGTGCTCTTCTGGCTCAATGGGTTCCCGATCAGGAACGTGGAATGTTGGCCAGCTGCGTCCTTAGTGGCGGTGAGATTGGAATCACAGTGGTCCAGTTGGTCAGCGGATTGGTTATCGCAGAGCAAGATTGGCCCATGGTCTTCTATTTGGTTGGAGGAGGCGCTGTGATGTGGTTTTTAGGATTCGTAAGTTTTTAAATTACTTTTCTTGCTGAAAAGACGGAACTGATTATATTATATTACAATATTTTGAAAAGACCCTAGTTTGCTATAGTACTCCGGACCACTGCCCATTTATTCAGAGCGAAGAGAGGGAATATATTAAGTGTCATACCAGTGCTTCGCTGCTGTTAATCCAGAGTAGAGAAAGAGAGGACAGGGAACGGGCAGAAGGAGAGACTGAAGTCTGGGATGCCCGCAGAGAAGTAGATGAGACTTCCAGTGCAGCACCTTGGAGGAGCATGCTGAATAGTTCTCCGATCTGGGCACTTGTTTTAACCTCCATGCAGCAAGAATTCCAACAGAAATTGCCTCAGGAGCTGCAGAGTGTGTTAGACGAAGTAAAGAGCCGTGGAAGCAGTTTGTCGGATGAACTCTCCACTACTATCGAGTTAATAGCACCTTACATTGGAAACTGGTTGGCTTCTCTAACTACAGGGCGTCTGAGTGATGTGCTAATTGAACAGCAGATCCTCACTCGAACGCAGACTCGACGTCTGATGTCCTGGTTGGTCTTTGTATGTGGATCCATGTACATGCTGCAGATGAAGGCGAACGGATCAAGGATATGGAGTGTCCTGGCCATGGGGGCTTATTATGCGAGCATCAAGCTATTACCGCTGGATATGAGTCCGAACTACGCTGGCACACTGATGGGAATCTCTGGCGGAATGGAAACTCTTCCAGCACTTTTGATGCCCTATTTGGAAAAATTGGAGACGGATTACCATGTAGTTAGCAGCGTAAGGGCCGCTATATGGGTAATCGGCGCCAGCTACATTTCCGGCGATGTGCAGGCGTTTAATGAACCGGAACCTCAACAATAATGAGGACAATCACTTGTTAATAGTTTAATCTTACGCTTAAACATAAGCTACTTGTTTTGTCTTAGTGGATTCCTTAGGCAACAGATTCTAGATTACATATGTACCATAATACATGACAATTTCTATTCTAGAGCTAGGAGCATAAACGTAAACAAGCTTTATATATATATAAATAACAGGTATGGTCGATATTAACTTAATTAAAGTGAACTGCTGTGTTGGTGTTGTGGCTAAATGCTCCGCTACGCTCTTCTAGGGCTCTCAATCGCAATACACAGATTTCATACTTTACGCGACACCCTGAGGCATCAATCCGGATTGAGCCATGGCCGAAAAGGAGTTCAGGTCTACGCCCAACTTCTTGGTAACGTTAATTTGAGCCACTGCCGCGTTTCGCAGCGAAAAGACGTGCACCAGGTCCGCCTGACTTTTGGCATAAAGTAGTGCCTTCTCAAAGAGTTCCACGGCCCGATCCAATTGCACCCGCTGCACTTCCACGGTTCCCAGTGTCTCGTAAGCCAGCTCGCACTTCGGATCCACTTCGATTGCCTTATTTAGCAGCTGAACAGCCACCTCAATGTCTCCTCGCCATTGAAGCATCATGATGGCTTGATGAACAATAAGTGCAGGATTTGATGGCGCCAACTTCATAGCCTTTTCGTAGTACTCCTGCGCCTGGGGGAACTGTTGCTGATCGGCCAAAACCTGAGCCATTAGACTGTAGCATTCAACACAGCTGGGGAATTTCTCGATGGCCTGCTCAAAGGAGCGCATCACGCCCTCCAGACGCCGCTGGTCGCCGTTCAGAAGCGACAGACGGTACTCGGCATAACATTTCTGGACGAGGGCTATGGCGTGATTGGGAGCAATGCGCAAAACCTTTTCGAACTCTTCAAGGGCGGGCTCAATCAATTCCAGCAACAGGAGTATCTGAGCACGTTGGTGGTGTACGTCTGGGTTTTCGGGGCTGAGCCGTTCCGCCTCATCAAAGTCGGCTACTGTCTTTTCGCGTTGATCCAGCTGGATATAGAGGGCAGCTCGTTTTATGTAGGCGTATGCACGCAGATTTGGATCAGCATCGGCTATGGTATTAACGAAAGTAAATGGTTTTCTGGAGATCATAAAATTGAAAAGATCTTACCATTTGCTAAGATAGCATCAAAGTCCAGCTTGCCTTCTGTGTAGGAGCCGCACAGTAGGTGGAAGGTGCCTCGCAGCAGCAGAGCCTCCACTTTGTACTGCGCCTCGGCCTCGGAGGATTCAATTTCTTCGGTGCAAGCAGGAATGATATCTTCGTACTTCTCCTTAAGGAAAGCCTGATGGGCCCGCAGAAAACCTTTGTGCGGTGCGTCTGACTCCGAAGCGGCCGGATATTCCACAGTCTGTAGTGGATCCGCGATGAAGGAGCGCATATAATTGCTCACGAAGTGTGCCGACGGAACAACGGGTACCCTGTTCTGCATCCACTTCTCAGCGTCCACACGTCCCGTCTCCTTAAGTACACGGTCTGCGAACATAAGAGTTTGATTGTTTTGGAACATCTCCAGAATACAGGTAGCGGTAACATCGTCCAGGCACTCATTCATATCTTTAGTGGCCTCATGAGCACGGGCGCGACGATAGTAGGCCTTGACGTAGCGCGGATTGTACTCTAGCGAGGCGGTGCAGTCCTCCTTTACCTTAGCCCATTTCTTAAGCATCTCATAGGAGGCGGCGCGATTCTGGTAAAAGATAGCCATGTCCGTGCGGTGCTCCTTTGGACACTTGTCGATGGCCTTGTCGTAGAAGATGATGGCCTCGTCGTACTTTCCATTCCGATAGCAGTTGTTCCCCTCTGTCTTGTAGTTATTGGCTTCTTTGAGAGGTGACAACTTTTCGCCCAGCTCAGCCGACTTCTTCTTTCGCTCCAGCTCCTTGTCTGGTGCAGTGCCGTCCAGAGAGATGGCTTGCTTTTCAATCTTGGCCTTCGACCTCTTCTTCTCTCCGTCCGCCTCCTTCGGAGCAGCTGTCCATCGCTTCACTACATAGGTACCCAGTCCGATAGCCAAGGGCGTTCCCAAAATGAGCGCCAGCTGCCACTTGTTCAGCTTCACCGAACCAATATTTAGAGTCATCGCCATCGTGCCGGACTCCTTGCGTTTGTGTTTGAATGTGTAATCTGAAAGGTAAGAGATTGGTCAATGCCGGGATCGCCATAAATTGTGTAATACTCCGCTGGCTTATCGCTCGGCGCCTTTTGAGCCCGCTAAATGCCGGGCGGGGGGCACGTTTCTTTTTGCCTAACCCCAACCCCATTGATTTTTCACACCCCCAACCGCCGGCCAACTGACGGATTGCATCCCGCGAACGGAACTTACACTTTTTCGAAACTTAACACTGCTGTGAATTTGGCAAATATGAGAGGTTGTTTGTCCTATTTTCAGTTAGAACTCGAGAAACTTAGATTCTATGGTACATCAGCCTGCTGAGCACACGAAATATTTGGTGTGACCAAGCCTTGCATCACCCTATACGCCCAATGTGTTAGTAAGTGGAAAATGAATCTCACACATGGTCACACATGAAATTGAATGTGATTAGGTTTATAGGCTAAGTAATTTTAATTCTTTTATTTTCCATTATATTAGTAAATAAACTAAATAATTTAGAAGGCTTCCGATAATTAAAATTAAAGAAATATTTAAAAATATCATTGCTTAGAAAGATATATTTGAATTCTCCATATTATTACACCCACTTCTGTTACTAATCATTTCTTATCAGTTGTTACTGGACATTCATAGAAAAGTGTGTGCACCATCCCTTGTCAATAACGACGTAACATTACGATCAATGTATTTAAAAGTAATTTACTAGAATACAATGTCAGCCTAAGACCGAATCTCCTCCTCTGGGCTCGAGGTGGGAGCTGGAGCTGCAGTTGTTGGAGGTTTGTCGGTGTCAGTCAACAGAACCTTTTGCAAATGCTCCTCCTTTACCAGGCCATGGTTATCAGCGTATTGCATAAGATCACAAATTGTGGGCGACTCCACAACCAGAATATATTGACATGTCTTCGGCTCCAGCAGATACATAGATACAGCTGTACCGCTGTTGGATACCGGCGTACAGGTTAACCTCACATCCACTTCGCGATCCAATCCAGTGCGGTCGCAATGGGTTCCTTTCCCATAATGATGCCAAATGGAAGACGAATAGCCGGCACGACGGACACCTTTTTCCGGGTTGGCATTAGCCCAAGACCTATGCTCTTCCTCTGAGAAATAGCCCAGAAAGAGCTCAACTTCGCTATTTTTGTCCTTGTGGAACTGACGTACATGTCGCCCGTAGCAGAACTCGTATTTCCACCAGCCATTGCCCTAAGGAATAAGCGAATTGCATTTCAAAGTCATAGATAATTTTGAATAAACCCTTACTCCAATTAGGCATTTCTTGCCAGAAATGAAGTTCCTGATGGGGGTCAAATCGGAGATGGGTGTGGGCCCCGTTCCAGAGGCCGCTCTCGATAGAAGAAGCTGCTGGTAATCACCGTCTACCTCGATTTCTCCATTATTAAACATTTCCAGAATGACTTTGTCCATATCTCCGCTGAATTTAAACGTTACCATGTCACCTTCCGCCTTTGGCCAAAGTTTAGCTGGTGCTTTTCCTTCTTTTTCTTTGGAAAGCAGTAAATCCGTCTCAGACTCTGCCCATTCATTTAGTTCCGATCGCAGCATACTTAGTGGTCTATGCGGCTCAGAATCTGAGTTAAAACATTGAATGGACAGCTCCTTGGACTCCTCGGCATGAAAGCCACGGATGGCGCACAACGTCGAGGAGAGAATTATGGCCTCGTAATTGCAGGAGGAGGTTTCCTTAAAGGAATAGATATCGTCTTTGCCATGCGGATAGCACACATAACGCACCATCGTGGTGCGAGGAGCGCTAATTATATCGCACATGGTGCCGTCGCTGTATTCCATTTCAAAATATGGATATCGTGTGTTGTCGATCTTCAGGCTCTTGTACTTTGGCTTAACACCCGCGTTGAGGTCCGATTCCCAGGCCTTTGTTCGCCATTCCGTCTTATCATCTGTCCATTTACCCAGGTAGTACTCCTGGAACTTGACGTTCTTTCCCTCGCGCTCCTCGTGATACTGACGCACATGATGACCGTGGCAGATCTCATAGGACCAATATGCTTCGATGCGGTAAGTACAAGTCAATGCGGAAAAAATGGGCTGCAGCAGGCTAATAGGGGCTAAACAGAATAATTAGTGTATAGAGAAATCAATACTAAGTTGATTTTGGTATATCATACACAATTCCGGCTTGTCTGACTTTTCCTCCTCCTTCTGGTGCTCCAATGTGGGAATCAAACAGTCGTATTTCTCCTTATCCGGTGTGTAGAATGTTCGCAGTTGATTGCCCAAATCCTAAAGAGTATTTTACATTAATCACATATAATTTAACAAAATATTTTTTCCTACAGGTTGTCCTATCAGTTCCGGCACTTCAAAATCAATTTTGTACAAAATTGAATCGTCAAAATCTTTGGCTTCATGGGACGCAGCAGCAATTATCAAAGGAAGCAAGAAGGCTATTTTCGTAATTATCACGTAGAAGATCTCCATTTTCGTGTTAAAATTCGGAATTCCTTTACATGAGTATTTTCGTGACAAATACAAAAATATTTATAAATGCTACGTGTTGTTTTCTTCCAAAAATAATGAACATATGTTTAATGTAACCGTGACGCAGTGAATGGCGATTGCAGAAGAAGAAATGGTTTGTGTGAATGGTTATTTCAGCATGAAGTGCTGAATTTTGAATAAATAACCGTTAAAACTTAACTAAAATACGTATAACGCCGATATTTTGGATTTATATTACGCTAAATTTCAATACTAATAAGGATAAATGTCAAGTTTTTAATGTTTAAATTAAAAGGTTCAACATTAATTTATATTTTTTAATAAAAATCTTAATTAGAATTTTTGTTTCAGATATATATTGGCAAAACCCTCCATTAAATTAAATCCACTTTCAAGTTTATCTTCAACATTATTATATTTTCATCAACAAATATCGCATATATTAATCAGTTCCCTATCTCATGCCCGTCGCCGTATCCGTTTTCCCGTAGACCAGCCGGGTTCCTTGTCTTTGTCCAAATCCAGTGGCACCTTGTCGATGGCATCTAGGATAAACTTGATGGAGTGCGCCGTCTGTGGCAGCCACTTCATAATGTTGGAAGTAGTCGAGGCCGGTGGCGTCGCTGCGTCGCCATCATCCACAAAATCTGCGTCGCCACCGGACAGAGAACGAACTCCGCCCAGGTAATCTGTATAATCGTAGTCACTCGTCAGCGGATTCACCTTGGAATAGTAAATGGCAGCGAACGTCGAGTAGATGATCAATAGTGCTGTGCCCACCTGTTGATAAGTAAATTAAAGTTAAAAAAAATTTATTAAAAGTTCAACAAAATATATAGAATATATGAAAAAACTTAGTGTTTTCCTCTCACCTGAAAGACGGCCCAGAACTTGTAGGAGCCCTCTGTGATGACGAAATCGTAGTATCCCTTAAGAGGATCGCCCTTGATATAGCGACCCTCACCCACATCCGTATCACCTTTCTCCTCCTCTTCTGCATTGCGTCTGTGTCGCAGTCCACGAACAGATCTTAGATTGCCATTTTCCCCTTTGATGGCCTCAATTTTGGTGGATGGAGGTGATGGTGTCACAGTGTCAACTTTTTCCACCTTCTTCTCCGAGTGTTCCGCCTCCTTCTCCTCTTCCTCTTCAGAGCTATCTGGAGCAGAGGTCGTCGTGGTTGCTGACTTTTTGTCGTTGTGGTGGGTTTTTTTGGTTTGATTCTTTTTGTTTCCCTCGACACTTGGAGGTTTCTTGGAGTTAATCCTAGTCTTCTGCTGCTGCTGACGCAGTCGGTTTTTCTCGGCCTGCTTTGCCGCCTGCTCCTGGCGGAACTTCTCTGTGCTCTGTTGATGGCGCTCGCTCACAGCATTCCAGGCACCCATGAGAGCCTGGTATAGATCCCAGATCTGCTTGAGACTTTTCAGCACAGTGACCAGGGTGGATTCGCTCTGCACCTGAGCCACTGAATTGTCAGGAGTGGACTGCGATTGCTTGGCCAACTCAGATTCCGGACGAGGTCGCGGCTGGAAGCCCATCGGATAGTCGTACACCTCATCGTAGGCGGGATAAGGTGATCTAACAAATATAGAAAATATATTATAAGTTATATAAAATATGATATTTGAAAATTGTTTACAAAATATTGTGAAATCTTGTCTGATTAATAAATATGTATATGTAGCTATAAATCTGCTTATTAAAAATCATACTATACATATTATATATAAAAATTTTTAAAAGTGATATTAAAATAAATATGGAACACGGACTTTCTGGACTGCAGTTAATCTTTGAATTGCGTCTTTGACTTTAATTATATATAATATAATTTAACTGATATGTATTATAAATATTGTTCTTATTTCTCTTTACATTTTCTGGTTATACATATTTCGAAAATAATAGCTTTAGACCAGAATTCCAATTTATTAAATCTGGTTTTTAAGTTTAACTAATAAGATATAAATTTCTCACCTATTAGGGGTCGCCTGAAGCTTCCTGTTGTTGCCCTCTGCTGCTCCATGAGTAGCCACAGGAACTGGTGCCGGCCTCTGACCATGTGACCAAGGTGCGTAATAGGCATCGTAAGGGCGCGCCTGCGACGACCTGCCCTCTTCCGTTCCCGCTGACGAATCATCCTTATCGTAAAAGCGTTCGTCCTCTTCAGACTCTTGTTTGGACTCGGGATAAGGATAGCGTCCTGGTCCGTAATCATCAGCAACATCATAGTAGGGATCCTGGTCGTAGGACTCCTCTCTGCCTTGGGGTGGACCGTAGGCATCCTGCCGTTGTCCCATTACGGGATCCATGCTTTGTGAGTTAACAACCACTGCCCTTTGTTCTTCGTAAAAGTTTCTGCTTTCCTCTGCCAGTGATGGATTTGGGTTAGTTCCGTTTCCGGCATCCCTAGCAATCCGTTCCACTGTGGCTATTTCCGTATCATTCTCGGCACCGGTTTTAAAATGATTCCACACACGTGTGAGGATCAGGAGATCACTTTCTTCGCTGGAGTTACTTTCTGCCCGTCCAGCCTCGATCATTGCAATGACGGTTAATGTGGTGGCAAATAAGAGCAGAGTGAGCACTAGAAACCAAATGGGTGACAGACGTCGTGGCGTCTTCACCGACATTTCCTCGTAGGCAGACATTATCCGTTTTGGCACTAGATCTTTATTGTTCCGAATCCTTTTCTTTGTTCCCTGGCACACACCGCACGGCCAGTTGACTCGGAGTTAAATCGACAACTAACCGAAAAATCCCAATTGCTGATCCAGAAAAACTCCGCCTTGCGATGGTGCTAATGGTTGGTTTTGGGTATCTAGAACATCCATCCGTAGTGGCTACGTCGAAAGGTGCTAATCCGTGGGCCGCGTGCATCATCGTTATTGGGCCACTGCTCCAGTTTCCATTTAACGGTTCATCCGCCGCCGAGTGCCACAGCAATTAGCACCATCCATATCTCCATGTAGCCAGTACTACGATACTCAGATCCATCCCCATTCATTTATGCATAATACCCGACTTTGTTGTTTGCCACAAATTCGTTTTTTTTTGCGGTGAAAGTGTGCAATATGATTCTCTTCCCAGAAGATTGACATAGGAATTTAGGAAGTCGTAATTGGTCGCATTTGCTCTTGGTCGGTGTTTGTGGATCTATGGAGTGGCCTCCATCGAGGTCCATCATATGCAGTCGTGTGCCAGGCGTAACTCACGATCTAGGAAGCTTTATTTATCATATTAAGATAGTGGCAAGCGTGCGACTTTCATTATGGGCTAAGAAAGAAATCTTTTTCTACAATTCAGATCAATTTGTTCAATAACAATGCGGTATTTACAGACAGGTGATATCCCCCAGAAGGCTGTAAGAAATATCACATGCTAAATAATCTCGCAATTCCACATTTTACAGATTTAAATCTTTTTTTTTTTGTTTTTTATAAAATATTCTCCCCCAACATATATTTCAGTTTATTTGAGATTGCACCATAGCTTCCAGTTTCTTTGCATATTGCCGGTGCACTTAAATGCGAACTTATTATTTTACACTATTAATTTTTACTGTAAGAGGAATGGAAACTTCTACCGATTTCTAGACCTTACTGAATAACTAATGCGTCATTTGTTTACCGGCGAAACGCACCGTGGCAAACTAGTTTCGATACCCCCAAAATTGTTTACATTATGGTTTAGACCTCTCACTTGTTTTCCTCCAAAAAGCTCTGGTCGTAAATTTTGTTTGTGTTTGTTGTTTTGTTTGAAACCAGCGCGATAATGTTTATCAGTTGATATTGTTTTATTTTTTGTTTTGATAAACAAATGTTTCCTATTTCCCAAATGTTTTGCCTTAGTAAATGTATACCTGTTTATTGGCCTAAACTGTTTTATGTTTTTTTAAAGAAATAATAATTGTCTAAAATGGAGATGTCAACTAAACTTCTATAACTTTTATATTGGCTGCTGGATTTTATTTATCATTAAGATGTAATATTATAAAAATCAATAAAGGTTAAATGAAATCACAAATCGAATTTGAAGAGAAATGTTTTGGGTGACCAACATAGTAGCCCTAGGATCTAGTCCTTCAACTCATTTAAGTTGGCAAATCAGTTTTAATTGTATAGATTTTCTTCTACGAACAATCCTGCTTGTTTTTACTGTATAAATTAATAAAAGGATGACTTTGCGACCCAATCAGACGATCTACATCAACAACCTGAACGAGAAGATTAAGAAGGAAGAGCTGAAGAAGTCGCTGTACGCGATTTTTTCGCAATTCGGCGAAATCCTGGACATTGTGGCCCAAAAATCCCTGAAAATGCGTGGCCAAGCATTTGTGATATACAAAAACATTAAGAGTGCCACTACTGCCCTGCGCACTATGCAAGGATTCCCCTTTTACGACAAGCCCATGAAGATAGCCTACTCCAAATCCGATTCAGATATAGTGGCTAAGATGAAGGGAACCTTCAAGGAGCGCCCGAAGAAGACCATGCCAACCAAAGACTCGTCTCCACTTGCCGCCGGAAAACAGAAGAAAAAAAAGGTGATCAGTGCTCTAAGCTCGGATTTGAGTAAGGAACAGCCTCCTAACAAGATCCTCTTTGTCACCAATCTGCCCGAGGGAACCAATGAGATGATGCTTGCCTTGCTCTTCAACCAATTCCCTGGCTTCAAGGAGGTGCGACTCGTCCCGAATCGCCATGACATCGCCTTTGCGGAGTTCAACACTTCATTGCAAAGTAGTATTGCCAAGGATACACTGCAGGGATTCAAGGTCACGCCCAACCACATCATGAGAATCACTTTCGCCAAGAAGTGAGCTTGTTAATTAGTTAATTGAAGAATAAGTATTTAGCCACAAATTTAACATAAAAAAAATCATGACCTCCACTTTCTTGTTTATAAAATTTTATCAATATTTACAAATAAACAAATGCAATCTTAAACTGATAACCAATTCTAGTCATAGTATATGATTAATACAAAATTAAAATTGAAACAATAAGAAACATCATGAAATTCGACTTGCCAAATATTTGTCAATTGATGATTAATATTCAGCATATGTATGCATGCATACAGCCATTAAGTAGAAAAACCACCTGATCGAGAGTCTGTTTTATTGTTTACCAAATATCAACAACGCAATTTAAAAAGCCGGCAAATGGCGCAAAAGAGAAAGAGAGCGCGGGAGAGAATTCCATTAGAGTGGACCTTTCTGGAAAGGTTTGTTGCATCTATCTATGTATGTATTACATACATATTATATTTATGATTTGCGTTTGTATGCTTAGGTGTATATTTGTTTGTAGGTGGAAAATAACATCATGACTTTTGTAATTTTCCACATGTATTATAAAAATAGGTTTTTAAATAAGGAAAGCAAACAAAAAGCTAATCAATATGCATAAAGCACCCACCACACACTCTAAATAAAACCGGAAGAAATGCTGCTTGTATGTGTGCAAGTTTATTACCTGTGTAAATTGTGAACTTTCAATGGAAGGTCGCAGGAACATTTCCGTTTCGAAACTAAATGTCAGCCTGCATACGGGAATATATATATACATAATTTTTTTTTGATATTGTGTTAATCGCTCTAAACAAAGGAAACTCAGCAGCGAATTGCATTGGCGATAATCGAGGAGCTGAGTGCAAATGAGTTCAACTAAAAGGCTATAAATATGCATTCGAATATGCACACCAACACAAGTAGCGACGTCATTGGAAAGCATTGTCGATTGGAAAGCAGTGCTGAAAAGTAAAATAAAATAAGAAAAGGTTACACATAATACTTCAGTTTTGGTTTTCTCTTTATTTTATAAGTAATACCTAAATCAAACTTCATAATTTGAAACGCACTAAAGCTTAGCAACTAAAACGTGTAAGTCTGAATTAGTTTAGGAATATATTAGAAGCTAAGAGTAATATCTTATTTTTTTTGTGTTTGTGAATTTATAAGCGAAATAAAATTATTATAAAGTTCACAAAGTTTTGCGCTGCATGAAAAACCAATGCACAATACAAATGCAAAGTGTATTTCCAGTTGGCTTTTGTTGTTCTCTTTCGTTCTCTTTTTTTTTCTTCTTTTCTTTTTTCTTTCTTTACTTCCAGCGACTGCTGTGATTTCAACTGTTTTTCTTCCTTTTTTTGCTTTTCTTTAAATTCGAAGATTTCTTTTTGCACTCTCCTTATTTTCATTTGCCCGTTACTTCTTGCTCTCCCGCTGCCCCGCCCCCGATGCCCTGCATCAGTTTTTGCAGGCGGCGGCCTTCTTGTTATTGTTGTTGGTGTTCATCAGCTTGGTGAGAATCTTGCGGGAATGGCCAGAGGGATCAAAGTGGTTGGTGTGCTCGGTGGCCTCCTTCTTGGAGCGCTGCTTTCCGCTGTGGCCAGAGAAGATGTGCTTGTCATGGTCGAAGTTGTAGTGCTCGTACTCATCAAAGTGGGCTTCGGACATAATGGCGATTTAAAGTTGCAAAACTAACTGCGTTCTTGGTTTTATTTTTCTTTCTACTTTTCTTATCTGCAAACTCGCAGGCTGGCTTTTCTTTTTTCCACTTTTCGCTGCGTTGCGAACGGAATTGAAGTTTTTTCGGTCGAGCAGCTGCTTTTTATAGCCGCTAGAGCTTTTTGCGCACCTCTTAAAAGCTCTCTCTCTGGTAGAGTTGCCAGCTATTGAATATAAAATTAGGCAAGCGGTATTTAACTGCTCTAAGACATAAATTTCTTTATAATTTAGAATATACTAATTATTATAAACTATAAGTTAGTACTATATTTAGTTTATTTTCATCTTTGATCCTTTTATTTTAGTTAATTTAATTAAAGTCTATATTCTAGCACTCTGACAGCCCTTTTCCAAAGAGAGCAACAACTCTTTTAAACATTTTTGCTGCGCAATTTAATTTTTTGTTGTTTGTAAAGTGCGCGGTAAACAAAAAAACACACATCGCCAAACACAATATTTTGCCTTGCCCATTTATTTTAATAATTAAAGAACTTTTCCCAATACTCACGTTCCAAAGTATTATATAACACCCGCCCACCTTGGCCCTCAAAATACGACCCCAAAGTGCATTTACCCAGCACTAAATCCTCCCCATTATAAATACATACATACATTCATACATGTGAATACATTTATACATATGTACATAAATGCAACATGAGGTCTGGATGACTACCACTACACTGCACAGAATTTCTGGTATCTTAATCATTATTATAGATATAAAATGATGAATTTATAAATTACCATAATAAATCTTTATTTGGTTGCATTAGAGGCTGAACGGCTGACCTAGTTCCACCTCCCACCCGTATCGCATTTGTTTATTTCTGAAAAGCTTTTAGTTTGTTTCGGTTTAATTGTTTTTATATAAACATCTGTTACGTAGCGTTGTGGCAGTGATAAGGTGCTAACTATCGCTCTAGTTAGTCATTTGGGAGGTATTTGTTCTTGGGCAACGACGCAATAGATCATAGCCACATTTTAAGATAAGATAGAACGGCTCCAACAATGTTGTTTCAAGAACCTTCCACAATATAACAACACTTTGATAACGGTTCATTGGTTGCAAATTATTTAAGAATGTTCTTGATGGTTTTTTCTTAGCTCTTAAGAGAGACTGGGTGTCAGTGATATTTCCAAAGTATAAACCCTTTGGTTTATAGAATGATATTTTCTGTAATCTTGTTTATCAACATCATAGATTATTCCTTCTGATATCAGAAAATTAACCATCTTTTGGAAACATTTACGATAGATTTTAGTAGGTACTATATAATTATAGGATACTTTTGTTTTATTCCTACTTCACAGTCTCCTTCGGCAATAAGTTTTTCAGTCGCTTATCAGGATTTAAATCTTTTTTCACCTTGCTCTTAACTACCTTAGGTTTCTTCTTGGGCGAATCGATTACAGGTAGATCAAAGTCATCTGGAAAGGAACTGTCCACCGTCTCCGAGAGCTCCAATTGCACCGCCTTCTCCGTGTGAACACGCTGAACGTGTTCTTTCATTTTGTCAGAGCGATGACTACTAAAGCCACACAGCTGGCACTTGTACCGGTTCGGACCATTCTCCGTGTGCTTCAAGGCGTGACGCTTAAGGTTTTTGCTCTGGCTGAACTTGCAGCCGCAGATCTCACAGATAAAATCTCTCCCCTGTTTGTGGGTTTCGATGTGCAGCTTGAGATTCTCCTTGCGATTGGCTCGATGCTTGCAACCCGAAACAGTGCATGCGAAGAATTCTCCAGTGTGTAGTAGTTTGTGGGACTTCAAGGCCTTCATATGGGTGGTGCTATAGCCACAAACGTCGCAGAGCATCTGTTTTTCGGGATTATGGACCAGGATGTGGTTACTAAGACCCTGTTTCCACTTGAAACCCTTGCCGCAATGGGGACAGATATGAGGTGTTTCTGTGGAATGCTTGGGCTGATGGACGAGAAGGGCAGCTCGCGTGGTAAAGCGAATTCCACACTGCAGGCAAAAGAAGGGTTTCCGCAGGTCTCCCGAGTGCCTACGTATGTGAGTGTCGTACTCCCGCCAATCGAGGAAGCCCACTTCGCAGAGGGAACATGTTAAATGAGAAGGCTCACAGCTGCCCATGTGCTCAATCATTTTCTGCACCTGGTAGCACTTGAAGTCGCACCCAATGCAGTAGTTCACCTTGCTGCTGGACTTAATGGCCCTCGGGTTCTTAAGCTTCAAAGAAAAGGTGATGTTAGATACAGAAAAGGAACAAGGATATATTTTCCACCTTAAAGTAACTCTGTCGATTCTCAAAAACATCATCGGCTTTCTTATCTGGCTCTTGATTTAGTTCAATCTCCCCAGATGCTATAACATCTGCTGTTTCCTTTAGCTCTCCCAAAGTATGCAACTGGTAGAGATTAAGTAGTTCCGTAACGGCCAGAATTTGAGCCAGCTCTCGAAAATGTGGTTCATGCTCCTTGGACACGGATACAAAATCCTCGTAAAAGAAGTCCACAATGGTCTGCAGACACTGGGTGCAGCTAAAATTACTTATTGTGATTTTTAGCGGATTGTGAATAGAGAACTGCTGCTGCTTCTGGTTGGTGTTTATTAACTGGCTCTGGGCAGCCAGCACGCAGAAGTGAACACTCAAGCTCAAAGAATCATCTAAATCCAGTTCAAGGACCAAGTCACAAAATTGCCCAGTTCTCCGCTGGTTGTTCAAGTAATTTGATACCTTGGAGTGAAGCGGCTGGTGCAGAGTAGGAATCGTCTGTATTGCTTGTGTATGCAACATCCCTAGAGCTTGAATTTAAATTAAATCTACAATCAAAACAAACTAATCAAATGTTTTGGAATGGGACTCCAAAACAGCTGTTAAAAAGTATAGCCAGCTCGCTGAAAATACTAGAATTATAATTTTAAATAGTATTTTTTTGGTCAGCTTAAAAGAGGTTTTCACGTCTTCCAACACTGGAAATTGAGCGTGAAAATTTTAAAGTTTAAAGCAATACTTTTCCTTTTAGAAGTTTATTAAACCGTTCACTAATTTGGAGAAAAACAATTGAAAAAATGTATTTTTAGGTTTTTTAATGAATACTTGTTAAATTAATTTTAAAAACCATAAAGCGACTTTAATTAAGTATTTGTATCGAAAAATATCTTTATTGAAGAAAAATTTAAGGAAATTAAAAACCTGTTTAAAAAATTCTTCATAAAAATGCATGCTCTAAAATATATTTAAATACCTTTTAAAAGCCGAAAAAAAAACATTAGCACCCCCGATAGATTATAAACTGTTTATTTACTACTTGGCACTCAAATAACGATCGTTTACATGGAAAGTGGGAAGTTTAATAAATAAAAGAACCCATTGCACAAGCTCTTCTCGTTTGGGTTCTCGGATTTGAGCTTCAGTTGAGAGGCGACGTTGGATTCGGAATGTCACAAACGGGGAGTCGCTTGCGTTTTCACATTCATTTATTTATTAGTCGGTGCTGCTAAGTTGAATCAAATCATAACGCTTCCATTGTTTAACTTCCTAAAGGAAGTATGCGTATTTAACCTCCGTATTTATATGTGTTCTAAAATACCAAAGCCAAACCCAGTGAACATATTACACTGCCAATTAAAGCCAAGTGCGAATAAATAAGTTTTTATAATTGGCACATTGCTGAGAATTTGGCTCCCTATTGTTTAGAGTCTTATCGGATCGCTTTCAAATGTTCTATTTACGCAGTCATTGAACATTTATTGGTGTAGTGTTCAGATACAAATCTATTATAATCCGTTGGTTAGCATAAGGGCCAATTACTGGAAACCCCACGGTAAATACAAACCTCTAGGAAGTCTAAACATCTAAACTAATTTGCACAGACTTTTCTTGTTCAGCTCTCGAGTCGGATTCCAATTTTTTTTTTTTATAACTGGTACCCCATTTAAGGCATACAGATAAAGAAATACCTGTGCCGAGGGATTTGGGGTCTGGGTCTCAGTTCACTAAGTCCAGAGCTCTCGACGCGAGCGGTTGATCAGAGATCTCTCGGGGTGTCGTGTTTATATTACTGCTCTGATTCCGAACCGCCGATTAGCGTCAGTTGCAATCATCTCGAATCAGCAGTAATTCAATCAGAGATATGGTGGGAAAAATTCTACAGCTGGCGGTGGCGATTCTCATCGTTTCCTGGACGACTGCACAGACCGAATCCTATGAGGATCCTAACAAACTCAAGGTTTGGCTAACCATCAGTGCCCGTAAGCGATTTATAGAGGTCTCTTGGAGCAATGCTCCGGCGAATAAGGGTGACCAACTTCTTGTGACCAAAGAGGATCCCCACAGCTTCAAGTCAAAACTTATGCCCAAGCAAACTCCATTGGCAGCCTTCCAAAGCGATGAGGGAAGTGGCTCGGGCGAAGGTCCTCCCAGTTATGTGCCTATCAGTGGATTCACAGTCAAACCGGACACCAAATCATCCTCCAAAGAAGTGGAACAGGAAAAATTTTGGGTGGCCAATGAAGGAACTACCGAGGTTGTGGCTGCCATTAAACCAAGTCAGGGATTATCTACGCAGTGGTTTACCACCGGACTGCCATTTGATTACGCCTTGTCCAGAAATGTGACAATTCGAACCTCTTGCTATGGCTTTTGGGCCAGTTATATCGATTCAGAGGGTACAATTCTGGCCAAAACCTGCCTTAAAGTGTTTCCCCGCTGGATGAATGAACTGAAGTCCAAGATTGGGGAGATGCGCCTGCGAGATCTCTTTATTCCCGGATCCCACGATTCAGGATCTTATCGTCCTAACTTCGATCCGTTGCTCAGGGAAAGTCTGGTGACCAAGTATGCCCTCACTCAGGATGATGACATTAGGGGTCAGTTGATGCATGGAGTAAGGTACCTAGACATACGAGTGGGCTACTACAGGAACTCACCGGACCCATTCTACATCTATCATGGAATCACAAAACAACGTCCTTTGCAGGAAGTTATCAATCAGGTCCGGGACTTTGTCTACGAGACCAACGAGATTATAATTTTTGGACTCAAGGAGTTTCCAGTGGGTGAGAATTTGTTGGTTTTGATTACTTTTCTTTCCACCTACTTTAATATTTTGTTATTATATTTTGACCAAAAAATGTCATTTCCCTCTCCAGGCTTTGGAAAAGGACTTGGAGTTCATCGCCTGCTGATTAGTTACTTGCGCGAGCAGTTCCAGGACCTAATAGCTCATCCTTCGCTGACCTGGCGCGCTTCCTTGCGGGATATTTGGGCCCGAAGGCAAAACGTGTTTCTGGCTTACGATCATGAGGCTATGGTCGAGGAGTTCCCAGAGGTCCTGTTTGGATCCGTGGAGCAGCGATGGGGAAACAAACAGACGTGGTCCCAACTTGAGACCTATTTGCGTAACGTTAATGACTTCGATGCTTCGTGAGTGTATCTACAAGATCTTGATTAGATAAGATACATTTATAGGTTTTACCACTTTACTGATTTAATTACAGTCGGTTCTCAAGTCGCCCGGTGTCTGATATGGCGGAGCTGACCCCGGAGACCTGGGACGTCATATTGGACAAACACGGAGGACTCCGCAAGATGGCCGATAACGTTAACTGGCGGATCTCGCAGCTTTATCGGAATGAGTTGGGAACAAATGCCAATATAGTATCAGCGGATTTCATACGGGGCACCACACTCGTGGAAACCGCTATTGAATATAATACCCGTAAGATTTATATGTAATGATAACCAACTCTTACAAAAATATCTTTAAAATTGCTTATTAACAATGACGAATTTGCAATAATACATTTATTTTCTAAGCGGTTAAGTTAAAACATTAATATGTTGCTTATTGTACTGCTGTGTAGCTTCCCTAAACAAGTCACTGTTTTATATAGTATGTTCCCATCAAAGCGCATTCAATTACTTCCTGATTGTGTTTAAAAAAGGAATTAGGATTGTGGCACCTAACCATAAAATTTAGTGGGATGTAAGCCAAAAAAGGCCTTGGGTTGTATAAAAACCTGTTAATCGAAGAGCTATCTCAAATAAATACATACATATACACGTTAAAAACTAAATTCTAATCAATGCCGATGTCGTTGTGAGGAATGCCAATTGCCTAGCGAAAATATCATACAAATTGGGGCAGGGGAGTTCGCTTAAAACTGTTTTAAAATTTAACATGTTTTCAGTGTTTTCGAATATCAATTACGAGTGGTTTTGAACTAAATGCACAAGTTCTATACGGGTGGGTAATATATACATATATATATCTAGTTTATCGCTGCATTCGATTCGATTATTGTGGTATTGAAGATGGCCCGGCAAATCTCCACCACGGAGTTGGACAATCTTCCGTAGCACTTGGGCTTCTTTTTCCAGGCGATGAAAGCGTAGTAGAACGGAATGCCTGCCAAAGTGATGGCTATACCAATCAAGAGATTACCTGGCTCCTCCATATTGGGGAGCAGTACCAACGTCACGCAGCTCACCATAAAGATAATGGGCAGTGCAAGGTTGACTTTAATCGGGCGTGGTAAGTCGGGCCTGAAGGAAAACAGAGGTATTTCTAGATCCATTTATATGTTATAATAATTGATACACAAACCTCTTATGCCGAAGCCACAACATTCCGGCTATGCTGGCCACTACTGAAAGCCAGAGTACTGAGCTGAAATAGTTGATTAACTGGTAGACATTATCCGTAAGCAGCATGAGCAGCGACATCAGACACTAAGAATATATATGCAAATATCAAATCACATTTCTTGGTTAAAATATTCAATTCCAGTGCCAACTTACTGTGAAAATTAGGGAGGGAATGGGAGTCTGTTGCTTGACATGGAACAGCTGGAAAAACTTTGGTAAATGCCCCTCTTGAGCTCCAGTTGCAAATAGTCGGGCGGAGGTAAAGAGTACTCCGTTCACTCCTCCAAAGGTACTCAAGGCCACGAAAATGGGTACCATAAAAGCCAGAGGTCCAAACACTCGGTTACCAAAGGTCACCGCCACGGCCAACGAGCTGAGCATCTCCGGTTTGTTGACCACTGCGAAATAGGCCAAATTGACCAGAACATAGATGCCCGTGACCAAGGGGCATGGCTATCCAAATGGCACGCGGAAGATTCCTGGATAGAGCAAAAACTTATTTATTTCTAAGTATATTATTAAATACGTTTTCAGTATTAAAATATTAAATGAAAATTAAGGTTTTGGGTTAGAATTGCCGAATCAGGAGAATTGTTGATAAAATATATTCCTAAGTAAAAAGGAACGTGCTGTTTTGCTAGATTTCCACTTGGCCAACGAGGGGATGGAGCACTTAAATTGATTGCGCTTCGAGAGCAAATTGAATTCGTTAGGGATGAGGCAGCATCCCCCCACCCATTCAGCCACATTCGTGAACCCATGACATCAAGGACATTCAACAAGTATCAACTTGTTGCTGCCTGCGCATGACGCAAACGGAATGAATAGGAAAAATAATACCGACTCATTCCACTTTCACAGCGATTTGTCATGATGGCAAGACAGAAGAACCCTGTACTCCCCGCCACTCACTTGTATGGATCCTGCAGCTCCTCCGTTACAAAGTTCAAGTAGTTCCATCCGCCAAAGGCAAACAGACCGGAGTAGAAGGCATAGCCAATGTTGCGGGCACTGTAAATACCCTCCCATGGATTGCTAAAGTTTTCCAACTTGCCCGTGGCCATGTAGTAAAGTCCGGCAAGAATAATCATGATGAGGGCCAGCAGCTTGCCCACTGTGAAAACATCCTGAACCTTCATAGACACCTTTACCGACAGGCAGTTGATGGCCGTGAGCAGAGCTGAGATAACGAAAGTAAATGTAGTTAGTTATAATGGCAGGGTTGGCTTACTCACTTAGACAAATGGCAGCTAGCAGTTTCACCGCATTCTGTGGAGGATCGCAATCCGGGAAGAATGGTTTGGCAGCGTAATGGGCAAAAGTTAAAGCCACTATGGTCTATAAGATAGAAAATATATTTAACAATATTAAAAGCTTTGTTTATATCAGAGAAAGTTGTTTTTCGAGTTCAATTGAGTTCAATTCCGGTCGAAGGTAGCCGCCACTTAATAAATTTCTATTTATTTGCATCAACAACCAATTTGAAGCGCTGCCCACCCATCAATCAAGACAAATAAACATTCCGTAATTCAATTGATTGGCCTTAGGAACTGACCTGCGTGGTTGGCCGGATGATAAGCAGAGCTATCCAGAGCCGCAGAAAGCCCACTAGGGGTCCAAAGGATACCAGCAGATAGGCATAATCCCCTCCAGATCTGGTAATGCTCGTTCCCAGTTCGGCGTAGCAAAGAGCTCCGATTGTTGAAAGAATTCCACAAGTCAACCAAATCAAAAGGGAGCTTCCCACGGATCTGGAATTTTTAGAGGATACTTGATAAGTACATAAACAAATTTCACGAAAAATATAAACAAATTCGGTGAATGGCAGAGAAATAAATTTATAAATATAATGAAATCATCATGATATATAGAAATTTTAATTAGTAGGAGAGCTTTTATTTTAATAATAAATCTAAGTTTAAGAAGCAAATATAGTATAATTTTGATCTTTATCTTTACGTAAATCTGGTTAGTTGCGTATTTAAAATTCTTGGAACTTTTTTCAACTTCCTTATACTTATGACGCAAATGTTTATACAAATGTTTCTTATCAATAATTTAGGTGTTTGGCTCGCCTTACTGACGTTATTCTTGTAACTGGAGACAACTCGCTTAAAAAACACTTTGAAGATGACGCAATATATGGGCACAATTTCAAGGGAAAATCGACAACTAATAAATTTATCTTAATTGGCGCTAAAGGAATGTTTGTGACAATCTATCCATTAATTAACAGTTAAATTGACCTTTTTGTGAATAAATTGAATTAAGGATGATACTATATGTACATATGCATATCATCTCACTTACTCGGTGTAAATGAAGACTCCAGTGGGTGCGATGAAGATGCCCGATCCAATGATGGTTCCCACTATAATGGCCACTCCATTGATGAGTGTCAGTTTCCGTTTCAGGACAATCTTCTCCTCTCCCTCGCTGGGATTCCCGGACGGTGTATGTCCATTTGTGGGCTCAACTAGACTGGTTGTGACTCCATTGGCATATCTGTCCGTCATGATTAAGTGCTGGAATCTGGTTCTCCTCTAATGATGAATACCTGTCATTGCCACTAAAAAATAAAGGCAGACTTTGAATTTTAAATACTTTAACATTTGCTATCAGGAAATTATAACGCCAACACGTGTTGCGCAAATTGTAAACAAATGGTAGTCTAATGTGTTTTTTTTTTTAATTTTTTTCAGTTGCCAATTGCTATTGAGAAACCAATCTTTGCTTCGTTGGCACCAAAACTAATCTCTTATTGTCAAACATAGACTTTAATTATGTTGTCTGACAGCACTATCTTCAATACACAAAATAAGCTTTAAAGTACGCCGTTTTGGGGTTGGCGTGATATTTTTCCCCATTAGAAGTGCGTGCCTTTTTTAGTGACGCCTTTGCCGTGTGCCAATTTTCACGATTTCGTCATCGACTTGCACGACGCGTGGCAATGAAAAGTGCAATTGCAGAAATGTAGTTATCTTTTTTTTTGCAACTTTTGGAATGCAGTTTGGCTGATAATTTTGGTTTATCTCTTCTGTTTTGGTTGTAAAACACGATTTATTTTACCTCGAACGCGACCTAACAAAACTCCGACTGCGTCGATTGAAGAGAAAACTGGTAATGAAACCGAAAAACCGAGAGCCAGAGCACCGAGACCGGCATTTCCATACAAAATAAATTGATTTCCACCCCAATATCGAAGAGAGCGAGAGAGAGAATTATAATGAGAGAGAACCTAATTACTCAAAACCGGATATTAGACTCAATCTGATTGTTTACAATATAAATTTAAGTGTTTTACCAGTCCAAAAACGATCTCGAAATATTTTTATCGAAAAAAAAACAAGTTCTTAATTTTGTTTTTGATAAAGTAAATAGATAGTTTCTAACATTAATTAAAACGCCCGCTTTTATTTCAAATTTGTAACCATTCACAGCACTGCGCAACCAGCTGTTGCATCTATCAGTTATCGATAACAAGCCATCGGCCGACAAATGCCCATCTCTATCCTTTTAAGTTTTTGTTTTGGTAACTGCACGTGTTTTCTTTGATTGCGTTTTAAAAGTCAAAAACTAGCAATGTCGGACAAGTGAGTGGCGTAACAACAACTAAAATCCGAACATTTAACACATGTCTATATAATATATATATTTTGCCCTCTAGATATGCAGTACCCAATAAATTGCCAGGAAAAACTGTCTCCGTGCTGAAACATCGCAAGAGGAGAATTCTCCAGGATGAGGCTGTAGTTACACAGAAAAAAAATGACCGCATCAAGAAGAGGACCGCAACCAAAAATCACCACAAATTCCGCCGCGCCGAATCCTTTGTAATGGGCTACTTAAAAGCAGAGCGCACGGCCAAGCGGATCAAACAAACTATTCTGCGCACCAATGTCACCGAACAAAGTGCCAAGTCTGCCGAAGATTGTAATCCAAAACTGCTTTTCGTGATGCGACATGCCGGCAAGAAGATCTTTGACAAGACCACTTCGGATATATTCAAAAGTCTGAGGATGGGTTTGCGACACAATGCCGTTTTCTTGGAGAACAACAAAGAGAACCAGTTGCTGTTGCGCGTTATTGAACCATATGTGATCTATGGTAATCCCTCGCTGAGCTCCATTCGCGAGCTGGTCTTCAAGAAGGGTTTTGCCCGCATCGAGGGTAAGAAGACGGCCATCCAGTCGAACACAATGGTCGAGGAGCAGTTGGGCGATAAGGGAGTAATTTGCTTGGAGGATATTATTCACGAAATCGCCACAGTCGGTCCGAACTTTGCCGCTGTCAATGACTTCCTGTGCTCCTTCATGGTAGGTTTAGTTTTATGGTTTATGTTTACAACTATCCTAATACTGTCTCTGTATCTTTGCAGTTGTCCAGTCCCAGTAATGGTTGGCAGAAGAAGGTATCCGTGCCCTTCAAACGAGGTGGCGAGTACGGTGATCGTGGCAGCGCTATCAACGAACTGATTGCCCGGTGCCTGTAGAGAACCTAAGCTAGTAAACCTTTAAGTAATTGTTCAACCTCAATAACCCATTCTGTAGCTAAGCCCAATACACATTTATATACAAACTAAGATTTGACTTGTTCAATAACTGCAAAAGCAATTCTACCTAGAGTTCACTGTAAGCCCATAAAAGCAATCCTCAGACCATTAAGGAACCACATGAAACTGTCTCTAACGACATTCCTCATTATCCTACATGTTTATCAACATGACTAACTCCACCCACCAAACAAATTCCTTGTTTCTTGGCCTTGCGTGTCCTAGCCAAGTTCCCAAATTGAACAAACCAGAGAATCAACTTTTTGCTACGAATAATAAATAACTCATAACCGAGCAGTGGGTAGAAGGGAATGAAAGGTAGGCCAAATTGAGCTACTTGTTGCTATGAAGGAGGGAAAGTTGTTTTCTTATTAGTCGGAATCAGTGCCACTAACCTAGTGCAACTCGGGACTTGGTATCCTTTGCTTGGAGAATTTCTGGGCACTAGGAACCTTTGACTTCAACAAATAAAAATTTGTATTAATTCCCAATGAATTCAAACTTAAAGAATTCAGAGTGCGAGATGGAACGTTATGGATTGAATAAAATACTGGCCAGATCTCTTAAGGAACCTATTCTAGGCAAGCACTTTTCCCTACCTGGCCGCAGTGATCAGACCCAACACATCGAACTGGACACCAGCCAGAGCTACATTGCCGTATACACACATCTCAAGGTGCACGCTGCCACAATGCCTGAAAGGTTGCCCACGCCAGAAGCTATTGGGCGTATTCAGGTGGAGAATCTGGAGGGAAAGCCTAAGACACGAGCTTCCAAGGCCCGTGGTGATCCCTATTTAACTACAATTTAACTATTTCATCCTTCTTCCGTGCAAATGTTTCTGGTTTTAGATATCAGATGAGTTTTCGAAATAACATTATTAAATTGAAAATATGGTTCGTTTTCCTTTTGATATTCCAACCTTTAAACCATCCCTAGAGTTTAGTAACACCATATTGTAACTAATATAATATTTAATTAAATATATATTTTTTGATTTTCTTCGGAGGTTTGCTCCAGTCTGCTAAATCCTTTCAAGTTCAATCTATCATCATTTCATTTAAATCAATGTGGTCGGTGTTGCCCGTTTTGTTCATGCTACTAAGGTTAATATGTTGTCATTCATTAAAGCGCTTTAAAATGTTCTTTTCATAAAAAAATCTTGCGATTGATGTTAAATAACAGTGTTTCCTTGTCATCCTCACTCTCAGTTCTGCAGGATACGCACGGCGTTGTACATCTGGGCAATGATTGGGTAGTTGCTTTGACTCTCGCCGGCACAGGCATTTGTAGGCGTGGGACAGCAGCTTGTCCAGAGCGGCCACATCAATCTCGTTCGGCTTAGTGGCCGCAATCTGAATGTTGTGTTCAGTCATTGGCTCCTTCTGCGTGAGCGGTGTAATAAACGGACGTGGATCAGTACTGCGGATGATATACGCTTGCAGCACTTACCAGGTTGTCCAAGTAGGCCAGCAATTGATGGCCTACAGAGGCAATCTTCAGAAACGTGGCTTGCGAGTTCTCGGCGTAGAGATTGAGCCTTCGGCCGGCTATCTCGAAGCAGAAGTCGACCCAGCTCCTCGTCTTCGCTGATGTCGTGGAGCAGCACCTGGGCCTCGGCATCATACCCAAAAGCGTACAGTTCTACCACCTGGAGGAGGGAAAAATATATTTAATATATTTTTTATGTGTCTTCTGTTGTGCTCCCTAAGGAAGTAACTAACAAACTGAATATACAAACCAAAAGGCAGCTCAACGAGCCCCGAAAATTAAAATCATGGTTTCCTTAGATCACACAAATATTTCAAATTTTGCTGAAGGTTACTAAGATTACCTTTTTTAACTTAAGGATTAACCCTACCTGTCGTCTAAGGATTGGAAGTTTGTCAACTTCCCAGCTGTCGGCCAGAGTACATATCTTGGACATGTAGAATACATGATCTAGTATATACAGCTGCTCCAGATCCTCTCTAATCAGGTCCATTGTGGCGGCAACAAGGCGACATAGAAAGTCAGTGCGCTGCTGTTGCAGGAACGAGATCTGGTGCTGGTAGAACGTATGGTAGCTCCTTGTTGATGTCTGCTAGCAGAGCTTTGTTGCTCATTGAGTCGAAGAGCGTGGTCAGAGGTTTGGGAATGCGCAGCTGGAAGAAGGACACGAAGTGAAGCACACTACACAGTTCCGTTTGCAGGCGTAGCAACTGAGGCATAGCGTGATGCTGCTGAAGGGCCAGGAATTGCAGGGGCAGAGCTCCCTCACTTAAGGACTGCTCGAAGTTCAGTTCCCGCTTATCGTGCTCCATGGAAGTTGAGAAATGTTGGAGGAATTCAAGGCTGAGTTCGAGAAACTCTGGCACTTTTCCCGCTGACATCTCCAGATCTTGCTGGCACATCTTGTCCACCGGTAGTCGGCCCACCTTCTGAATCAACTTGGCCGCCGCCTGGAGTGGAAACTTTAGGGTGGCATTCCAAAGCATGCAACAGATTCCATGCTTCAGAGCCCAGTCTGGTGTACGGAACTGTTGTAAACAAAGCAAAGCTGCCTTTAGGTGATCCAGAGAAGATAGTTGCTTGCTCCACTGAACCATGTATTGCCAGGACATGAGACTTAATAGCACGCCCGATTCCAAACTAAAGGGAAAGTGGGCACGCAGCAGAGCCAATCGCTCGAGAATCGGTTCATGGCCATCTTTGCAGGGCACCTGCACTTCCTTCCCGACTTCCAAGTCCTCTTCTGATTCTGCTTCTTCACTGGTGGGTTCCTTATTCGACTCAGTCTTCGACTTCGTTTTAGATTCTTCGTCCGACTCGTTCTCCGGCGCTGAGATCTCCAAAATTTTACTTGGGTGCAGTTGTGCACTGATCAGCCACTTAGCCGTCAGTTCGGTGACGATGCCCTTGCCGCCGCTCACAATGCTTTTCAGGCTGCAGTCTGGGGCTTCGTAGGACATCTCTGGACCTACAGGTTCTCGACATGTGAGTGGTTTGCTGCAAAGTTACAAGTATTATTATTAATTAGCTATTAAGACGAAGGGAAAAATATTGACTTACCCCAGTATGGCTCCCAGCACCGCCACATCCTCCAGCTTGCCAGTAAGCAATCCCCACTGGGCCTCATCGTGAGAGATGCGTTCCCAGCGCTCCTCCTCCTCGTTCTGTAAGGACTCATCACAAGATCCCTAAAGGAAATTTTAATTTCTTATTAAGTAGGCAAATAACAGAGAATACCTACCTCTTTTCTGTTGCGCCACAAATTACTGGCCACCGTTTTGCAGACGATGGCCACCAACAAGCCAGAAAACTGTTTGCTTTCCAAGAGAAGTTCTCGCACCTCCTGCCACCACGGTGAGATGGCATTGTAGGCGTAGTCATGGATATGTTCACCAGCCAAGTCACAAATAGTCTGCACCATAGCAGCTATCCTAGACATGTCATCTACCACTTCATCACTGAAATTAGAGAGTATTTAAGGCAAGGGAAGACGGATTTAGGTGACGAGTTCCATACCAGTTATTGTACTTAAACGGCTTTTCAAGCCAGAACCAAATAATCAACTTTAGCAAATCTCGGCTGGGTAGGCAGGCCTGATTGATCCACTGTTTAAACTGACTAAAGCACAGGCCTTGGGCAAAAAACTGGCTAAAAAGATCAATACTAACAGATCCAAACTTTTCCGACTTATCTTCTAAAAGACTGATGCCATCCGGATTGTCAATGTTAAATATGCTAAGGTAGTCGACAAACTCTTCGGTCTTGTGCTCCTCCTGTAGCTTAAAGCTTACTTCGCGAGTCGTGGCAGTCTTTTCATTTTCCGTGCCATCATCTAGGAGCAAAACCAACTTATTTATGGTAACCAGATCAGCGTCAGAGAGCTCTATATGTTCCACAGGTGGCTCATAGTCTCCCCGCTGATTTGCTCGACTTAAGGCCAAGTAAAGATCCGTCAAGCGTTTGTAGTTTTCAATTTGATTAACAAATTCCTCGGAGATTGTTGCCTCAGGGAGAGGTTTCTCAATGAAGGCATTAATGATGCACTGAAATACCTGTGGCTGCAGCTTCTTGCTCTTAAGCAACATCTCAAGGCATTGTTGTCGGACCTCCAAGGTCTGTAGTTCACTAGCCAGTTCGCCAATCTCCGCCAGAACTGCCTCCTTGGTATCGCCATGATTTAAGGTTCTCAACTGATTTCTTAGGCGCCTTAGCATATGGATATCTCGCGATGTTTGGGAACTGGTCTCGCTGAGAGCATAGTGAAAGGGAATGTGCACCTCCTTTATGCTGCCGTCACTAGGATCCAGGAACAGGCAGTGGTTAATAGATAAAGCCTTTCGCGACTGACCGCTACTACCAGCAGATCCACCACTCGCACTAGCGCCCAGCGCACTGTGATTGTTGTATATTAATTGTCCGCTCTTAGAGACGTTGAAAGCAGCTACCTTTGGCCCGTTTTGCAAAGCCCAGATGTCCAGGCACCCCAATCGAGGAGCGTAGATCACCAGGAACAAAGCCTTTCGCTTGTGCGTCTTAATTCCACGCACTGATTTTTCCTTGACTGGAACGAAAGCGCACTGGGCATCCCGATAGCCCTTCCACACACGCAGGATAATGGCCTGTTGCGTGTCCACCAACATTACGCGGTCCAGATTATCAGTAACGACAGCCAGACGTCCACCAGGTGCCACAGCCAGGGTCAGCCCATCCCTTTTTCCGTCGTACAGGCGACAGCGAACCCTCATCGGCGCCTCCTTTGTGGGCACTGGCAATGGCGATTCTTCCGGTGATGGCAGTGGCTCTGGGGCACGCCGAAAGATTCCACCTAACAGGTTTTTGTACGCTATTCCGATGACATCTTTGGCAACCTCACCTATGGACATCGTTTTGTAACCCTCCTCCGCCTGAAAGAAACCCAAATAGGGCTCTGCACCGGCGGCCAGAACCTGTGAGCTCCTTGGAGGCGTTGCGTGCACTTTGGCGAAGTAACCAAGACCGATAGTCTGCTGAACAATGTAGTCGTATGTAGGAGGTCTCTGGGTGCTGGATATAGCGGCGTCGTTGATGACAGCCGCTCGCTCCTGCTTGAATTTGTATTTTTGGAATGGTACAACATCCGCCGTGGGATAAGTACTTCGCTCCAGGGCACTTCTTTGTACATTATGTCGACAGTTGGTCAGTGTGGGTAGAATATCCTGGCCTTGGATGAAGCACAGGCAGCGCGGATAAACTATGTAGAGCAGAGAATCAGCCTCGGAATGACGTGGTGCAGACTGCAGCTTGATTCCTATGACCGGATCATCCTGGCAGCTAAGAAATACGTTTGATTAGTAGGTGAATTCAATGTATATCCGTGTACTAACCATTGAGAGAAGAGCTTTACGCCCGAGTCAGTGTAGAATACAACCATTCCCGAAGCAAGGCCAACTGCCACGCAGGTCCATTCAATAGCGCCATCAGAACTCCGGTTGTGGGTCATCGGTAGACACGTAAGACTGGTTACGATTTGGTTGTGATCCTCCAGCTCGCCACACCAGCTCATGACGTAGGTGTTGGCATTTCCATGGCTGTTCCAACAGGTAGAGAGGAACGCCAACTTCTCACCCTGGGCCACAGCAATCAGTTCCCCAGTGGGTGATATAGAATGATTCACCGCATTTAACCAGTTGTCATCTGCCCCCAGGAGTTAAACTATGATAAGCCCCTGCAAGTATCTGTGCTACATTTATCTCACCGTGTCCGAGTCCAAAGTATTCCTGAACTTTCCTAAAATCACGAATTTCTCCACAGTGTTTCACTTCGCAAGCCATCGTCTTTTGTTTTCATCACACAGCTGATTTTCTGTAGAGTTGACAGTGCAGCCAGGCTTAGCGAGATGTTTAGAGAATCTTAAAACAACAACATTGGTGCTATCGGTGAAGCTCGTATCGATACTTGTGCAACAGGTATCGCCAATCACAACGCACTAAAGGCGCGTAAGTTTGAATTTTATGATGAGTTCTTTCATTTATTTCTAAATTCTAATTAAATCAAACAAAAAGCTGATAAAGCGATTCTGTTAAGATATTTAGATTTAGACCGTCTATTACTTGAAACGAGTTCTAAAAATTTGTTTTTATTTTTTATACATACTCCAATAGTAAGTTTATTGTACTGCAACATATTTTAACTCGATCTATCGAGGGTAAACTAAATTAAGTCCGACTCCACGCCACTGTCGATAAAGTCCTTAAGCATCAAGCCACAATGATCCGGCAGGAGTCGCGTCCAATTGTTGATGTGCAGCAAGCTGCTGGGAATGGTTACCTCCATAAGGTCGGCGCGGTGTGCTTCCACAATCTGTCTGGCCACCTGCCTTGGATCGAGCAGGCCCAAGATAGAGGGGAACTTCACCTTGGGATGCTTGCACAGGCCAGTGTTGGTCATATATGGGAAAATGGTGGTGGTCTTTATCTGCATAGACAAGAAATTAGTTTCTTTAAAAATGAGTTGTACATTTAGTCATTTTACCAAATCCCTGTAAGGTCCCTCTCGTAACTCAGCATGCAGTGCCTCCATCAGCCCACGAACTGCGAATTTGGTGGCGCAATAGGGAACCAAGTTAGAGATTCCCACTAAACCCGCAATCGAGGATAGGCAGATAATATGTCCACGATTCTTCTCTTGCATATGGGACAAAAAGGCCTGAATGGTCCAGAATTGCGAGAAAACGTTCACGTCAAATACTCGTTGGATTTCCTCGTCCGATTGCTGAAGGATCGGATGAGTGGGCATTATTCCCACATTATTCACCAGCACCGATACGTATCCAACCTCGGACTTAACCCGATCAGCCAGCGCCATAACCTCATGGCGTTTGGAAACATCGCAGCTGGAGAAATAAAATTGTTTATTTTTTGTTAAATTTGTTTTAAAAAATAAATACCTATAGCTATACACTTTTCCAAGATTGTATCGTTTGGCCTTCTGCACCGTCTGCTCATTAGTTTTCTCATCAATGTCCACACAAACCACAGTGCTGCCCAAATAAGCGTAATGAAGGGCCAACTCCCGACCAATTCCGTGTCCAGTACCGGTAATCTTTAGGATAAAACCATAAATTGTTAAACATTTTAATTAATATCATATTCTTTTCTGCAACTATGTTATGTTTACCAGAATTATCTCCCCGCTGACATCCTTCTCCGGTTTGGGCAAGAAAGTCTGCACTAGTTTAACGAACAGCTCCAAAAGGATACGACCAAAGAGCACGAAGAACTGCATGACATCCTGAAGTACCTCCAAGATGCGCTTTGAAGCGGGTGTAGTACTAAAAAAACATAATAACTATAGTTTAGAATCCAAGTAAAATGTCCAACAAATAGTCGAGTTTACTGGCTAGCTACTCTAAGCTGGCAAATATTTAAACAAAGTTGAGGCTCGGCAAACCCCCAAATGATTTAATTTATCTATTTGTATGCGCCCGCTGCATGTGCAATGTTCAAACGGTCAGGCAGAAAGCGATCGGCGTACTTTGCCAAGTGCCCACGATATAGTACAACATAAGATAATGGAGAATGCTGAGAGTGCCTTGAGTATTGACACTGGGTCTTGGCCCCCTTTTTGGATACTCGAGGGGCTAAGCGAATGACAGTAAAGTCTCAATTTGTCGAATGTGTTTAAATTCCAAAAATAACTGCACTTCTAATATATCATTTACGCTTTATTAAAATTAATTAAAATATTAATAATTTACCAGGTCAAGTTAATTTACATTATTATTAATATTAAAAAGCTTTGAATTTTATAGGCATAAATGAAAAAAAAATGAAAATGAACAAAACCTGATGATGAAGCACTATTCATCTCCGTTTTAAATGGGCATATAAAGCTATAACAATTATTACTTACTGGATTATTTCTCTTTCTATCATTATGAGAAGGTGTTATCCAGTATATATCCTCCTTGGAATCCGAAATCCGGCGCTTTTAGACAGCTAATGCAGAACCACGTGCGATACGATGTCTGTAATGAAAAATAATGATTTTGAGTCACGGATAGTTTGACTGACTCGACTTGCTCTTCCGTATTTTGCGGGTTTCCTTTTCACAACTTTTGGCTTTTGAGCTTGGCGAGGAGTCGGTTTTCTTTATTTTTAAATTTTTATTTTTCCTCGATTTAACAACCGGCTGGCCAAGAGCAAGCGGCGTGGGCGAGCGAGGAGGTGGTGGATGAGATGGAGGAGCAGTCGTCAGCGGCAGTGCAACATTTCCACTTTCGTTTTCGATTTGGTTGCCACTAAATGGAAAATTACGTGCACTCCAATGTGGCACACAGAAAAGAGACAAATGCACATAAAGAAAAAAGGATGCAGGGGCGTAGAAATCGTACTTAAAGGGGTATACCACCAGTCAATAATTAGTGCAGTAATTATGAATCAATAAGTACACTTTTAAGTATTAAAATTTAAATTTTAAAATACTCTAAATATGAAAAGGTTGTGCGATACTACGTTCATACCTAGACTTGTATAACTGCAGTCTAATTATATAAATTTAAAATAAATTTCTAAAACCCCCTTAATTCCTACATAGTCCGCTGCCTCAATGGATGAGGCTCGATTACGCGGTGCCAAAAAGTGCAAGTCTCTTGTGCTCTTTTTAACAGTTCTCTTCTCTTTGGCCAATTTCAGCTCTTGGCTCTTTTGTTTTCTTGGCAAGAGGCAGCTCAATAGCTTGCTGCAATGGGGAAGCCAAATGTTTGTTGCAACAACCGAAAGCCATAACCATAAAATGCAACGAGGGCCTCTCTAATACTTTTCCTGTTTCAGTTGCCTAATCACTTGGGTAACTAATTAATGTTAAGTTTTCTTTTGTACTCATTTTTGATGCAAGTCAATATTAGTTCAAAATAAGAATAAAACAATTATTTTTATTTAATTAATTGAATTTTCTTTGGGGATTAATTGAATTAACGTGATTATTTAGTGTTATGTACAGAAAGATCGTTAGTTGAAAACCTTAATTATTTTGCTTTCACAAAGACTTCACTTTATTAAGCTTATTAGATAATTACTAAAAGTTATAAATTTTAAAAGTCATTACTCTTAATGAATCTAACAGCTATCAGTTATTGTTTTCAGTGGACAGGTGTGTCTACATATTTAATGCTTGATTTAATCGATTGGTTTGTGTAATATCCTGTAGTTAAGCAACTAGTTTGTTAAGTTTTGAGGCTTGTCAATCTCATTTTACTTTAACAAATTGCACACTTTGCACTCTATAATATTAATGTGGTCGTAAATATAGTTAATGTATACATTATTTACACTAAAATATCACCAGTTATTCGTTATCGTTGAGTTTGGAGGAAATCCGAACCCAAGTCGAGACTGGAACGACCGATAAGTCTCACTGCTCAAAGTCAAATGATTGTAGTTTTAAGCCTTTCGAAGCCACGAAGCCTACGTTGAAATCGGGAAGAGTTGAAGCTACGAGAGAGGGCTTAAGAGAGCTTCAATGAGTTAAAAGAGCGCTGGAACGCGATCCTTTGAGGCCATTAAAAGCTGACAAGTGATTTTTTCTTTTCGAAGACGAAAAAAAATCACAAGCCACAGGTGACCTTCATTGGGGTCCAGACGAAAACAAAAGACCGGGAAGCAAAAACGTGGCTTAAACCAACTTGGCTAAAGATGATTTACCGTTTTCATGCTTTGTTTTCGCTGATTTTTTAAGATGAGTAAGCTTTACTTCGCCGCCAAGTTCAAGTTCAGTGATCATAAAAAATAATTTTTTAAGAGAGCGAGGGAGTGTCATCTGGATAATGCTCTTATGCAGTTCTGTCCTTGGCTCGTTATCTCTCTATATATATGTATTTTTCAACACAAATTCACTTTTACTCGACTGTATTGTATTTTTTGCTTCATTTCTCTTATGTTTTTATAGCCTTCACGCGTCAAGATGAAGGGGATGTTATTACCATGCAAAATTAAAAAAGGAGTAGGAATCCCTGTAAAAACCATTTATTATTAGTATTAAAATAGCATTAATTAATTTTTTTAAATCTATACACAAGAAAAATAGTACTTTTCAGCTGCAATTTTATTATAATTATATAAAACATATAAAACAAACATAATATTATATTATATTATATTTAGGATATCTTATAGTCGTAACACCAAACATAACAACTTTCTTGTTTTATTATCTGTTTGGGGGAAGGTCATCGAAGGGCTCTCCCCGTATTTGCCGTTCAATTTTATGCGATCGACGACCCGTTCACCTAATTGGTGTCAATTTCGAGTGCAACAACAACTATAGAAACACAACAAAAACAACAATAACCAAAATATAGCAACACGCAATATCAGAAAAAGCAATTGCACTTTACAGACTGTTAATTAACAGAGTAACTCTTGTGTTATTTATAAAGAAATAAACTTGGAGCACTTACAAGCACTATATTTACTTATTAGCTTTTTATGATCTTATCTATTTTTAAATGCAAACGATTTACTTTTATTGAGAAAAACAAAAATAATAAATGCTTGCTCGTCACTCAAAATAGAAAACAATTGCGACTTTAACGCCCAGTCTGTCACTCAAATAAACAGCGAACTGAAACACAAATCAAAGTAAACAAAGAATTTCTGGCTATTATGTACATAGGTATTGCTCCTGCCCACGTACTATAATTAATGGGTGGGGTTATTAGCCGGCTGGTAGCTTGTTGCTTAATGTTTAGTTTTTATGGTTCCAGTTCACCCTTCTAGTCTTCCCTTCCATTCTACCGCCTGGATTTTCTGCTTTCATTTGACTTATCGATGTGGCGTGCATTAACAATCAATATAACATGCCAGGAACCTGAATAAGTTAGGGAATAAGTTTGGCATCAAAGGGGTTAAAAAGGGTGGTAAGGCTCATGGAATTAACCAAATATCTGATCTGTAGAAAATAGTCACTAATGCGCCATACGTACGATTGGTTATAGAAACATACATCATGTGCTGGTCATAGAAATTATGTTGGAAAATAAGAAAAATAAATGTTGTTTCATACACACACCAAAAGGGAACCACATTTAACCTTGACATTGAATAGCACTTATTGTTATGTATACATGTTCCATTAAGGTAACAAGTTCATTATTGGAATATTTAAAAACATTGCACTTGGTATGTTTTGCTAATTGTCAACCATCAATCCGTCTGTTCGTCCTTCCATTAACATGCAAATCGAAAAGTGAAAGTTATTAACATGACGGAAATCGAAACAAAAATACTCTATAATTTTTTATAATAAAACGAAAATTTGTGAAGAAACAATCTTCACTGTACGAAATTAACTAGTTTGGGTTTATAACTTTATTATTATTCTAGTTAAAACATTTTGTTATTATTTTTTAGTTGGTATATCATTATTTGAAGTGTTATAAAGCACTAATAAAAATAGTAGTTAGATTAGGATGCAGTACGTTAAAATATGCCTGGATCTTTTACTTTTAAATGGTCTGAATATTCGGCAATGCCTAATCACATTTAAAGGGTATTTAATTGGCCACGCATGTGGCTGCGCTGCATTTAGCAGCGGCCTGAAAGGCGGCTTCAGTTGCCGTTGGTGAGCCAAGCGGCAAACAACGCCCAAATTGTGAGCGGAAAAGGAAATCGGAAACCGGAAGCAAGAAGAAGACCGCGAAAGGGGAGAGTCGCTTCAAAATGTGAGTGTCTCCTTGCCTGCATTTTGTTGTTTTTCCCCAAGTGTGTGTGTGTGTGAGAGCAGTAAGCTCGTGATTTGTTTACCTGTCAAAATAATAAATATAACTTTTGTTTTCGTGGGGCATAAAATACGGCCAGTTGTTGCTGTTGGCATTGGTAGCGGATTCGAGAAACAAGCTAGCGAAGGACTCTCGACGCCTGTCTGCCGCTTCCTTTGTTCCTCCATTTCTTGGCCAAGTGCAGTGTCAAAAGTCAAGCGAAGGATAATGTGCCTGTCCGACAAGAAAAATGCCATCCAATATCGTGTAACATATATTTAAATGTATATCTAAAATTGGCACTCTTTTAATATAAGTGCTAGATCTGTAATCGAATGTAGAATAAGGCACAAGGTAACATTAAACGACTAGTATCTAAAAGGACAGACGTGATATTAAGCAGGGAAGATCATAGATCAAGCTATGTCGAACAAAAAAGGCAATTAAATTTGAGAAGCCTGAAAGTATGCAACCGTTTTTACACATATCACATTAATTTTTCTTTAATGCAAACAGTTTGTCATATTCCTTATTTTCTTACTTTCGAAGGAATCTAAAACTCTGTCAAAATGTTTCTGAACCATCGCCTCCATGGACCCATATTTGCTAGGATCTTCTCGCTGCATCCCAGCCTCATGAACCAGTCCAAAGAAAGATTCGTCTGGAGGAAATCTCAAACTGTCCAGACCAGTGGAATATGCCGCAACCCAACTTTGTTCGAGCAGCAGCAGGAGCAGTTAAATCCTTTTGGGGAGGATTACCGCATCTACCAGCAGAACGTAGACTTGGATGTCTTCTTCGGCGAGGAGCCCAAGTACGAGAAGGTGTCAGATGTCTGCTTGCTAAATGATCATTTTATCCTGGTTAAGATGCCATTACCAGATCCTTCCACGCCTCCATCAAAGTCAAAGATTCCAAAATGCTTTAAGTGTAATCGTGGAAGCCGGGTTTCCCCTATTTTGGAAGAAGTTGATGATAAGTCGTCTCCGGCGCTTTCTAGTTGCCTACAACCTTGGACATCTCGCGATCAGGATAAGATTGAGGTCTTTGATGCCAATACCAGGCTTAGTAATACGCCAAGTCGCAGACCTCAACCAGCTCCCGTGATAGTGGAGCAACCGCTTCCTACACTACAGCTAGAGGCTATCCAATCGATGGCTCCTGATCAACTGCAGATAACTCCCATAAGTCGGGGACCACTCCATTGGTTTCTCTGGCCCTTCCGCCGGCGACCAAATGCCAAGAGCAAATCCAAGTCCCAGCTAGCTGCCGTCCACAAAACTTATTTTGTTCGGTGGAGTAAACCTCCGGATACACTTTGGCATGGATTTGGAGTGGACACGGTGGATGAGAAATCAGAACTTCGACGATGTCGATCGGCGGTCTTCTGATTTTATCTGCTTAAGATTTTGTATATATTTTCTACGCTTACTATTTTAAGGGTCATGGGTTTCAATAAAAATTTTAAAAGATACACTTTTACTAATGTATCTAGATAAGATATCGATTGTAAATTCATTTAAATTCAATCTAGAAAACTTCTTTAAAATCGTTACCATAGCTTGACTACAATTTGCTAAGCGCTCCTGCTGAAAGTATCCCAACTCAAGCCCTCATGGGCACATGTCAAACTCCAATTTCCGCATGCAAAATTAGTGGCTGGTGCGGCAACTTCAGTTTGCCACAATGTGTATGTGGACCCTTGACTGTAGGAAACTCCGCGGAACTGCAAAATAATACAAAGAAGTCGAGAAACAAAATACAAACCACGTAAATTGCTGGGCCAATGCAGATAAAGTCGGCCGCTCAAGGAATAAAAAGTGGAGTTAAACTCCTTTTTTCAATGGAATTTGCACGCGTCCGTGAAGCCTGAAAGTTTGAGGGGTCTGAAGGGGGTGGATGGTTGCACTAGGGCTGTTGCTTCATTAGCTTTGGGGCTTGAAAATGTCGGGCAATGTCGTTCGTTACTCCCGCCACGACCGGTAGGTGGCGCTGACATAGGAGTCCCACAACTAATTACGAGGGAGCCCGCCAAGACCCGGCCATAAAAACAAGTTCATGATAAAATGCCCTCCTACAATGGGAGGGGAGGGGGCCAGGGACGTAGTGGCCAACTGCCATAGACTGCAAGCACTGTGCGCCAACGTATACATAATAATAAAATAAAATTAAAACCGTCACGCCAGGCGTCAGTGGAAGTCCCCATGTATAGGGCCAGCAATCGCGGCACAAAACAAAGCCATCGAAACACCAAGCGTATACCAAGTCCACAAGGAGCTACCTCTGAAGCTGAGGCCATGCCCACGTCCACCTCCATGTCCAGGCCAGGTCGAGAGCGGATCGGGCCAGCGGGTCACCGTAATGAACCATTAATATGCCAGTTCCCCCCAAAAAACCCGGCGATAAGAACGCAGCGCTTTTCCTACATCGAAAATCGAAATCGAAGTACGAGAACTGGACACTGGGAAAAATATTTTGATCATAATAATAAATATATAAATGGAATATCAATAAGTGAATCTTTTTAGTACAATCTTTTTTCCTCAGTGCAGAAAATATAGTTTTCCATTGTTTTCCCTTAAACCGCCAAAGGGCGACTTGTGCTTATCATTAATAATAATGTCGGCATGAGGCGAGCGCATTACCATTTGGCCAAATGCTCAATTGGATGGCTTAGACTGGGTGTATTGTATATGAAATTGGTTTTGAGCTATTGTGTGCCAGCAGAAGGGTTGGGGCTTGAAAAGCACCTGTCGAGGGCGGCAGGTAAATGCAACAAGCTCAGATCAAGCTTACAGATAGTTTCCAAATCAAATGGGCAGTAATTAAAAGCTCGTTCAGTATGTATACTTAAGGAAGTGAGAATATTTAACATAAACTTATGATATGCTAAGATAGGAATGACATTTAACATCAAGGCATTTCCTTTATAAGTCTGTATTACTTCAGTACATTATTATATTATTATGAACATAAGTTAATGCAACTTATTACCCTATCTCAATATTAAGATTCCTTTAATAGCAAAATATTCGAGGTTTCCGAATGCAAACTTAAGCAGTTATTTTCGCCACCTTTCCTTTCATAGAGCCACACCTTGTTAACCCCCTTTCGATCCGAGCATCTTTTACATATCCGATTTCCAATACAACTTAAATTAGCCAGCCAATCCGGATAGCAGCTGCGCTTAATTGGTGGAAAGTAGCGTAACCGTTCCGGCCACGTTAACTTTGGCACTCCGAGTGCGATGGAACCGCTCAGCAGCCGTCTTGGACAGAAGGCACTTGCTGGGCAGAGATGGCCAAAAGGAAGCTGACAAGTTGCCAAACCATCCAGCCGGTGAAAAAGAGAAGGAGCAAAAGGTCCCGCCAAGCATTCCAAATCGATTACGACTGTTTTTCGAAAGATCAAAGAGCGAGTGGGAGACATACAGCTATCCCTCTTCTTCCTCTAGCAAGGTGTTTATTAATAAAACTCCAACTATTTCGCATCGAAAGAGATGGGTATAGGGAAAACGAAAGAGATGGCAAAACAGCAAACAGAAACAGTTGGTGGTGCGCAAAGTGTTGACAATGCCTAAAGTCCAAGTCGTTGGCACCGACTGCGCAACGACCTTCGGCCGGATACGGGTCCGGTTCCTAGGGTCCTGGGCAATCATCGTTAATGATGGCAATGTCCTTGTGCGCCCCGATTTGACAAATCAATTTGTGCGCTAACAGCATGCGCTCGACTCCCAGTCCGTTTGCAAGTCAGTGGGATAACTCGAGGACGAAGCCGAGGACACACATAATGTCTTGTTCGTTCTGTTTCCACATCGCCGATGACAGGGATCACAGTACGAGTAGTTGCCCAAAACCAGACCAAACCGAAATGTTTGCCAATACGGATGGAATCTGTTTGGATTGATCGTGGTGTGCAAGTGTATCGGCTGATAAATGACTCTTTGAGGGTTGCAGATATGGTTATGTTAATACGAGTGTATAGTTCATCCTTTAAGTACTTTAGAATTGGAAATATAGCTTGGGACTAACCAGTTTAGAATGAATGGGAATGTAGCTCTTATATTTATATTTTCATTTGCTTTCGAAAGCTTTTCTTTTTAAGCAATGATCATGAATTTAAAAGGAGCCCGAAAAAGCATAATTGCTATTGATGTTAATCATAAAATTTCTACAATTTACTAATAATAAGCTATATGATTCCTATGATTCCTTTATTAGTTTAGATTATTTTACTACAATCCCTTAGATCCATATATTCCCATATTATCCTTGACTTCCAGACTTTCTTCCACCTCTCATATTTCAATGCATTCAGCTCTGCTTTGGACAGGACACCTCATTAGCAGGGATTATTGCTGTAGCTCGGGCCTCGAGAGATGGGTGTCTACCTAACCCGACTAGGAAACTCTACCTGTGTTTGACTCCGTTTGGCTGACTGACTGGCTGGAGTGAAAGCTAAGCCTTTCCTACTCTCCTGGCTTAACTCTTGCCTGTTTAAGGATCCTTTATTCGGCATGGAAAGGGGTTCGTGTCCTGGCTGAGCGATGAGCACCGCGCACGAGGACGAAGAATGACAGCAAATAAAAGTTTATGGCACTGTCGTAAAATCGGCCCGAAAACGAGTTGACCTGGCCGAAGGGCTGTGCGCCGTTTACTGCATTCTTCCTGGCAGCAAAGGATTATTTCCGAAACGGCCTAATCCTCGGCAATGAGAATGGCAGGGCGAATGCAAGTGAGACAGTCAGCATTTGACGCTACAAATCCTTTCGCAACCTTTGGCCACCTCCTGGAACTGGAAATTTTGATTCGCAAATCGCTTGCAAATCCTCCTTTTGGGTTAGTCCACCTTGCTGTCGAGTAAATATTTTGAGGTTTTGCGCTGCTTATGTGCCAGGCAACGCCTGGGTTTATTGGTTCATCATTGGATCAGCAGGTAGATCTCGATTGAGATCTTGATCGGGACCTGCCTGCCCCAGATCCGACCGACATCCAGCAACAATTAATAAAAAAATTAAATTAAATTTCATCTCGAGTCGCGTCGCGTCGTTGTAAATTACTGTTTTCCCTGCCTTTGATGTTCAACACTTTGTCAGCTCATTAATCACGGCTTTTGGGGAGGGCATAAAGCCAGAGCAGGGAGATTCGGCATGTCCATGATCTCTGGGTAGCCCCAACTACAAACTACCATTATCGCCACAGAAGCCTCTAAGTTTTTGGAGGTTACATCGACGAGCTTTTCCTCTCGCTTCTTTGCTGGGTAATTTTTTATCGCTACCGAAAATTAATGCGTAATATTTTGGATTTAATCATTTCCCGATCGAAGCTTTCTTTGCTACTGTGGCTGAGAATTTTCTCTCCTGCCCAGTGGGTAACGAATTAAAATCGTAATTGGTTTATTAACCCAGTTGGCCATGTTGGGCGCTATTAAATTGGCATTAGATTTTGTCTGGAATTGGGAAAAGATTTCAGATAACAAGATCTGAAATCGGGGGATTATGGTTTCTAGAAGAACGAAATCATTTAGATCTAAATGGATTTTGTGCAATTTTCTTTGCAAATCTTTTGGTCTACCTGGAAAACCCTTCGCCGATTCCTAAGTCGATTGTAAAGTCAATATTTACTTTACACTCACTGGCCTAAGGAAAAGCAAACAGCGATTAGGAGTTTTTTCTAGATTAAAATAATAGAGCCATAGTGCCTTAGGCTGTCTGAGCTGTCTGGAGGTGAGGATTCAAGGATAATGACTTCATTAATTGCCATCGCTCGGACACGTCGGATGGGCTGATCCCCGAGGATGAGGTGTGAATTTGAGGTAAGTCCGAACGAGGGCAATTACTCCATGTTCTATGTTACTCTTTTCGATGGAATCGAGGGGGCAATTAACACCTTGGTTGGAGTTGTCTTCGCTTTTCTGATAAAACGTTTTTCCATTCCATTTCGGGAGTTTTCTCTTTTTCCGGAAACTATGCAGCCTCGCTCACAGCTTGAGCAGGAGTTCCGAGAGGAAGAAATGTGCCCTGGGGTGACTGTTGAGATCTCCAGCTAGGTCCATGGAAAGCGCAGCTACTTAAAGGCTCTAATGGCCCCGAGGATTTCCCATTTCCCGCTGCGAACAGAAGCGTGTCAAGGCTGCTGAATGGCCAGGACTTTGAGTGAAAGATCATGGAATACGGGATAAATTAGCATATATATTTATTTTCAAGGCACTTGCTACTTAATCACTAATCATCTTATATTCTAAACTTTAGTTGGTACTATTTACTAGGCTTAGGATCTACAAATTGGAACTATTTTAGGGGCGAGTCTGTCAGAGGTTTTCCCACATGGAAAATATCTGTACTGCCCCACACAAAAATGTTATTTTTATGTTTCTCCCCAGCTATGTACATCTTTGGCGACTTGTCTTTAGGGATCTGGCGACACCTGCTCCTGCTCCTGGAGGAGTAGGTGGAGGATCCTTTTTGTTTTTTTTAGTACCAGGAATGATAGAATGGCTGTGGCGGCATCGTTGTGTAGTTGACCTTCGAGGGCGATGGAAAGGCGGCGGCATTGAAGTTTTGCGGCATGAAGTGCGTTGACGAAGTGGGCGTCGGATAATGCGGATGGGCGCCGGCATATTGCGGATGCGCATGTGGATGTGCGTGCGGATGCGGCGCATGGGGATGTCCATGATGGGGATGCGAATGGGCATGACCGGGTGCCGAAGGATAGGTGGCATACTGCGGTGTATGCTGATACGGGTGGAACATCTGGTGGGTGGTGACATCCAGAGCCTGGCTGGTCGAGCTGGTCGAGTTCAACGAGTCCTCTGGGGATAGTGGGGCATTTGGACGGAGTGCCTGCATGGAGCTCCAACCACCGTATAATTGAGATTGACCGGCAGCGACCAGGTCGACTGCTTCGACCTTCAGGGCAGCCGATAGCTCCTCACTTCCAGCACTGGCATTGGCCAGCGACTGCGAGGAATCGGCACCCGAGTTGGAGGTCACTCCTCCTCCACTCACCACGGCCGAAAGGCTGTTGGGTGTGGGTGGCAGTTGACCAAAGGCGGACGACACCGACTCGTTGGGACTCTCATTGCGTGGCATGGTCTGATGGGTTTCCGTTTCGGTTCCGTAAACGGAGCCCAACTGGGTGTCATAGTTGGACACGATGATGTTCCCGGTGGGTGTGGTGTTGCCATTCTCTCCTGGCATTATATAGCTGGCTGTGTTACCGCTGGGGTTGTAGAATTGGTGGTGGTGCGGTGGGGTGGTGGTGATTCCTGGCGAGAGATTGCTACTAGCAATGGGAGCAGCGGCTGATACGGAAATGTTGGCATGAGTTCCGTAGAAATCATACTGTTGCTGGTAGACTGGATCCAGGGACCCGGGCATCATGGCCAGAGGAGCCATACTGGGCACACTGGAAACAACGCTCGGCAGAGCGGTGGATGTTGTCACATGACTGACGGATGAAACTCCTCCAGGTGCTACGGCTGAGACCGAAGGTGTGCTGCTTGCGGAGACGAGCTCGCCGGTTGCTAAACCAAACCTGGATGCGGGCCTCTGTGAGATGGGTGCGCTGAGCAAGTTCCTCACGGGTGTAGATATCAGGATATTGGGTACGCTCAAAGGCGCGCTCCAGTTCGTCCAACTGGGAAGCGGAGAAAGTGGTTCTGCAGCGACGTTGCTTGCGCTTCAAGGCGATTCCCGGCTCACTCTCACAGTCGGAGATGTCCTCATCGGAGGGCTTGTTATTGTGATGACCACCGGAGACATCCGAGCCGCAGGAACTGGAGGCCTTGGTAACAGCACCCGAGGGGGATCCCGAGGCAGAGGACAAATCGTTGTCAAGTGGAGCATCGCGACCACGCACCAGGCGTGAAATGGCAGAGACTGAGGGTGCTGTGCTCCTGTCGCAGACTCCCTCACGGATTAGCTTCTCGCGGATCTCCCAGGAGAACATTCCCGGATTACTGCGCTTGTAATCCTCAATTCGGTTCTCGATTTCGGGGGTGGCAATTCTCGGCTTGGAGCCACCAATCACTCCTGGCCTAATGGAACCAGTCTCCTGATAACGGTTCAGGATTTTGGAAACGCATCCGTGAGATACACGTAGTTGTCTGGAGATCACACATGGCCGAATACCATCGGCAGCCATCTCGACGATTTTTAAACGAATGTTGTTGGGCAAAGGACGACCGTTGATGAAAACTCCACCTAGTTGATTGACGCGCCCTTGGCCGCTGTTCATGTCTAAAATGGGAGAAGAGGAAATGGAAATTTTAGAGGCTTTTCCAATTTGCTAGGTAGCTAGATGCGCGTGTCACTTGATTTACGACACCTTCTTCTCGTAGTTGACTTCCCGGGAAGAGGGAAACTCATAGCTAAGATCGAAGGTCGAAGGTCAGAGGCGCGCGACTTTCCCGCCGAGCAACTAATGGCCATTAGAGAGTTGCCGACGGCCTTGGTTCGAACTGAGATCTTTCAGAGGGACAGTGATTTTTAGAGAGAAATCAGTGAGACATAGCTAAAGAAGATTTAAGATCTGAACTGAAAAGCTTAAATTAAGGTTTGGAAATATGTAAAAAAATGTTTTCGAAAAAATGAAAGCTTTTTGACAAAGCTCAAAATTATTTCAAATTTTTTAAATCGAAGATTGGAATATAGTTTTGAAAAGACTTCGAGAAGTTGAATTGAAATCTGGCATGGATCTAAATTAAACTTTGTATCTGAGCTTCAGGAATCTTAAGGTTATATAAAAACCCATAGAAACTTACCTTGCATGGTAGAATATCCATTGAAGAAGGGTCTGTGCATGGCGGCTGCAAAAGCGGTTACGGTCATAGTTTCTGGAGAGCTCCAAGATCCGTGAAGTTGTCCCGGCGCAAAACCGGCGGTAACTCAGTCTCGGAGTTCGTGTATCACTTGGTTATCACTTTAGTTCTAGGCGATTTCTGGACACACTGTCAAAGTCATAAGTAAGCGTTGCGAGGCGTTGATTAACCGATTAGTTTCAGTTCGTGTAACTTAAGTCACAATATCTCAAAAGGCGAGAAGAAACGAAGGCGAAGACGAGATGCGGTGTGACTCGGTGCGCTGTCTGTGCCTGACTGACTTCACCATCCGAACGCCGGCCAAGATCGTTGCCTTTCTGTGAAGCCCCGGCCCAGACGTCGGCCATATCCCAATGCCACTTGGCAGGTAACCACCACGCGGACCAATCGCAGAGCTCTCTACCGCGGCCTCTCGCTCTGACGCACTTTGCCAGATATCGGGCTATATAGCAACCATCTCACTCAGCGCCGGGGGGCGTCTCAGCTGGGAAAGCACTACGGAATGGGAGAAAGAGAGGAAACTTTGGATGGGGTATACGAGTACAAGGAAGCCCTCATAGTACACTGGCTCCTTGGCATTCGATTAGAATCCTAGAATCCATGCTTTTAGCTTCTGCAAGGTGTTTCTTTGTGAGGTTTCACTGGGTTCCGGATATTTTATATTACCTTATATGTTAGACATAATTATACACTTTACAACATAAATATATCCTTTATTAATACCTCGTTATAAGGAAATTTTAGCTATTAGCAATAACAAGACATTTTTGAAAAAGGAAGTTAATTGATATCGGCATTCCTGGTCTTGTTCTCAATTGAGATATTCTTTGGGGTTCCACTTGACCCCGGAAATCAAATTAGATATTCACTGGAACCCATAATGCAATCGAGTACGCGTTTAACACTCTTTACAAGCGTAATATATCCTTTATTGATACCTCATTAGGGGTTTTCGTCTATATAGACGCGAGAGTAGACAGTTTTCCCGACAGTTATAGAGAGCAATCGGAACCGGTCAAAAGAGTATTAATATATAAAATAAAATTCAAGAATATGTTATATAAAAATAGTGAGAAAAATGATCAGATAAAGATTTCGCACCTGCTAATCGAATAAATTTGCCTAATATAATTTAACAAAAAAACAAATTTAATTCGAAAATTGCTAATGCTAAAGCCCTTTAACATCTTATACTGATCAGTTTCTTTTAGTTAGTTTCCAATTAAAGATTCAACATTAGGGTTGGAGAATATCCTAGCCATAACCATATCCTTGTCACGCTTTTGAAACCATTATGCTCCGGTGCTCAAGGTGATGGCATCGTTGCGACCCTATTCAATGGACTGTCGTGGGTTTGATTAATTATAAAATTTCACGCAACAGAGGCCCTCAAAAAGAAGTTAACTAAAACCGCTGGAAAAGAAAGCGCTGAGCGGGATAACTATGAAAAACCCGAAACCATCGAACAATAGAGAGCGCCAAGTGTTGGGAGAATTAATGATGGACCCCGGATGAAACGCCAGCGAGGAAATTGGTACAGAGAAACGTGACGAATGTGTATCCTTCTACTAAGGATCCAAAGTTATATCCATAACCATATCCAGATACAGATCAAGGACAACGGAGGCCGCAAGACAACAAAGGTTGGGTTTCTACTGCTCGGTGCGGCTGCCTGTTGGGAGTTTGGTTAAGCAAACCCAACGGGAGGAGTTCGGAGTAACGGGCACCCAGTAAGGAATCCTAACATTTTCGCCTAGCAGGATAGCAAAATCCCTGACGACCTTGAGTCGGTGGCCTTGAAGGGAAACTAGTTTCCTATGATATTTCCTTTGGAGCATCTACTTAAATATCAACTGGAGAGGCGCTTCAATCCGCGATCCATACCCTATCCGATTTGATCCTCGTTGATTCTACAATTTAGCGAGACAATAGACGCTGAAAAGGCAACTCATATAACGCTAATTTCGCGCTATCAACAAGGCGATCGTGCAACAGAAACGGGACTTTGTGTAGAGAAAGGTACTGGCTGAGATGCAGGAAGCAGTAGGTGGCATCGGTGCCATAAACGCTGCGAGTCAGCATCGCTCGCATTTCCACGAATCAGCCAGCGGGAAAATGAAGACACATCCGTGCAATGAATAAGGATGCTAAGAGACTTTTTATGATGCCACCCAGGGTGCTATGAATGAAAATCCTCCTCGTGATCGTCAACTTTCGCCAGCGGATCTTTCTTTACCTGCGAAAAACTCTACCTCCAAGACTAGGATTTCATCTGATTTGGAGGACCTGAGACGAGAGGCTCGTGCGCTCAATCGATGCAGACAAATAGCTCTATAATCGATGGCAGTATTCAAAAGATTGTAAGTTTTTTTGGACCCCGAATTTTATAAAAGTTTAAAAATGAAGTTCTGATTTGAATAATTAAAGCTGCTTTTATTAAAAAAGGTTTTCATTTTCAGAAACGTAAACTATTGAAATAGAATGAAAAGATTATATATTTTAGTTATTTTGTTTTGTTCATCTGACCTTTTCAGACATTTCAGGAGCTGTTTGAAAGTTATGCAACACTTCCTATATTGGTTTTTATTAATCCAAGCTTAGAACTGCAGGTTACCTTTATATTTTTATTTAAATAAAACTATTAATGAATCTAACCATAGTTTTATGTAATTTGTGCTAGCAGCCAAATTTCTTATTTAGTAATCAGCAAGGACTCATATTGAGAATCTCTTTCCATCCGTTATGACTTTTCATATATCTTTCCTTTAAGTAATGGGTATATCGCAGTCTTTAGAATTTTCCCATTACTTTTTCCAACTTTTCTCCTCTCAATTTCTGCTGCTGTTTGTGTTTGGCAATCGATTCGCTTTGGCCGGACGTAATGCGGTCTGTTGTCACACATTGGAACGGCCTTGATTGTTTCACGTTCCCTGGGCCTAATGTCTTTATCAGGCCCTATTGGCCTTTTTGTTGTTGTTTTCCCCTTGGATGCTGTGGTGTGCAACGAATTTCCATGTCCACAGCCCACAGAAGGAACTTCTCGTAGAACGCCCTACGGGATGCTTAGATAATGAACTATTTAGAGCCATGATTTCTAGAAATTAGGAAATTCTGGAAAGAATATCTTAACGTACCATAACATGCCATGTCTAAAAGCGTCATATATTATCCTTAGTTACTGAGTCTTTTTATTTGAGTTGAATTTATTTATCTTAAGTTAAGTTAAGAAGAAATAAAAAAAGTCCTTAAACTTCAATTCTAGTTTAAATCCTAAGTCCTCTGTTGATCCTCCAGTTCTGCGTTGATCCTCAAATATTTCCCCTCGTCCAGCAGACTGACAGGCGGCGATTGACTTTTTCCTAATCCGCAGTTAGTTTTCGTAAATACGAGTTGCAAAAGATGCCCCCTGGTTACGGCCCAACCCAAGACCAGCCCTCAGAAACTCCGGAGTCGAGTTTTCTCCGGAGTCCAGAGCCATCGTAAATCGAAATCCAGGCTAAAGCATGCAAACAAATAGCGGCAAAGTGCGAGATTAGAGGGAAAGTCGCACCAGCTTAGGCCCAGGATCCTGGCCATCCTGGCCAGCCTGCATCCATTTCGCAGATCGCAAGTTGACTTTTTCAAATATTTTGCAAAAGTTCTCGAGTGTTGATCGCCCGATTATAGCGGATAATCGCATTACAGTCCGACGTTTTATTGATCAACATTTGTAAACGATTTGCCATGGCATTTCGGGCGGGACACGCTAAACCGGGCCAAGAAAGAATCCCAGGTAGACCAAATGCTGGTGAAAAAATTGCTGCGGCTTAACGCAGCCCACGCCCACTTAGCCAAAAAAAAATGTGGGCGGAAAGCTGAGGGCCTTTCCCGATCTCCGGGTGATTAACCCTTGCTCTTGGTAGCAGTTTAGCCGGGCTAATTGAAGGCATTAGTTGTTTGTGGGTCGCGAGGTGGCTTCCGCAGAACTGCTTTGTCCTCAAATTAGCATCTTTCATATGGCTCGATCGGAGGGAACATCGCCCACAATCGTATGGTTTTGGCACTCCGACCGCATGACATTCGTCATGCACTCAGGGAAAACACTCTACGGGAAATGCGTTAAAGGATCTCTTATTCTTTAAATTTGCATACTCATCTTTAAGAATATTAGGCAGAAAGAACACGAAAACTACAAAGAAAATAATTTTCATTCAAATTTGAAAGAATCATGTAAACTGTTTAAATTAATAACTAGCTTAATCTCTCAATTTAAAAGGATTATCTCCCTGTGTACTTTGACGTCGCACAGTCTGGCGGAAATTTCGCTAGTCATGTTGTACGAGTAAAGTGCCTAAAGGGATGTTGCTTCCATATCCCTATCCCAAGGGCAAAAGGGGAGCCCCTGCCACATACACCCACTTTCGAGAAACTCATTAGCCTGGGGCACAACAAACGTTGCCCAAAACAAAACAATCCCAGCCAATCGACTGCTAAACGCTGTCGGCACACATCTGAGACGGAGTCCAACAAATTGATCATTAAACAGAAGGCGCAAAGGTAGGCGCAACCCATCGTTGTCCAACAGCAGATCAGCATCAGCATCAGGTCGAGATCAAACACCTGGGCCCTCGACCTGACGAAGAAAGTGACGAGGCCGCGACGTCAACAAGATTAATTTGTTTTCCGGCCGGGTACGTCGAGTGGTTCCATCTCCATCCACATCCACATTTCCCATCGCCATCCACCTCCATCTCCATCCATCAGCCAGCAACCTGTTGTCCAGTTTCTCGATTTGTAATTGCTCTGCTTTGTAGTCGATCAGCTAGATCGATGGTGGATCGAATATATATTTCTACCGATGAAGAATCATCATTAGTTTTCTTAGAGTAGAGTCCAGAAAGTAGGTGGCGTTTTTCTCACATCTCGTGGCCATTCGAGAGTTCTTTTGGATTCTTGACTTGGGGATCTTCTGTTCGGCGGCGTTTGTGAATTAGCCACGGCTCGCATCGGATGTATGCGAATTTAAATAAAATTATTCAATTGTTTCATTAATCACTGACCCTGTGCAGCGTTTTCTATTAAAAAATGCATTGCCAATGGAAAATGAGTACCAAAGCCTGTGATTATTTATACATTAGTATGAAAGAGTTTTTAAGTTTATAGTGTTGAGGATGTGAGCAAAGATTTGATAGTCTTAAAAAGAGGGAGACTCGTCTATGGAACATACTAGAAGCCCTTTGATTATTTTCATTTAAAATGATGTGTAATAATTTAACTATATTAATAAGAAGCATCTTTACTAGAGGTTTACTAGCAACCCACCACAAAGTTGTGACTTACCAAATCGATCGAGGAACACAAAAAATATGTGCTGCAGTTCATGATAAAAAGGCAGAGCATGGCGAATCGAGAGGAGGTTGCAACCGAAACGCACACTTAATTTCCGCTTAATCAAACAGAACAGAGACCAGGGGCAACCACATCAACCCACATCATCTGGAGCAGACTGCCCTCCGTCCCAATTCCTCAGAGGAAAACGTACGACAGACGCAAGGGCTCATTTGCATGGGCACTTTGATGGAGAGCGATGGGTGTCAGAGCATGAAGATATTGCCCCATTGCGCAATGGTGGATGGAAATGGTTATCGTGTCTTTGGGAAAGCTGTGAGCAGTTGTCTTCTCCGGCTTTTTTCGGTGGGAGTATTTCAAAGGAAAACTGTGAATTTTCCAGGAAAGTCTGCCTGCCTTGTAATCGCAATTATCATGGCCAAAATATCAAAAGATAACGCAATCCTCTTCAGACAGAAAAAATCTTATTAATATTGTCAGATAAAAAGATCTTTATATTATTTTATTCTGAATTCAAGATATAAGATGTAAAGAATATATTTATTTATTATCCATAATATTTATATCTTATGCAGCCACACGACAACTTGAATAATGTGCTTATAAAAAATCATTGCCATTACCGAACAATCGCGGAATCCATTATGGCCTGATCATTGGATCATAAAATCGCGCCTCTTTCGCTGGAAGGATACGGAAAGTCGAAAAAAAAATAACGTTGCGATCAGCGACCGTGAAATGGGCACCAATATATTGAAAGGTTAAGAATACAATCCTGGCAAAGTTCACGAAAAAATGTGTGCGTGCAGGGAGGAAGTGAAATGCTAGTGAGGACGCTGATGTGTATTTTATGACGGTTAGGATCTTGGGTTCCGTTCTAACTGCCTTCTAAGGAAGTATACGTTCAGGTAAATCCAAACTCTAGCAAACCGATTATATGCGTTTAAACATTTTTATGATGAACCTTAAAAATTATGTCAAAAAAGAGCGAGACCTGGTTTATGGGGATCGGGTGTGAGTGTGGGCCAAATCTATTGTTTTGGCCAGCGAAAGGGTTTTTACGTTTTCGACTTTTGTTTTGACTTTTTGACGGTTGTCTTGACTTTTTGAACTGCTTAGGTTCTTAGAAAATCGAAGATAAACCAAATTTTCAATTGTTCAGTATTTAAAGGGCACCAAAATAAACAATATATGTGTTTTATATATGTTTAATAAATAAATACGGTTGTTAGCCTTTTTATGGAAATTTGGCAGGCTTAAGTCAATATTCCATGAACAAAGTACGGCACATATTAGCCCTTATTTACGAAGGAAATCGTATAGCACCCTTATAAAAAGTAAAATATTCATATTTCTATAGAAAATGCAATAGTCTCAGGCGGTTTGTCCCACCCTAAGCCGCAAATAAAACACCAAATTATGCATTATTTCAGACGAAGCTCCGCCCATGCTGGGCACTTTCAGGGAAACGGGAACTCCGCCCCAAATGTAAGAAAAAAACACACAAATTTACCACAATACTTCGCTGCGTGGGCGTACCGAATCGAAGATTCGTCTTGCTCTTTTGGTAAACCGTGCGGTTAAAGTCGAAAAGAGCCCAGCCCAGCCAATTGACCATATGAGAGAAGAATCTAAAAAGCAAGCGGGGTTCCTCCGGGGATATGACCTTCGGGTGGGAGTGGACTCCCTACTGCAAAATCCATATGTCCCTGGATCATGGGTGTGACGTACTGGTTTCGGAATTGGTCGCGCATCAGCGTCGCGCCGTGACCTTGATGGATTTGCGACCCATCACCACTCACTATGTGCGGTTTGAGTTCTGGTCGCAGTTTGGTCGCCGATCTTCGTCCATGCACAGCAAGGTGCAATTCCCGTGGAGATTGGCTGAGAGTTTCGCAGAAGAAGCGTAAATATTTTGGGTGATTATTTTAGATAATCTTCGACTAATGTCCTTGGTTTGTTTCATTTTGTTCAACTGAAGGGATATTTAAATACTACAAATGGAAGTTTATTATATTTATTTATAACTATATTATTTGCCTAGTTTACCAAATGGTGCTTAATTACAACAAATTATTAAAATGAATTAAAATTACTTTAAATTTCAGAATACTTATATTTTTATTTGTGTTATCTAAAAGGTTTACTTTCCTTACATAATTACTATAAAGTTTGACACATTTGGAACCCTAATTCGAAATTTCAGACACGCAACCAGAAGACTTATTAAGTGTATTCCTCAAGACTTATTAAGCACAAGAATTTCAAAGCTTTTATTTAACACAAATAAAGACTTAAATAATGTTAACGTTTTTAAAACCCAGTTTTAAATTATACCCATGGCACAAAAAAAAATGTATATCCGTTATTACAAAGAACAGAGCTAAATTATATAATACTAAAAGTGAAATTTTTACTAAAAACAAATTTGATTTTTATTTTCTTGCTTATCAATAATTTGAATAGCCGTTATGAGTATGGTCCCACTAATATATAACCATAGAGTAGCCACACCTGCGAGCCCGACTGATATTTCTCAGAATCTGCTCGACGGTCGCACTTTTTGGTCGGTCTTTATTTTTTATCATTTCCCACACTCATCGAATACACGGAAAATCACCCCAAAATTATACAATGTCCGATGAAAAACAGAAGAGCGATGAATTAGATGACCTGCTGGACAGTGAGTACATGTGGAAAAGCATTTGGTGATCCATTTGCAACCCCTTACATAATGCACACTGCATTGTCCACTTTCCATACAGGTTGTCTGCAGGATTTCGATAAAAGTGGGGCAGGAGACAGCAAGGAAAAGGCCTCCTCCGACGATGCGGCAAATGCTGAGGGAGCCGACACCTCCGACGATCCTGAGGCTTTTTTCCTGTGAGTTGCCTCAGAGGGGCCACTCGCCACTTGAACTTTGTATTCTGACCTGCAATTCGCTTTCCAGTGAGAAGGCACAGATGCTGGCCGATCGCATGAACACGTTGTTTGGAGGTCCAAACACGCCCAGTGGTGACATCCCACCTCTGCCCCAAGATCCCGACCAGATTATGTCTGGGTTCAAGAAGATGGCCGAAGCAGCTGCTCTTACCTTGAGCGGCGAGAATTCAGCCACCGACGAAGATGTCTCAAAGTATTCCGATAGCATTTCGCAGGCACTCAAGGGCCTGCAAGAGGGCTCCGAGAACCTGACAGCTCCCGCCTCGGAAAACGACATAGCCAGCATGTTTGGCTCCCTTAATTTGGAAGGGGTATGCTCTATATGGTTCTCATTTTCCTCCTCAGCTATAATTTAATCCCCATCTTTAAAAGGCTGGTGATGGAGATGGAAACATGTTCCTCCCCTTCATGGAGGGCATGATGCAGAGCCTGCTTTCTGCAGAGATCCTGTTGCCCAGCATTCCGGGAATTGCTGGAGAAGTACCCGAAATACCTCGAGGAAAACGAGGGCAAGTTGTCTGCTGAGGACAAGGAGAGGTATGGGGTGAACCATCTTCCAAAGATAAGCATTTATTAAGGCTTTCTTTACGCAGATACCTGAAGCAAATGGAGCTGTATAAGGTTATCGAGGGGCATTTACAAAGCGAAAAACCCGACGATTCAGCAGCCGTGAAGCGCGAGAAGTTCCGCGTGGTGCTTGACGATATGCGCAAACTGCAAGACTTTGGCCAGCCTCCGCTAGAGATTCTGGCAGAGACGGGCGGCGACCTCCCCTTCGGAGACCCCGCATCCCTCGCAGCTGCTGGCGGTCCGGGTCCCCAGTGTCCCACTATGTAGTGGATGACGGAGCACGGTCGTCTTGTGGTGTGCCAATTGGTTAACTGTTGAGTGTTGCACATTTATTAGGCTAAGCTAATTGTATTTTATTTTATCCCGACAAAACAATCTGGCGGTCGCTAATGGTTATACTCTCTCTTGAATCGACATATTTTTGGGTTATCAGTTGGTTTATTATGTTGTCTATACCTAAATACAATGCCTCAAAATACAACTAGAGGAAGAATCGTCGTCGGGACTCCATAGCGTGCCTCTTGTTGCTGATGATCCAGGCGTAGTCACCGGTCTTGCTGTCGAAGGTTCCCTCTTGCAGGGAGCGCAGCTTTAGGGTAAACCGCGGTCCCAGTTCACGCAGTTTTACTCGCTTGCCCTCTTTGGAGAACTCGTACCGATGGTGGCGGAAGAAAATGTAATCTCGCTGGTTGTGGAACGTCACTGCTCGACGACCGCGAAATTCGGGATCGTGATGAAAAAGGGCGCCAAGCATGCGGCCCACTGTCAGACCCAAACGGGTAGTAAAATTGGTCAAAATCACCTCTGGCCTGTGCTTCGTTATCTCCTTGTGATTACGCTTTATATCTGAGGTAAGCTTTACGTTGGACAGCTTAAAGTGGGCAGTGGGTCCACTGGGCAAATGGATGACCAGCAGGCCATTGGGTTTTCTGCGATCCTCGTTGATAATCACTACATCTGTGAACTCCTCGCGCTCGGCGCTCTTGCAGATTTTCTTTACTGACGACTTGTTTCTGATCTTCACCAGGGCGTTGGGGAATATGCGCGATAGTTCCAATCCAAACTTACGGGTCTTGGTCACTGGATTGTCGGCGAAGGTGATTAGTACCTTGGGCTCGTAAGAGCGTTCAAAGTAAGCACTGAAATCATCCAGTTCAAGTTCCTTTTGCAGTTCCTCGTTGTCGGAGTCGTTGAGATTGGCCACCTCTGTCTGATCTTTCTCACGCAGGCTCTCAATAGTGTGACCTGGATTGGCGGGGACTCCTGCTTTGCGACGGGCACGACGTTCCTGCATCTTTTTCTTGTGCTTCTCCTTCTTCATCTTTTTGTAGAGCGCCAGCCGCTGCTCTTTGTTACGCATAAGGCTGAGTGGATTTAAAACCGGAATGCGGGTCTTCTTATCGTCATCATCCTCCATTTCGTCGTCGTCGTCGTCCTCCTCCTCCTCGTCGTCGTCATCTTCATCGTCCTCATTTTCCAAACCCTCATCAGCTTTCCCCTTTTTAGATTGTTTTTTGCTGGTTGAGGCAGCTTCTTCATCGCTGCTGTCCGTAACTGGTCCTTCCTGGATGTCCGCATTCTGCGGCTCCTCTTCGTCGAAGCTAGAGTCGCTGTCAGAGTCTTGTTCCACCGGTGGAGGAGCGGGTTTTCGCTTAATTTTGATCATTTTGTGGAAAAGCAAGAAAATTCAACAAATGTTAGCGGCACGTGTTGATACTCTTCTTCTTCTCCTGGTCAGCACAAATCCATTCACAATGAAACGTCGACAACCTGATGTTGACGACAGTGCCAGTCAGAAACGTGTAGTTTGTAAACAAAAATAATTATTTAAAATGGGTTTTCGCGTTTTAGAACTATTTAGCGGCATTGGTGGTATGCATTATGCATTTAAATGTAAGTTAAATATAATAAATTAGAAGAAGAACTAAAAAATGTCCGTTATAGATGCGCAATTGGAAGGAGAAGTGGTTGCCGCCTTGGATGTGAACACCGTAGCCAATGCGGTTTATGCGCATAATTATGGAAAAGATATTGTGAGGACTAGGAACATCCAGAGTCTGAGCGTTAAAGAGGTTGCAAAACTACGGGCCACCATCTTGCTAATGTCGCCGCCGTGTCAGCCACACACCCGCCAAGGATTGCAAAGGGACACGGAAGACAAGCGATCGGATGCACTAACTCATATTTGTGGGCTCATTCCCGAGTGTCAGGACCTTCAGTACATCCTGATGGAGAATGTTAAGGGATTCGAGACTTCGCAGGCTCGGGCTCAGTTTGTCGAAGCCCTAGAGAAGGCGGGATTCCATTGGCGGGAGTTTATACTAACCCCTACACAATTTAATGTCCCCAATACTCGTTATCGCTATTATTGCATTGCCCGCAAAAACGAAGATTTCTCATTCGCTGGCGGGAAAATCTGGGAGAAAATGCCGGGGAGTAACACCAAGGATCAAATCCTTTCCCAAATCTCCGAGATTGTTGAGGAAAATGTAGCATCAGATTTTCTAGTGCCCGATGATGTTTTAACGAAAAGAGTTCTGGTTATGGACATAATCCATCCCGCTCAAAGTAGATCCATGTGCTTTACTAAAGGTTATACGCACTACACAGAAGGCACTGGCTCTGCATACACACCGCTCTCGGAACAGGAATCCCATCAGATCTTTGAGTTAGTTAAGGAAATCGACGAAAACAATCAGGAGAAATCGGAGGAGGTGCAGCAGCAACGTTTGGATCTATTGCATAAAGTAAAATTGCGATATTTCACACCTCGCGAAGTTGCTCGTCTAATGAGTTTTCCGGAGGAATTCGGCTTTCCAGCTGAGACCACAAATCGACAAAAGTATCGATTGCTGGGAAACAGTATTAATGTTAAGGTTGTTGGTGAACTTATTAAATTGTTGACGACTTAAAAATAACCATAATTAAATGTATTTATTGAATTCCAAATAAAATAATTTTTCTTTAAAAACATAAATATCAAAGTTTTTAAAATTTAAAATAGTTCCCCCTATATTGGGTATTATGTGTATAAAAATAAATATTTTAGGTGCCCTGACGCCTGGTCACACTGTCTTGGATTAATCAACAACAGGAAAAGATTAGTTTACTGGGAAAAACAATAATAATTGCAATTATCGCTAATTGAAAAAGTGTCAAAATGATACCAAAAAAGACGACTGTGAAGGATTCACATATCGTGAAGATAGCCGTGGAGCGGGAGAACCATATGGCGCAATTGATAAATCTGGATCAGAGGCATCCCCTAGCAAGTGAGTAAATAAATAATAACTAAGATTATGGATTTCCTAAGCTGGAATATATAGAAAATCCTAATTTAAATATGCCAGTAAGTCTACAAAGAGTGTTAAAGAAGATTTGAAGTGATATTCCACAAGAAAACTTTAAAAGAACAGAAGCCTTTAACCAACGCCCTTACACTATATGTTTATGTGTTATCGTGATGTCAGCACCCTCTCATTTCCCATTCCTCATTAAAATGCAAAGCATTGATTTACACAGGAAGTTGGTTTTATGGTGTACTTATCTTTCCTTCACTTTCAGGTAAAATCCAGGACATTTGTAATGGTTGGTCTATCAGTGATCACCAGAATTACGCCCTTCAGTTTTGCGAGTCCAATAACCAGAAGTACGTAACCGAGAAGAACCGAAATGAGATTAAGAACGGCTCCGTACTGCGGCTGCAGTATTCGCCATCCAAGACGGCCTGCGATGCCATGGAATGCCTGTTGAATGGCAACCCTCAGGAAAAAGCCCTGCGGCTTAAGGAGCTAACCTCCCTCAGTACCGATCACACCTTTGCCCTAGAGTTTATCAAGGAGAATGGTTTGGACACATTAATCAAAATGATTGAGGACGTCAGCCAAACCAACGAAGACATTCTTAAATACAGCCTGGCTAGTTTCGTAGAACTAATGGAGCATGGCACTGTTTCGTGGGAAGTACCGGAAAACTCTTTTGTGGCTCGGAATATCGAGATTGTCAGAAACTTTCAGAAGTATCCCACAAACTGCGGCGAAAGCGCCCTTTCTAACTTAGAGAATATTGTCATGTGCAGCAGTAAACACGTCTTAGTCGCTGAGGACATTAAGCTTCAAGATATTCTCCGATTGCTGCAGGATGTCAATTCACCGGTGATGCGTCAGAATGCTATCGCTCTTCTAAACGCTCTGTTTGTCAAAGCAGACGAGTCCCGCAGAAGGACAATCGCGCAAACTATCAGTGCCAAGCAATTTCGGTTAGCCCTTATTGGTAACGGCCTGGGCACCGAGATGACCCACCAGTTGTACGTTCTGCAAACTCTGACTCTTGGCCTTCTGGAGAAGCGGATGCGCATGAAGATGAACGCCCAAGACCAGGATGCCCACGAGAAAATCAAAGAGCTGAGGCGCATAGCTTTTGATGACCACACCAATGCTTTGAATCAGAGTGATGATCATATCCGACGAGGAGGAGGCTCAGGTCCCGGCAGCGTAAATTTCTCACAGTACTACAAAAAGCTTGGCTTTAAATGCGACATTAATCCTGCCCAGGATTTCATTGAGACGCCACCCGGTAAGGAATTTGTATTCCGTATTTCAGCTACGTCAAATGTTAATCTCTATTTTTTTAGGAATATTGGCTTTAGACTGCATGGTGTACTTTGCTCGAAACTACACTCAACAGTATGCTAAGATTGTGCGGGAGAATTCCTGCCGTGCGGATGAACACGAGTGTCCGTTTGGACGCACTTCAATCGAACTTGTCAAGGTGTTGTGTGACATCCTGCGCATTGGCGAACCTCCAGCCGAGCAATCCGGTGACTTCCAGCCAATGTTCTTCACTCACGACTCGCCCTTTGAGGAATTCTTTTGTATCTGCGTCATCACACTGAACCGCACATGGAAGGATATGCGTGCAACTGCTGAGGACTTCACCACAACCTTTAGTGTGGTGCGGGAGCAGATCCAACGAACACTCAAATGCAGACCTGAAAACTTGGAAGATTTTCGCAATAAGATCGCTTTGTTGACCTATCAGCAGATCACAACACTGCGCCAGCAGGAACGGACTTCGAAGGAGGAGTGCGACTCCACGGCCTCAGCGATTGTGAAGCTTAAGGAGAAAATATCGCCGCACATTCTTGAGCTGATCAAGCAACAGCGGCTTTCTTTTTTGGTGGAAGGTAGTCTCCTCATCAATACTTTCTTTTTGTGATGATTAACATAATTTACTTATGTATTTATAGGCACTCATTTTGCGAAATATTTGCGAGGAACTCGAACAAAAGACAAGTTCTGGTACGCTCGTCTTTCGCCTAATCACAAGGTTATTCACTATGGTGATTGCGATGAAAAAACAATACCCACCATGGAGGAGCTGCCCAAGAAACTTCCCATTAGTGAGATTAAGCAGTTGCTAGAGGGCAAGGAATGTCCGCACATGAAAGAAACTCGCATAAGGAAGTCGGCCGTAAATCTGGCTTTTTCCATAACATTTGAGAACATGGAGCACTCCACGTTGGACTTTGTGGCGCCCGATGAAAGCATATTCAACTACTGGACAGACGGGATTAACGCTCTGCTGGGTCAGCCTATGGTCAGCAAACAAAAGAACGAAGATTTCGACACCTTATTGTCCATGGAGATCAAGCTGCGTCTACTGGACACCGAGGGAGTGGACATCAGCAAGGACCCACCGCCCATACCCGAGGACCCCGAGAACTACGACTTTTGCTTCGAGAGCTAAGCATAACATACACATTTACTATGCAAAATATCGATTTATTCTAGACTCCCATCACCCAAGATACATGCCAAAGTGTACCCACTACATATATATTCTCCGATCTGATCTTCTGCTAGTATTACTTGTGCAATTCCCCGAACACAAAATGAACAAACTGGTGCGGGCACTTGCAAGTGACTTCCCGCTGCCTAGCCATTTAGTGAACTTTTACACCATTTATTATAATAGTAGGTATATAATATATAGAGATCATTAAATAACACATTTTATACATAACAATTTTGTACAAAAACTAACGAGAAAAGCGTATTCTTATCCAAGGCTAGAAGGTAACGAGTTGGAAAAGCAAAGCTCGGCTGGCCGATGCTTAGACACCATTGCGGAAGGAATTGAATCGTTTCCTTGTGTAATAATGGAATTTTAGTACAGTAATTACCAAATTCCTTTGATTGTGCTTTTAGCTTTTGTAATTTTAAACAGGCTGATGAGCAGATATCTATCGATTTGTCCTTCCGTAACGATAGATATATTGCAATTGTAGATGATAAAATACGCACTTGCCGACTTTCGATTCGAACTTTAAAGCATTCGAGTAAGCAAAAAGCCTGTGCAGCGAAATCAAATTGGCAGCCTACCCGAGTGGGTCCCTGGCTGCCTCCTCGCAACATTATCCACGCACGGGCAGCTTGCGCCGGCGGGCAGGGGCTCGATCCTAGATCCTTAATCAAATGTTATCCTCCAGCAAAAGATCGTTGTCATCACCTCGATCTGGCAGACAGACGAAGAACTCCAGCAAATTCAATATGGGACCGCGCGAGAAGGGGTTTTGATAGCGACCACGCTTGTCCCGGAGATAAGGATATCTTTTGTAGTTGAACATCTCGTTCGTCGTCAGGTTCATGCAGGCGTGAAGGATCTAAAAATGTAAAGGGCTTTTAGTAATTTATTTATCATGGAAAAGTGTACTTACTGAAGTACAAGTTAGTATCCAACCAAGTCCACAGAACACAACCGCCTCGATAAGTCCCAAAACATAGAGCATTGTGAAGCCCTCGATCATTACGCAGTAGCATGCAAAGTATATGGTGAAAGAGCAGTTGATGGCCACCGAGAGGACAAACAGGAAAAACCACATCCGGTTGCGCAGACCCACGCAGTTGTAGATAAAGGGGCAGTGGTGATCGAAGTAAGACACACACCGGTTGCACACTCGACAGTGTTTGGCCCTTAGCGGTCGGAGACACCTGCAGCTGTGGCACAGCCTGGTTAACATAACATTGCGCTTCTTCAGTTTATCAAAATATGGGATCTGCTTGATGGCTCGGTAGTATGCATCTGAACTGAGTGGTATGTACCCCGGATCCCTACGGTTGGCAATTGCCCAGCTGACCCACATTAGTATGTTCCAGTATATAAAGCAGTAATGCGAACGCCTTAGTATATTCCATGTTATAGGTATCGCACGGATCATGTACATTGGATAGCCCCATAGCAGCACGGAGAAAAGGAACAGAAACAGTGGACCCTTGGAGTCCCCGGCTCCGCCGAATAGCCATCCCCAACTTTCTGAAACCGAGGGAATCCAGCGAGATTTCTTCTTAACTTCCCCGTAAAGTAGACGGACTACATCCTGATGCTGATGAGCCTGAGCCAACATTATCGGCGTCTTTCCATTCTTGTCTCTCGGTTCCAGATCTAGCTGGGATTTCTCACATAACAGACGGACACAGGTCATATTGCCCGATAAGCACGCCAGGTGCAATGGTGTGGATCCAAAGTTGTCCGTCTTTTGCAGTTCTACTCCAGAGTACATCAGCAGTCGCATCAAATCTGCATGACCTTTGTATGCCGCCCAATGTAACGCCGTATCACCATTAATATCGGTTAGGTTGTTCAGTGCTCCCATTCCTAGAAGATAGGCGGCCGTGGCTGTCCGTCCGTACATGCAAGCCAGATGTAGCGGAGTCAGTCCCTTAAAATCCGCCGCGTTGACGGCAACTCCCGCCTGGAGGAGCACCTGTACGACGGAGGCATGGCCCTTCCTGCATGCCCAATGAATTGGTCGTGGTCCTTGCGTTCCCAAACAAGGCAAATCAATGGGAGCAGTTCGCTCGATGAGGTACCTCATCAGCTGGACATTTCCATTAAGAGCTATCCAGTGTGCAGGCGTGTAGCCATGGCGATCCCTGGCTGACAAACACTCCATGCCGAACTTATCCACCAAGTTCTCCACCTCACTGACTTCTCCATTTTTGATAATGTCGAAAATATCGTCCAGGTTTACAGTAGTGGCGCCATCTAATCCTTCGAAGAGAAGAACATTCTCATGGTCTTCAACACCTGCACCACCGTGACGACCATCTGTGCCGCGACCTGTCAAAGGAGGGAGAGTGTGGGCGGTGATCTAGATGAATGTCGTCGGCGTGAGCATGGCCATCCTCCTCCGCAACGACCATATTACAGGAGGAGGAGGCGGTTAGGGGCAACGCCCACACACTGCGCGCCGCCCCCGGACTTGGATGCACCTTCGAGGCCATGTAGAACTCGAAGTCCACGCCCAGACGGTCCGCCGTTCCACCGTTGCCTTGATGCAGGGGGTTTTCCAGTAGGTGTGCAATCTTGTCGCCTTTTCCCGTAACGCTCCGACCGAAATTTTAAACTCGTTTGGCCAATTTTAAGCGTAGCACGCTAGGTAAACACGACTGCACTCGATGGTAAGGAAATTATGTCAGCACTGTGAGAAAATCAATACTTCGCTCGAATCGCAGGACCCCAATTCTGGCCGTTTTCGAACTCGAGTTGGCGCCAAAGCGCTAACAGCTGACCGTTATTTTCGTTCTTCATGCTTAGGGTGGCCAATCTAGATTTTTTCACGCCAAAACATAATATTAGGGGTTGTTCTAAACGAGGAGGGATTAAAGCTTTACTTGCATTTTATTGATTGTTTGGAAACTTTTAAGAATATTTGAAATTTATACATAGTAAATGTAATGTAATTGAAACTGTTTTAGAAACAGATAAAAATTAAAATAAACATTACACAAATATTTTTTCAACTCCACCATAGCTAGGTGAGAAAGATACATTTGAAATTGAAGCTTCTACACCCCACCGCTGGCTTTTACTGGAAATGTTCTGGTAACACTACGCGCTTCTCCTTTTGATAAATTTGTTTCGTAAAAAATGGGCGACAACGTGGTGACGGAACTAAATAACTTGGATTTAAACAAGCAAAAGGCATGTTAAACTCTTTTCGAACTGAATTCGAGTGTATGACAAGTGCTAGATAGCAGAATTATGTTGAAGTTGGCGCCGAAGGGCGGCAGATATTTTAGCCACTTAACCCGCATTTGCCAGCGAATTCTGCCGAAAATTCAGACGCAGTCGAAAACACCAAACCAACAACAACAACAGCAACGGCAATTGAAAGAACAACAACAACACTACTACGCAACTTTGGTTGGTGTTTTTAAGTTTAAAAAGAATTGACATTAACTTCAGTTTAAAATTTCCCGTTTCTTCTGGCACGTGTAAATTGTTTTGTTTGTCTGTGTGTGAATGAGTGTGTTTGCAATGAATCAGTGCCGGTTACTGTGACGTCACTAACATGTATTCAACTTCTCGGTTACTTTTTGGCTATCTTATTGCATCAGCCATAAAGTAACGAAGATACGCTCAAAAACACAGCTCGATAAAAAACAGAGATAGGTCGCACACACAAAAAAGCGCCGAAAGCGTCTTGTTATTTTCTTTGCCTTGTCCCCAATTGTTTAAACATTAGGAAAAAAAACATCAGTCGAAAGTTGATACCGAAAAAGAGCGTTTGCCTAATTGCATACGTAGCAAAATTTAACCTACCTGAAATTTCCGTTTTATTGATTTTTTCAAAATGGATTTGCAGGCTGCCAAGATGAAGAAGGAGAAAAAGGAGAAGCCGGCCGGCGGTGGAGATTCTCGCAAGGGTAAGAAATCCTTTCTACGGAGCTAAAGTTTAAATCTAGAAAATTAAATACCTTCAAATTTTCTGCTCTTTTTTTTTTTTTTCCCTGTTCATTTTAAGCTATTTCGTATTGAAAAAAAATGCATTAACCTCCGTTTTGCCCATTCCAGAACTAAATCCCTGGCCGCAATACATTGAGGAGCGCAATGTCTTCTGGGAGAAATGCAAGAAGGAGTACGAGGCCGAACTGGCGGCAAAGACTCGGGAGCCCATCAAAGTCACGCTGCCCGACGGCAAGCAGGTGGACGCCACTTCGTGGGAAAGCACCCCGTACGAGGTGGCTCGCGGCATTAGCCAGGGCTTAGCTGACAACACCGTTATCTCGAAAGTGAACGGTGAGGTCTGGGATTTGGACCGCGTCCTCGAGGGTAACTGTACTCTGCAGCTTCTCAAGTTCGACGACCCGGAGGCGCAGGCTGTCTTCTGGCACAGCTCCGCTCACATCATGGGCGAGGCTATGGAGCGCATCTATGGCGGCCACCTGTGCTACGGACCGCCAATTGACAGCGGTTTCTACTACGACATGCATCTAGAGGGCGAGGGTGTAAGTAATTTCGGTCATTCTTTGTATTACAAAAAGTTAATGGCTTCCTTATCAGATCTCAACCAACGACTATGGTGCAATGGAGAGCCTGGTCAAGCAAATTGTGAAGGAAAAGCAGAACTTCGAACGTCTGGAGATGAAGAAATCCGACCTGCTAGAGATGTTCAAGTACAATGAATTCAAGGTGCGCATTCTCAACGAGAAGGTGACCACCGATCGCACCACTGTCTACAAGTGCGGCTCTCTTATCGATCTCTGCCGCGGACCCCATGTTCGTCACACTGGTAAGGTGAAGGCCCTAAAGATCACCAAGAACTCCTCCACCTACTGGGAGGGCAAGGCAGACGCTGAGACTTTGCAGCGCGTCTACGGTATCTCGTTTCCTGATCCCAAGCAGCTTAAAGAATGGGAGAAGTTGCAGGAGGAGGCTGCCAAGCGGGATCACCGCAAGATCGGTCGCGAGCAAGAGCTTTTCTTCTTCCATGAGCTGTCGCCAGGCTCATGCTTTTTCCAGCCGCGAGGAGCGCACATCTATAACACGCTGATAAGCTTCATCAAGTCGGAATACAGGAAGCGTGGCTTCCAGGAAGTTATTTCGCCAAACATCTACAATGCCAAGTTGTGGATGACATCCGGCCACTGGCAACACTACGCCGAGAACATGTTCTCCTTCGAGGCAGAGAAGGAAAAGTTTGCTCTGAAGCCAATGAACTGTCCTGGACACTGCCTCATCTTCGATAACCGCAACCGATCCTGGCGAGAGTTGCCGCTGCGCATGGCTGACTTTGGTGTGCTTCATCGTAACGAACTCTCCGGCGCTTTAACTGGACTTACTCGAGTCCGTCGCTTCCAGCAGGATGATGCGCATATTTTCTGTGCCCCCGAGCAGATCAAAAGCGAAATGAAGGGCTGCCTAGATTTCCTGAAGCACGTCTACACCATCTTTGGTTTCTCATTCCAGCTGGTTCTGTCCACACGTCCAGAGAATTATCTTGGCGAGCTGGAACAGTGGAACGATGCGGAGAAGGCCCTGGCAGAGTCACTCAATGAGTTCGGTATGCCCTGGAAGGAGAACCCTGGCGATGGAGCTTTCTACGGACCCAAGATTGATATTACCATTATGGATGCACTAAAGCGGGCTCATCAGTGCGCCACTATCCAGTTGGACTTCCAGCTGCCCATTCGCTTTAATCTCAGCTACATCGCCGACGATGGCGAGAAGAAGCGGCCGGTGATTATCCATCGCGCCATCCTTGGCTCAGTGGAACGTATGATTGCCATTCTAACGGAGAACTTTGCTGGCAAGTGGCCCTTCTGGCTATCTCCACGTCAGGTAATGGTAGTTCCAGTGGGTCCTGCCTATGACCAATACGCCCAGTCTGTCAGGGATCAGCTTCATGATGCCGGATTCATGAGTGAGGCGGACTGCGATGCCGGCGACACGATGAACAAGAAGATACGCAATGCTCAGTTGGCTCAGTTCAACTTCATCCTGGTGGTGGGCGACAAGGAGCGCTCCTCGAACACCGTGAACGTACGCACCCGGGACAACAAGGTGCATGGCGAGGTCTCTGTAGCGGAGTTGATTACCAAACTGCAGAAGATTCGCGACGAGTTCATTGCTAACGAGGACAGCTTCTAAGACTCTATTTCGATCTATTTATCAAAGGTATACTTAAAATTTGCATAGCAAAGCAAGTACGCATTTTTGTTCTTTCTATGTATTTACGCTTATGAAACCGGAATTCACAAATAAAAACCAAATTCAAAACTAATTTTCAAGCATTCTTTAAATAGGAAATCATAACTATTTCTTTAATGATGAGCTCATGAATTCAACAGAAATCTGTTTGGTGATGACGAAGTTAGTATATTATTCTAGAGACATTTTATTTGCAATAACAAATATGAAAAATTTGATAAGAAAACTGAAAAGAGGAATGCCGTTAATTGTAAGATTATTAAGCTTCCAGACTTGGGAATCAGTTAAGCCTATTACACTGTAATTTTTTGACGGACCCGCGATCAATTTGTGATCAGTCATGCCGACACAGGTGCACAGACCATTCAGGAACAATTTTTAGTGGTAACGCAACCTGAAACTGATAAGATATGCCGCCCCAAATATTGAGGAACCCTTTTTATGGGAGGGAATGGTGAGAGGGTGTGTGCACACACGTCGTATGAGTCATGCTGTGGGATTGTTTTTTTTTTTCTATTAATTTATTGCTAATATCTTGTATACTTTTCATTTTCATAATTTGATTTATTAAAAATTGCATCCATAGTTTTATGTTTTTATTCAATTATCAATTTTGTAAGCTTTTGCTTTTTGCGTAAAAAATGCACAAAGTTCTCTCGCTAATCGAAGCAAAAATCGTTAATAATATTGTTAAGTGTTTGCTCTGCTCGTGCTGCTTGTCTGTTTCAGTTTTAGTCATAAAAATACATATTATATATCTGTGTATATTTATTCATAAGATGCACGTGGCCAAGTCCTATGCCATCCAAAAGTTCCAGTTAGCAGTCGCGCTCGCTGTGCTAAAAAAAACCGAAACAAAAGCCGCAAACAGAACAGAATGGGGCTAAAATTGGAAACAAAATGCCTGGCTGGTGGAATCATTGAACACAGGCTGGCTGCGTGGTATCTACGACTGTTGGAGACGCCGAGAGCTGGAATGTCGGAGGATCCTGGACCGCCTGGCCTGACATAAGTACATGGTTGGGGTTGGGTATTTAGTTTTTTTTTTGGGATATCGGAAATGCACAACACTATATTCTTGTCTGGTAGCTAACTTGCAAATACTACTCTGATCTTGATCCCTGATCTCTTGTCAAAAAGTTAGCATACGCCTACGCTCGGGATTAGCTCGTCTGAACTGCTCAATTAACAGTAATTAGTTAGCCGATTTCGTTAATTGTTGTTTAGTCTATTTGCCTTTGCTATCATTTGTTACTTTATAAATAAACTTAAATGTAAAGTGTGTATGTGTGTATAGATGTTGAGGAATTCGCCGCAGATCCAGCCAGAACATACACCTGACACCTGTGTACACCGGTGCTGTTGGCCGATCTCCTGCATCCGCTCCTGCTGTTCAAAGGGGAGGATTGTTGGATCGGGTTGGGTCGTCGGCTCAACCGGTTCTAGCAGGCGCAGCCGCCCTCGGGATCCTTAGTCTCGTTGGGCGAGTCCTTTAGTACTACCTCCTGCATGTCCTCGGAGGGCTTGTTCTCCGTGGAATCCATGCCAGGCAGTGCTGCAGCCACTCGCCGGAACAATTGCTTAACATTGTAGCCGGCCTTGGCGCTGGTCTCGATGAACATTACGTTCAGCTCCTTCGCCTTTCGCTCACCCTCTTCGGTGGACACCTGACGTTTGTCCGACAGATCCGTCTTGTTGCCTACCAGCATGATGATAACATCTGTACCCCGTTCCGTGCGCACGTCATCGATCCACTTGGAGGTTTGGTGGAACGAGTTGGTGTTAGTGATGTCGTACACGACGACGGCCACCGTGGAGTCACGAATATACGAGGGTATCAAAGAGCGGAATCGCTCCTGACCCGCCGTATCCCATAGCTGCAGACGCACTGTGCGATCCTCCAGGTACATGGTCTTCGAAAGAAAATCAATTCCGATCGTCGCCTGGTACGTGTTGTCGAAGCTGTCATACATGAAGCGTGTAATCAGGGAGGTCTTGCCCACACTCTGCTCGCCCAGGAAGACCAGCTTGAACTTCCTTAGCGGATTGCCAAAATCTCCGGATGACATCTTCCACGTACGTGTCTACTTTTTCTTAATTACGGGTTTGCTGACCTCTTCTCGCTCCGCTCTCCACACTCCTCGGCTGCGCACTCTCCACTCACCACCCCTCCTCTATGTTTATAATGGGGCTGGGCCAGCGGTTTTCGGGGCCTTTTCGCACTGTGATTTTTCCGGGTATACCGCTTTTCACTTGCCGCACTCTGTTGCTCACGCTTTAAATGCTTCCGGCTAGCTTAAGGCCCAATTACGGCTCGAATAGCTAGGTAAATTGGTCGGTTAAGTCGTGGAAAAATTACGGTCTCTGCTTCTTCTTCAACTTCTGAGTCAGTTGCTGTGTGACCAGAGCTAAAGTACGAATCGATTTTTAGTCTGTATTATCGATATTTTGTTCGATATTTCTTCTGCAAAAATCAACAATTGCAAATATGTGAAGTTTTAGCAACAAACGTTATATGCAATAAAAACCTTTAAATTATTCGAAATGACTTAAAAATAAATATTACGAAAAAACTAACTGAGAACTATTCGGACTATTGCCCTTCAGTTCAAAGCTTTCTTGGGCACTGTCGAAATACTAAACCGCGAAAACCGTTACAAAAAATACTAAAAGAGAATAAAGTAATTTTCAAATATAGGTGAGTTTATATATTTGAATTGTCATACTTGAGGTATTCACGCAGTTATTTTCCCACCCTTTCGTTGAAAGTTGACGTACATACTTCTCTTAAAGAGTCACTGCTCAGACGTCGCTTAATCTCCCATTATTATAAGCGGTTATCTGAAGAACACACGGGTCTTAATTGAAAGCCTTATCTGCTGGCGCTGGCGAAATTTGGTATCGCGAATTAATTTAAACGGCACGCGATAAAGGTCTATGTAAACAGTTCCGCGAAAACTATGATAGCGAACGGACAGCAAATAATACCGCTGGGCAGTTTGGTCCTTCTCATCCTGGGTGGATGCCTGGCGTCTGGAGTTGCCATTGGGCACCCCGAGGGGCGTGTGGTGGGTGGAAGTGATGCTGCTGTAAACAGTGCACCCTATGCGGCGTCCATACAGTACGGAGGAATCCACTATTGTGCGGCCAGTATCATTAATGCCAACTGGCTGGTGACGGCTGCTCACTGCCTGAGTAATAGTAATCAGGTTCTGGGAAGCACCATCGTGGTGGGCAGCATTGCTGTAGCCGGAACAGCAAGCACCACTCAGACGCGCAGTATCACCTACTTCGTAATCAACGATCTTTACACCGGTGGAACTGTTCCCTATGACATTGGTTTGATATACACGCCCACCGCTTTCGTTTGGACCGCTGCTGTGGCCGCTGTAACGCTTCCCTCTTCGGGCGTGGTTCCAACTGGCACCGCCAATCTTTATGGTTGGGGCAGCACTAGTACCACGAATACAGCCTCGTATCCCACAACCCTTCAGGTGGCTACCAATGTGCCTATCATTTCTCTAAGCGCCTGTGAAAGCGCCCTGGGCACCAAGGGCAGCGATGTCCACTCAACGAATCTATGCACTGGTCCACTGACCGGAGGCATCAGCATATGCACTTCGGATTCGGGAGGACCACTAGTTCAGGGTAATGTCCTCATCGGCATTGTGTCCTGGGGAAAATTACCCTGTGGTCAGGCCAATTCCCCATCGGTCTATGTGCAGGTCTCCTCGTTCATTTCCTGGATATCGGCCAACCAACAGGTGCCCTAAAAATCCGAATTTACACCTGTTTGTTCAATAAAAGCAATCAAAGTTGCGCCCTTAGGGGCTGGTGACTTAAGTATGGGACTTTCCTTTTGCCTCACAGCGACAGTGATTGTTTTTCGTAAGCTTTATCTTATCAATCTCGTGGCGAGTGAAAAATAATGGCCAAAAAGACTTAACTCACATATTTTTGGGCTGAAAAAAACTTATAGACGATGAAATTATGACTTGCATTTAAAAATGAATTGCATACGCTCATGAATAAGTTAATTGCGTTTTATTTAGTGTTTAATTCTTTTAGTATATTATCAATCAAGAGCCTATAAGAAAGGCAGTGTATTTAAAGAAAACCTTTCAAATAAAGGCTTTCATTCATTTAATGTACATATATCATTGTTGGCCCATAACCCCGAACTATTGGTAAGTTGGGGAACCCCAGTCAAACGAAAAGTGAGAAAATTAAATGAAAATCTAGAAATTGCAGCTCCAATTTAACCACATCTATCCACATTGTTGACTTAGTCTAGAAAGGGAACAAAATTTATATATTTAAGAGCTTCTTATCTTAATTTATATTAAGTTCTTATCTGCAAGACAAGTGCCCTAATTGAAAGTTCTTATCGATTTCTTGGCTGACTCGCGTGAAATTTGGTATCACGAATTAATTTAAAAAGCCGTCAATACAGTAGATGTAAACAGTTCCTCGAAAACCATGATTGCGAATGGGCAACTATCAAAGTGGCGCCAACCTTCGCTGGCAAGTTTCCTTCTTGTGGGATTAGGACTTTGTCAAGGCTTTAAGTTCGCCTTTGCCCATCCCGAAGGTCGCGTTGTGGGTGGTACAGCGGCGGCGGTCAATAGTGCTCCGTATATAGTGTCAATGCAGTACGGTGGAACCCATTACTGCGCAGCCAACATCCTGAATACCAACTGGTTGGTCACAGCAGCTCATTGTTTGGCCAACAGGAATCTAGTCCTTGGAAGTACCCTTGTGGCGGGCAGCATTGCTGTAATCGGAACAGCAAGCACTACCCAAAAGAGAACGATTACCTATTTCGTGATCAATGACCTGTACACCGGTGGAACTGTACCATATGATATTGGTCTGATCTACACGCCCACCGCCTTTGTTTGGACCGCTGCTGTGGCTCCTGTTAAGTTGCCTTCTGCCGGTGTAAGGCCAACTGGATCAGCTAATCTCTTCGGATGGGGCAGCACCAGCAAAACCAACAGCCCCTCCTACCCAAAGACACTGCAGGAGGTCAAGAATGTTCCCATTATAAGCCTTGACTCCTGTGCGAAGGCGCTGGGCAGCAAGGGTCAGGATGTCCACACCACGAATCTGTGCACGGGTCCCCTTACCGGCGGCACCAGCTTTTGTACCTCGGATTCTGGTGGTCCTTTGGTCCAGGGGAATGTCCTTATCGGCATTGTGTCTTGGGGAAAGCTTCCTTGCGGCCAACCCAATTCTCCGTCTGTTTATGTCCAAGTCTCCTCGTTCATTTCCTGGATAGCTGCCAATCAAAGGATTTGATTTTTTGATCTTAAAAAATTATGAAAATAAAGAATGAAATTATGAAAATTAAAGAAATAGGAAACATATGTACTTCCCCTCTATCTTATCTTGTTAGCTTAGCGACTTTACAAAATTTTACAACGAACCATCTCCGATAAGATAGTTGCTGATTTATATAGTCTATAAATTATAGCCACAACTATCTTAAAAAAAAGGAAAACTCTGTTCGGTCAAACGGACAGTAAACTAACTAATGTCATCAAGATCTTATGTTTATAAAACAAGTAGAAGATCAACTTTCCATTTCCTTATTGGACAACCATTCGTAGAACTATTCTCCAAGACGTACTTAGCACATGAGATGACTTTTGCTTTTAAGCTTTGCTTATTTTGGTGTGGGCCTCAGCACATACACATTTCATTTCATCCCAGACACTCCTCCCAAACCGGCCGCCGTGCTTATCAATCAAATTGATCGGGCAGGTCTCGTTGGGAAACTAATTGGTCAGCAAGTTGCTGGACACGATCGCAATCAGTTTATTGACACGACCAGAGCACATAATTGAAAGAACATATCAATTTCCCATCACAATCACACCAGAAAAGCTTATTAAGTGCCCCCAAAAACACCATCGCGGTTGAGAACATCAGTATGGATGGGCGGAGAATACGGGGCCAAGAGCAAAGTAAGTGGCCTGGAGAACGATGACCAGAACACGCCTGCAGCTAATCAGGCTCTAATGGCGATAAATATTTCATTCTATATTATTCTGTTTTTATTCCCCCAGCCAGACACGCCTCCGAGCACCAACGAAGTGCCTGCCAGGAGTCAAGACAAAGCGACGACTCACCGGGAACGAACAGGGAGATCGAGAGATCGGGCGATCCAGAGAAACAAGACCCAGAACAAGAGGCCAGAACAACAGACTCAACGACGGAGCCGCGATCAGACAGACAAAATCTCCGACGCGATCGATGAAGACAAGGCTGATAAAGGTCCCCGAATGCGGGGATAAGAGATGCCATAGTGAGCAAGGTCTTAAATATTATTAATATATTTATAACAGTTATTTATACAATTATTAAATATTAAATTATATATTAATATTTCCTTTGGAAATTATTCAAAATTTGGTTTAATATAATGGAAATATTAGCATTGGAATTTCATTTAAGATATTTAACAATTTCTTTTCAATTTCACGATAGCATCTCCGTCAGAAGATGTTACCAAAGTCAAGGCAAGGCCAGATCTCTTTGCTTCCTTCGCAATCTTCGTGTTATGAATCGAACAGATTTATGCAACCTGGGGAACAACATGGGCGGGTGCTCCTCCTTCTCCAGAATCCCTTCTCTCTGTTCGCAGCTCCCCCAATCGGGTTCTCCTTTTGCACCGCTGGAGAAGTTGAGGATGAGGATGCGACCGCGACATTTGGCTGCGCCATTATGAGTAATGGAGTAATGCCTGGAATTGTTTACTTGGGGGCTTTATTGGCGTCGGCATTTGGCATCGGAATGAATGTCTGTGCTTTATGGTCTTCTATATGTACACACATATTTGTTATTACATCTTTTCCTGTTTGCTTTCTGTGGCTTGAGAACTGAAAATGATTTTATAATTGCTAAAAAGAAGATTGGATTATTATAGATTTAGGTTATAAATAAGATTGAATTCTTAATTGAAATATCATTTATAAGTTAACATTGAAAAGGAAAATAATATCTATCTATAAACTAAGACAAAGCCAAATATAAATTATGTTTGTACATCATATGCGATGTCTTCACTTTCTAGTTCATTCAACTCTTTAATCGGTAATCCATTGACATTTTTTCCTATAAAAATACTCCATGAACCATCTATCTTTGCAATCGTTCCGCGGACCATGCACAATCTCGTGGACGAATCTAAAGCGAAATCTAATTTTTAATTGGCCAACAAACTGCGGACAAGCGACATTTCATGCTTATCAGCAGTACAACCTGTAATTAATCTCCCTTCGGTTGAGGGGCCTCTCTTAATTGAGAGAATCTCTCTTGAGAGAATCTCTCTCTTTTGGCTGCAGCTTTCGAACGAGAATCTTTGGCGCGCTCGAACAGAATTCAGTATGCAGACAACTTTCTTTCGAATGCTTTTTCTTAAAAGCAACTCGAACTTGTTGCTGTGGCTCAGTTTGGGATCAGCACGCGACGCGTTCAGAACGAGAAAACAAATCGGAGTGACTGGAAATAGTAATAAAATAACAAAAACAAAAAAGACATAAAAAAGACTCTTCCTCGGAGACTCAAAGACTAGAAAAGTCATCTTGTGGTCAAGGATGATCGAACCATTGAGTGGCGGTGAAGTGCAAGCATAAACAAACAAACAAATAATATAAATCGTTGGAGTCAAAGTCATATTTTTTTGTTTTGGTGCCTCACAATAATTGTGGATATAAGAAAAGCCTTACCTTAGACAGGTATGTGAAAATGTGGGGAATGCATCTAGGAATGCATCCATCTCTGAGCAAACACGGACACTTCCCAGTTGTGGTTGTTGGGGTCGTTGTTGCGGTTCTTTGCACGCCTCCCTGACACCTTTATCCACACTTTGGGCATGCTAAAATTTAATAAGTGTTTTCCTCAAACCGTTTTTCCTGTCGCCTCTTTTTCACGCTTTTTTACGTAGCCGTTCTTGTTGTTCAATTCTATGATGCATTGCCATGGCTGAGGGAGTTGAGGTGTGGATATGCAACATGGCTTTGCCTTCTTTGCCCAAGAACTTGGCAAATTCTTGCGGCACATTTCATGTATCTATTTCGCTTCTCTCTGCCAAAAGCTTTTTTCCTAACGTGTCGTGTCGTGTTAACGGTATTGTTTACATTGTTAATAGAACCCACCGACTTGCCAAGTTGGTGGCCGCCAGATAAATAAATAATAGACTCGCAAACACAAAAACAACAAAAGAAAAAAAACCTGCAGTTGAAGCCAAAAGTCCATGCTTCAGTGCACTCGTTCTTGCGGAGACAGAGACACCAGCTAAATCACACACAAACGAAAGACTCAGGCAACGAACTGGCCAGAAGCCAATGATTCCTCTGTGTTAATCTTGGTGTAATGACTGCGGTAAAAGAATATTTGCAATTTAATTCATTTCTCGGAAGATACTCATCATAGGGCCATAGCTTTGTGTATCAAATATTTCTGGATCAGGGAGTTTTATAACAATAAATTTATAACATCTGAATTATTAACATCGTGAAATTATCAAAGCGTAAAGGAAAACATAAAAATTCATATATTTTTAAAGTACGCACGAAAGACTCAGGCAACGAACTTTCTGGAGTGTGTAATGACTGTGAAAATTTGCTAAAGTTTTGTCTAATTTGTAAAATATTTTATTTTTATTCCTTAAATTGATTAAAACTATTTTAAAAATGAGTAAGAATAAGAAACTTATAAGTAAGATCTTAAAATGTTATCTTAGGGTTTTCCTTTTTGCTTATTCACTTTCTATTCAATCTGAGAATTTTCATCAAAAACCACAAATAAAATCCCACAACTGTACAATCATAATCAAGTGATTCTTATTCCCTGCGAATCTATGCAAATTAAATAATACTCTCCAACTTGCGCTGGCCAATTAAATCCATGGTCGGCGACAGTGGAAGAAGCAGTCACTAAATTGCTTATTTATTAGTCAAAAGAAAAGAAAATATCTGGAAACGGCATGCTAATGATGTAAACTAAGCATTTAACAGTTAAAACTGCCAGCAGCAGCAGCAAACAAAAAACCAAAGAAAAAGTCGCATCAGTGTGGCACAGTGCGAGAAAAGAGGAGGAGGGAGAGGGGTGATCAGGGGAAGATGAACCCAAAGCGACGACAACAAAACTTAGGCGACTTCCTAAGACTAATCAAAGCCGTTACAATGGTCGCACAGCCGCAAAAAAACGCACTGAGAACTGGAAAACCGGGGAAACCAGAAGGGAAATAGACTGAGTGTGTGGAGATTCAAGGGAGAGAATGTAGGTTGCATTGCCTATAATTACACTGCAGAAAAAGGAGATGCAATTATAATATTTTTTATCTATTATAGTATTTTAAGAAACCTCCTTTCATTTAGAAAAAGTTAAAATTTGATTGATTTTAAGAAAAGAAAACAAAGAGTTCGCCTTAGAAGATTAGTAGCCTTACCGCTAGAAATATAGATTGATGATTCACCTTCATTAAGTCGCTAATTTAGTTAAACATTTTCGACATCAAGTAATACATAAAAAACTTAGCCAAAGATTTTTATTTTATGTGTAAAAATCTTAAGCGTAATCTTCTGCCCCTCAGTTACTGTCTTCTCATGTTGTTGGTTTTTTCTTTTTTGTTTAAGAAATTACCGTTTGATGTTGACAAAAAGCAAGAAGAGGCAGAAGCTGCTGGGACAGAAGAAGGGGAACTTGGCTAAAGGTTCAGCTGGGAGTCTGAGTTTGGCTTCTGTGTGATTACAGTACCGCTCCTAATGATCATCATTAGATAGCCAAGGGTTTTTTTTTACTCTGCCAGCTGCTGAGCTGATTCTTCTGCTGCTTCTTGCCACTTCTTAGAGCTTGACGTGACGACATGCAATTGCAAACAGTAAGAAGAGGAGGTAGAAGAAGCAGTAGAACAACACTAATAATATTTGATAATGCAAAGCGGAAGCTATAAAACTCGAGTGTAAGACGACATTTTACATTAGACGATCATTAAAGCGATCCCAAAGAGAATTTGCTAATTGCCAGCAATTGAAAATGTAAGGGGAAGAATCTGGGAGCCAGAGGAAATCTACAAGTTAAGGCCCGTAAACGGGAAGAAAGCTTCATTAGTTAATGTAAAGTCTTTAACTCGAACTCGGAATACACTACAGTTAAATAATTCATTACATGACCCATATTCTGCACTTAAACTTAAGGAAAGATAAAGTCTATGCCATCAAATCTTCAAGTAACTAATCAAGAGTGTTGAGAATAATATTTTTAATAACTATGCTTCATGCTTCAAGTTTTATTGCCAATAAAAATAAATTAGAGAACTTACCAGTTATGGCTGTTTCTGGGTAATTTTCAAGATAAAATCTTTAATTATTATAATAAATTAAATATATTTAATGATAAATAAGTTAAAAAACCTATAAAATAACTCGATGTCTTGAAGATATCAAATGAACTTCCTGGGTGCCCTGTGGTCACCTCTCCATGCCTCACTGATCTTGGCCATAATCTTGCAAAGCGGGGCGTGCCACAAATCTGATTATCAGGGCCGGGAGCTGAGCTTCGGCTGCCATCTCAAGGTCGAAAAAAGTATCTTGTATCTGGTATCTAAGCTCTTCTTTCAAGTGGAGCGCTATAGCCCAGACCCACAGTTAGCGGAGCCACATTAGCAACATCTGATAGGCCGAAAAGCACTGCAGCACTTAAGGAAAGCCCCCAGTACCCGGCCAACAACAAAAGATGGCCCGCACGTAATCTGATATTGAAAACGGTGAGGCAACCAGATGAAAAAGAGTGCACATATTTATAAAAAAAGCCAGCAAAAAACCCGAAACATCTGAGCCAGGCCATATGAGGAGAGTCTCTTTCTTTTGTGTCGCCACTATCCGAGCAACATCAGAACAATACACGGAAAATAAATGGAATTATTTAATATTTTTCTTACGTTTTTCAACCCAATGCACTCAAAAAAGAGGGAGACATAAGATATGGCTAAGGGATTTTAAATTTATAGAAGATTGAGAGGCTAAAAAGAAGATCATAAGGTCGTACATCTTAATGAAAGAAGGAAGAAAAGATAACGTACAAAAATATGTAAAAATACCTAACTTTGTTAAATTAATAATAAAAAGTTGGAGTATTTTTAAAGCCATTTTTAAGACTCTTTCAAACAAAAGAATAACTGAACAACATTTCAATGACTTTCATTCTTTTCCTCAATAAAACGTAAACCCATAGATTTTCCTCAGCTTCTGTGGTCACATTTTCCGAAACGCATTCCCAGTTTAATTTCCCGAAAGAGGTGGAATTTTAAAAGTCATTTATTCCCTGCTAATTAACTTCAGGCCCCTCACGACAAAGTGCTGCAAGAACAGCGTCGAAGATAAAACCATTTTATGGCTCTCTTAGGTGCTCCTCTGTCTCTCTGCCACCACCTGCAACGCGCCCTATTCCCGAAAGGCTTAAACGAAATAGAAGCTAAACCTCAGGCCAGAGTCGGTCGGGCCTTGGGTTATTTATCAGAACTGTCAGCAGGCCATAAATTCCGACTTTTGTCACTACCATTTATGGCCTAAAGAGGCAACCAATAAAACATACAAATTCGGTTGGCGCAATGCGTTATATAAGCACTCTGTCTGCATCTGATCTAACGGTGTTTGACTCTGGGTTCTTTTCGGGTTCTGTTGGGTTTCTTGGAGTTTCTTGGGGTTTTCTTTGGGTACCTTGTTTACAAGACACCTTGACAAATGTGCCCGGAAAGAGGAAAACATTCGAGATAGAAAAAAAAAAATAGAAAAACACAAGCCAGAAATTTGCATGGCAACTGAAATGGAAATGGGTGGAGTGGGAACCGAGCACCGGGCACAAAAACAGCGATCACAATTCCGCTGCACTTTTATGGTGCATTGTCTTACAGCGCTAGAAAGCAGAGAATAAAAAAGAAAGGAATCACCAATTGTAACAAAAGTCAGAACAAGTTTGCCACAAACTCCGGTCCGGTCGTTGGCTCTGGCCTAGAGATGAGCGTGTGAGGGAATTATGATCATGTTTCGCGGCACTAATGCTGGTTTTTTATCACTAGAAAAGATTATAATTTACTTGGTTAGTGATTTTTTTAAGTTAAGTTAATAATTCTTAGGCTTTTATGTATACTCTTAAGATGTCTTATGTATCTTATGCCAGTTTTAGAGGAAATTTCCAATTAAAGACAATTTTTAAAATTTTCAGTAAATATTTATAATACATATATTTTTTAATACAAAATTATAAACATGTTTAGTAACACCTCTAAAATTAAAACATAGTATAGACATACCCAAACCACATCTCTAGCCCATTGAACTTGGAATTTGCCCCCAGGAGTCGCATCATTAAGTTGTGGGAAAAGTAATGCAAGGCTAAGGCGCACGTTCCTTCTGCTGGATGATTTATGCATTATAAATATAAAGTCTATATTAATGGTAGCCTGTCATGTTGACAATTTTATTACGCTGCTTTGGCCGAATCACGAAGCGATTATTTAGCCTCCAATAGAGCCAGAACAGGGCGACATCAATTTGGCAATAAGTACTTAAGGGTATTAAGAACTTTCAGTTCATTGTTTGGCTCTATTTCGGAGTGGGCTCACTGATAGTTTCGGCATTTTTTGTGAAAGGTGCTAGCTGGACGACACAAAAACCTTTCCCAGTTTTGCAGATTTTTTTCACATTTTTTTTTCATTTATCCATTTGCCACAATC